ATTCATAGAATTAGAGAATAGAAGCACTTCTTCTCAAACAGTGGAGGCAGAGCAGAGCTATTGTGGCTAGCAGCCATCAATAGCTCTGTCCTCCTCCATGAATTTGTCTCATCCTCCTTTAAAGCCATCCAAGTTGGTGAGACCATCACTGCCTCCTGTGGCAGGGAGTTCCATAGTTCAACAATGTGAAGAAGTCCTTCCTTTAATCTGTTCTGAATCTTCAACGTTCAGCTTCATTGGAGGTGTACCAGTTCTAGCATCTAGCATCTCCCATCCTGCAGTTCACAGAATCACAGAATTATATGGTTGGGAAGGACCCTGAGGATCATCTAGTCCAGCGGTTCTCAACCTGCGGGTCCCCAGATGCTGTTGGACTACAACTCCCATCATCCCTGAGCTCTGGCCTTGCTAGCTAGGGGTGATGGGAGTTGTAGTCCAACAACATCTGGGGACCCGCAGGTTGAGAAAGGCTGATCTAGTTCAATTCCCTGCAATGCAGGAATCTCAGTTGTGGCGGAGGGCTGAAGGCAGGAGAGAGGACCTGTTGCCACGTTTCAAGACTGAAGAATCCGGACATATTTGTAGGTGGGCCATTGTTGAGCTTTGGGCGAGTTTCGAACCAGGGAGTTCCTGATTCATAGCTCAGCATTCTAAAATATAAAAAAGCGACACGTAACCAAACCAGGGAGTCATGTTCCAACAAGCCCGTTACATATTCTGTATGTAGGCGGAGATGGTTCGGAAGGCACAAACCAGGATCTGGATGAAGATTTTGTCCCTGGTGTGCGGTCAAGGAAGGGAGAGAATGGATGTTGTGGGTATAACATCCATGCTGTTGTCCAGCAGCCTCAGACTATGGAACTCACTCCTTCAGGAAACTTCCTAGGTTTCTCAAAAGCGAGTCATGCCAGACGAAGCTCATTTCTTTATTTTTGATCTGAATTATAAGCTTGGTGGATCAGGGGAATGCTGTGGACGTATTGTATCATGATTTCTGTAAGGCTTATGACAAAGTCCCCCATGAAATGATTGTGGAGAAGCTGGTAAAATGTGGCTGGATGAGGTAACTACTAGGTAGATTTGTAGCTGGCTGACTGAGCGAACCTAAAGAATACTTATTAATGGTTCCTTGCCATCCTGGAATAACAGGACAAGTGGGGTGTCGCAAGGTTCTGTCCTGGGCCCGTTGTTGTTCAACATCTTTATAAATGACTTGGACGTGGGAATTGAGGGGATGCTTATCAAATTTTCAGATGACACAGAAGACGGAATCAGGATTCAAAATGACCTTAACAGATTGGAGAGCAGGGGGCAACCGTAGAAAATGAATTTCAGCAGGGACAAATGTAAGATTTTGCATTTAGGCAGGAATAACCAACTACACAAATATAAGATGGGGGTAAGGTAAAGGACCCCTGGAGGGTTAAGTCCAGTCAAAGGCGACTATGGGATGTGGTGCTCATCTTGCTTCAGGCTGAAGGAGCCGGTGACACCCGGCCAGCCGGTAGAGCATGAGAAAAAGATGTAAAGGTCTTAGTAGAACTTAAGCTTCACATGAGTCAACAGTGTGATGCAGCAGCAAAAAAAGCTAATGTTATTTTTTGCTGCATCAACATCAATTTCATGTTCAAATCAAGCAAAGTCATAGTCCCTCTCTATTCTGCCTTTGTCAGAAAACACCTGGAATACTGTGTCCAATTCTGGGCACCACAATTTAAGGATATTGACAAACTGGAAGGTGCAAGCAAGAGCATCAATGGTCTGGAAACTGAGCCTTGTGAGGAACGGCTGAAGGAGTTGGGTATGTTTAGCCTGGAAAAGAGGAGACTGAGAGGAGATATGAGAGCCATCTTCAAATATCTCAAGGACTGTCAAGTGGGAGAGAGAACAGGTTTGTCGTCTCCTGCTCCGGAGGGTAGGACTCGAACCCATGGCTTCAAGTTACAAGAAAGGAGATTGAAGACTAAACATCAGGAAGAACTTTCAATAGTGGAATGGACTCCCAGGTTCCTTGGAACTTTTAAAGCACCTGTCCTGTGTGGTTCAGCAGAGATTCCTGCCTGGGGGGGCTGGACTAGATGCCCTTTGGGGTCCCTTCCAACTCTACAGTTCTTTGAATCTGATACTGAGCCAGGCTCAGCACTAGGGAGGCAGGCGGAGCTCCCCTCCCAGCAATATGTTGCTTAATGAAAACAGAAATGCAATAAAATGGATACACACTAAACGTATTTTAAAAATCGATTTCAATTTACTACTTAATGGGGCTGAGTTCAGGTTTCACGCCAAGCGTGTAAGGGTCTTGAAGAAGAATAAGAGTTTGGATTTGATATCCAGCCTTTCACTCCCTTTAAGGAGTCTCAAAGCGGCTCACAATCTCCTTTCCCTTCCTCCCCCACAACAAACACTCTGTGAGGTGAGTGGGGCTGGGAGACTTGAAGTGTGACTGGCCCAAGGTCACCCAGCAGCTGCATGTGGAGGAGCGGGGAAGCGAACCCGGTTCCCCAGATTACGAGACTATCGCTCTTAACCAATACACCACACTGGCTCTTGCAGCACCAGTCTGAGTATCAAATTTGTAGTCGTTTAGTCGTGTCTGGCTCTTCATGACCCCCTGGACCAGAGCACGCCAGGCACTCCTGTCTTCCACTGCGGGAGGGAAGTCATAGTCCCTCTCTATTCTGCCTTGGTCAGACCCCACCTGGAGTCCTGTGTCCAGTTCTGGGCGCCACAATTTAAGAAGGATGTTTAGAAGCTGGAAGGTGTGCAGAAGAAAGCAACCAAGAGGATCAAGAGTCTGGAAACCAAGCCTTATGAGGAACGGTTGAAGGAGTTAGGTATGTTTAGCCTGGAAAAGAGGAGACTGAGTCGAGATAGGATGTTGTTGTTAAGTCATTTAGTAGTGTCCGACTCTTCGTGACCCCCTGGACCAGAGCACGCCAGGCCCTCCTGTCTTCCACTGCCTCCCGCAGTTTGGTCAAACTCATGCTGGTAGCTTGGAGAACACTGTCCCACCATCTCGTCCTCCGTCGTCCCCTTCTCTTGTGCCCTCCATCTTTCCCAACATCAGGGTCTTTTCCAGGGAGTCTTCTCTTCTCATGAGGTGGCCAAAGTCTTGGAGCCTCAGCTTCAGGATCTGTCCTTCCAGTGAACACTCAGGGCTGATTTCCTTCAGAATGGAGAGGTTGGATCTTCTTGCAGTCCATGGGACTCTCAAGAGTCTCCTCCAGCACCAGAATTCAAAAGCATCAATTCTTTGGCGATCAGCCTTCTTTATGGTCCAGCTCTCACTTGCATACATCACTACTGGGAAAACCAGAGCTTTTACTATACGAACCTTTGTTGGCACATCTAATTTGCATATATGCAAATATATAATTTACATATAATTTGCATATATGTGCTAATTGCATAATGAGCGCAGCGCAGCCAACCCTCCCGCGGCGTGAGAACTCCGTCTCGCTCTGCGCATGCCCACTCCTCTTTCCTCCCCTTGACGTCATCCCCGCGGCTCCTGGAGTTGCCCGCAGCTGGCCAACCGCGGTCGAGGAGTCTCAGCCAATCCGGGAGGGACATGGGCGGGGCTTCTTCGCCTCATGTTTTCGAAAACCGGCCTTTTTACGGGGGCGCATGCGCGCGGGAGACAAAGTGGGGGAAACAGGGAGCGCCCGACGCCCCGCCCACTTCCCCCCTTCTCCCTCAGATCCGCGAGCTCGCGTGGCCGCTGGCGTCACTTCGCCGCTCTCCCATTGGAGGCGCCCAGCGCAGCGTTACGTACGGTGCGTGCCTGCGTGAGCCCTTCCCACCCCGCGCACGCGTATAAGGGCCACTTGGGCGAGCCGAGGGGAGGGGGTCGGTCTGCGCGCATGCGCCCGAGCTCCGGCGGCTGAGGCGAGCCAGCGAGAGGGCGCGCGCCGGCCTTGCCCTCCGACATCCGGCGGCGTCGACGTCAGCGCGCAGCCCCGCCCCCTCCGGCGCCTGGGCAGGCAAAGAAAGGCAGGGAGAGGCCCGGCGGCGTGCGCGCTCCCGCCCGGCCCGCGCCTGCGCACACGGCGCCTCCGCCCAGTCCGCCCGTCAGTCAGTCAGTCGGCCCGTGCGTGCGTGCGTGCTGCGTGCGGCCTGCTCCTCTTCTTCGCCTCCGGAGCGCGGGCGTTTCTGAGGGAGGGTATGAAGCCGGGCGCTGCCGCCGCCGCCGCCGCCGCCCCTTGAGGAGAAGCCGCCGCCGCCGCCGGCCCCGACCAGGAGGGCCCTCGCGCCGCCGCCCGCTCCGCCCAGGCTCGCCCATCCCGGCCGCCGCCGCCGCCGCCTGAGCAGCCATTTTGTGCCTCCCGAGCGCCGCCGGGGCCCTGAGGGAGAGTCCGAGAGGCGAGCGAGCGAGGGCGGCGGCGCCCGTGAGGGGGGTCCGGGCGGGCGGGAGGGAGGCCGGTTGAGGCGGAGCCTGGCGAGGGAGGGGCGCGCGGCGCGGCGGGGGGGCCCCCATGGCGAAGAAAACCTACGACCTGCTCTTCAAGCTGCTGCTGATCGGCGACTCGGGCGTGGGCAAGACCTGCGTGCTCTTCCGCTTCTCCGACGACGCCTTCAACACCACCTTCATCTCCACCATCGGTGAGGAGGGGCAGGGGAGAGGGGGGCGGGAAGGGGGAGCCCCCTCCCCGCCGACCCCGCCGACGCTTCCGGGGTCATGGCCCCTCCGCCCCCGCCGGAGGGGCGACCCTTGGCCACGGGCACAGCTACTGGGGGCATCTGCCCGGGGGGAGCAGGATGCTGGGACTGGGGGGGGGGCTTGGGCCTGATCCCGCTTCGTGGCTCCCCTGGATGACTCCCCTTGTCTTCCACCCCCCACCCTACCCTTGTGTCTTCCTCCCCGTGCATCCCACCCACCGCTCTCCATCCTGGAAAGGTGGGCTCGCCCCCTCTCACCTCCCCACTTGCTCCTCTTCCGCCATTCCTGCAGGACCACCCTCCCCATCCTGGAAATGTGGGCTCGCCCCCTCCCTGTGTCTTCCTCCCCGTGTATCCCACCCACCCACCGCCCTCCATCCTGGAAAGGTGGGCTCCCCCCTTCTCACCTCCCCACTTGCTCCTCTTCCACCTTGCCTGCCTGACCACCCTCCCCATCCTGCCCCATAGCTGTCAGCCTCCCAGCGTCATCTTTTGTTCCTTGTGCTGTATCTACCCCCCACCCAATCCCCGCCATCTGAGTGCTTGCTACTGCTTGGCCCCGGTAGTCTTCATATAGTGTGTCTGCTTTGCCATGCGTGCTCCCTGCCCTGATCATAGCAGCCCCGCCTGTCACTCCAGCTGCACAGCCAGATTATATTTGTCCAGCTTTGTTTTCTGAATGGGAGGCGCAGGCTGGAGGAATGCGCCTAATGCTTTGACCTGGTAGCTGCCCCCTTTGGCAGCAGCCTTTGATTCCTTTGCAGCCCTGCGCTGTTTTGTTCCCCTCACTCTTGTCCGTTGGCATCTTTGGCGCCTGCCCATCCACCGCTGCATCTTCCAAAACACCAGGCTGACTTCTTGGAGTGACCTCAGCATCGCCTGAGGGCTCTTACTCATACCACACCCCCTAGTGCTGAGGCTACTCTTTGCTCATGGAGCCCTTTATCCTTCGGCGTATTACATTTTATGCTATTATCTGTATCTGCTTCCAGCTATTGTGCCTCAAATGGAGGAATAGCTGACTATGAATATTGACTGTCAATTTCTTATCTTCAGAGGGGTGAAATTCTAGAAGTGCTTTCAAAGAGATGGTGTTGATTTCAGCACAGAGTAGTTTAAATGTGAGGAATATTTTAGGATTTTTTCCAGTGCTGAGTTTGCTGTACTCTTAAGGCGATGGAGACTGGCAGGCTGGGAATGGGCGTGGAGGACTTATCAGAGACCAAAGAAACATTATCTTGGAGACAACTGCTGCCTGCTTTTTGCTTTGTTTGATGTCTTAACATTGCTATAGTAGATAGGTGTGGCTTGAGCCAACATAAATCCTGCTGTCTGCTTTGAGCTATACCCAGGCTGTGTGTATGCACTGTAGATGGAAAACTTAGTACAGGAAGTGTTAACACTGGCCTATATAAATTATGCAGATGCCCCCACCTGTTTTTTGAGAATTCACCAGGCTTGAGGAGGTTTGTGTGTTGGAGGAGAGGAAGCCTTTATCGGAATCCCTAAGGGCTTGCTTTTGGAATGAAATTTGGGGTCCTTAATGGGCTGAACTCAAGACACAATACATTATCTGCCCTTGTTAGGGTTTTAGTCTTGTTTTAACCGGATTTGTTGTTTTTGTATTTTTAACTGTTTTATTTGTAAGTGGCCTTGAGATGGTGATTTAGAAGGTGATTTCTAAATCATTGTTAATAATGTTGGCAATTCTGATTCAGGAAATGAAGTCCCAGGTGCCCTAATAGAATAAACCTGTTTGTTTCTCTCTTGCCCAGCCTTTCATGAAGATACTTGCAGTTTTTTCCTGCGGATAAGATATTTTTGCTGCACATTATTCTGACATTGGTTCAATTTAATTATTTTGCAATCTCTGAAGATCAACAGTTTCACGTGCTTTGCTTCCCTTATTATGCGAACTCATTTCCCCCAAGATCTCAAGTTACAAGCAGAGGTTTCATGGTAGTTCCTGGACAGGGCAGCAGTGCCTCACAGGAATACACTGCCAGGTACCTGCTAGTTACAGCTATGTCATCTTTGTTTAATATTTTCATACACTGCTTTTCATACAAACTGCACAAAAAACATTTTATATTAAAACACAGCAGTCAGTTTTACAATACAGTAGGTGGCAATCTGTCTGTCTTCTATTAAAAGTATTAATCCACTTTTTAAGGCCAAACCCTCCCAAAGCAATGTACATAAGAAACATGCATTAGAGGCATCAGATAGGTGTACAGTTATTATGAAAAACCTGCTCTGAATTTCACAAGCCATTAACAGTCTTAAGGAAAGGCAGGAGTGAAGAGAGGATTTCAACACCCTTTTAAAAGCCTGTATTTGAAGAGGCCAAGCACAAATAGCGGCTGCCCACCAGGATGTTTCTGTTGCTTGCTGTTTCTTTTCCTTCTGCTTCCTGGATGGTTCCTGGAGACAAAAGTTGATAAACTTCAGTCTACAAATTGTTGGACCCTTAGTTGCTGTTTAGGATAGATTGAGCTCTGATTATAAGGCTTTGCGCAGTAGTTCAAGTACAGTGGTACCTTGGGTTACCTATGCTTCAGGTTCCGCTAACCCAGAAATAGTGCTTCAGGTTAAGAACTTTGCTTCAGGATAAGAACAGAAATCGTGCTCCGGCGGCAGCAGGAGGCCCCATTAGCTAAAGTGGTGCTTCAGGTTAAGAACGGACCTCCGGAACAAATTAAGTACTTAACCTGAGGTACTACTGTACTTGCTGAGCATCACAGTTACACACTTCAGTTGTTCTCCTGACATAAACTGGAAAGATGGGATTTGTGCTACTATTCTATGTGACCTTGTCCACTCATAACTTCAGGTTTAAATGTATTGCACTACTAAACAGCAGGGAAAGGTAGAAGATCATCATTTGTGAATCCCAGATCACTTCCCTTGAGGAGGTTTCTCCCTCTCTAAGATTTAATTGATCAGAGTTGCGCAGGATTGTACTCAGTTTGCATGAGTAATAATAGTTAATATTTGATGTCTCTTATCAGGTTGCCTGTGTGTTATGAAGATTTGATTACTCCGTAAACACTTGTCTGTGGTGGTGGAATATTTTATCTGAGTTTTGAAGGTCAGACATCCTAGAGCTGTTTCGCACACTGTACAGATGTAAACATGGAATTGCCTGAACAGGGAGCTGCAGGTTATTGCGCCTTGATTAGGATAAACATGTTCACACTTATTTTACATTTGCATTTAAAAATATAATTTTATTACATTTCTATCCCACCTTACTCCAAGGGGCTCAAGGTGGCAGACATAGTTCTCCCAATTTTGTCTTCACAACAGCATTGAGAGGTAGGTTAGGCTGAGTGGCAGTGAATGTCCCAAGGTTGCCCAGTGACATGGCAGTGGGGATTCAAGCCCTACACCACGCTGGAAATAATAATGTGGGAAATAGTTCTTAACAACTGTTGCAGTGGAAGCAAGAGCCTTGTGGCACCTTAAAACTGGCAGAACTGGTATTGAAAGAGGCCCACTTCATGAGATGTACAGTAGTTGGCATTTTTTCTTGCTCTGTGAGCTTAATTTAGGTACTGTTTATAGCTGGCGGTTGCTCTGCAGACATCTGGCTTCACTGTTCTAAAATTGAACCGCAATTTTTTATGTTCAGTCTTTCTAGTTGTAGCTTTGTGTCAGCTCAGGCTTATAAATAGTCATTTGCAAGGTTGCCTGTGTCAAATAGTCACACAAAGGAGAGTCTGAAGCATGGAAGTTGGTTTACAAAGGTCCCCACGCCTGCTTTTTGGGCTACAGATGGCTAACAGGTTTGTGTGGGCATGAACAAATCTGGATCTTTTTCATAGAGATGGGACCATCAATCTGACAAACATTAAAGGTATGCTATTCAAATGCTGAAGGCCTGCAGTGAAGCTTCTTATTACTAAGCCTAGAAGAACACTTATCTCTGTAGCAGCCATACATACAGTAGCAACTTTTCTGCAAGACACACAGCTGGATTATCAAACATTACTCAGCTAAACGTTTGTGCGGCTTGCTGCTGTCTACCTGCCAGTAGGTAAATCCAGGACACTCCCCGCCCCCCATACTTTGGTTCTTCAGGCTTTGTGTGATGGCTCTTAAACAAGTCTTGACAGATTTGTTCATTCCCAGGCTGAGCAAAATTCAGAACAGGTTTACCATATTCAGCAATGGCCGAGTTCCTACGCTTTCTAGTTTATTGATCTTGCACAATGATTAAGACGCATTTCTACTTCTGGGCAGTGTTGGATCTTCAAAAATAAGGGCATGGTGCTTTTGGCAGTGTCATGGCACACCTTTTAGCTTGCCAATAATTTAGGACACTTTGTTATTTTTAGTTGTGGTCCAGCTTCTATTTGAGAAGTAAATTGCTGAGGGGAGGGCTGATGACTTCAGTACCCTAGCTAGGAATACTATAAATAGCCTCCAGTGTGAAAATCCCCAAGTCATCATAACTTCCCTGAATAGGGCAGAGCATTTGTCTTCAAAGGCAAGATGTGACATTTAAAGTTCTCCAGGAAAGCTCTATTGCACTACATGCAGAATAATGCTCTAAGTTGTGCTTATGTATTTGTGTGTTAATTGCGGCATTTGGTTTACCAACCTTAGAGAGAGCTTCTGAGAATCCTCTCTTCCCACTCTGCTCCATCTATCACGGGTTTAATTTGATTGGCAGCTGGCTGTTCGAAAGTGCAGGTGATGCTTTCGTGGAGCACTTCTGGGGTTCATTTGCCATGGGACATGCACATGGTCCTGGAACATTTAGGGGTAGATATCATCTTCCTGTGTGCTTAACATGGTGCAAGCGCTCCTTGTTGACAGCTGATAAAGCACACCAGATTTGTCACTTGACTAGCTTGCCATTCAAAAATTATTTCAGCTGGCCTGTGACACAGATCTCCTGGGTTGGCTGAACTACTTGGGACTTCTGCACTTTACTACTCCTTGCTGGTAACCTACTGGCTTTGCAAGTGCATATGATACAGAGCTGTCTCTAAGGTTTCTTTCTGTCTCTCTCTCTCTCTCTCTCTCACACACACACACACACACACACGAGAGAGAGATAAAATATTAGAATGGATATTGAGCCTATTAAATGTGTTGCAGCAACTTTGAGAGAGACTGCCTGTGTGTATAAAAACCGTCCCGAGAGAGAATGTGATGAAATAGGATAGCTGTGCAGCCAAGAAGGAGCCATATCCATATCCTTAATGTCCAGAGCGCCTGTCAGGAAAGAACAGTTCTTTCAACAGCAGCAGTGCTCCAGAGTTAACCACCAGGCAAACTGAATATCTGTGGGAGTTTGTGGTACTAAATTAAAGATACTGTGCAGTTGGATGTGATATATTTAAGGTCTTAAACTTCAGAAAGATGCTGTGGTCTTTTTTTCAGCTTTGTGCATCCTGTATGGTCAAGGATTGATGCCTCCAAAATGCTCAGATCTGAATGTGCTCTTCCCGACTCAGTGGCCCAGTTCAGACAGTTTCCTAAACCTAACGTAGGTGGCCATGGTTTAATATCCTGGTTTGTTTTAGCTAACCTGAATTGGTTGGAGCAAACCACAGTCCTTAAGAGTTGGCACTGGTTGGTGGATGCTTTCACTTTCCTCATATGCAAAGGAGGGAGAGTGGGAAGTGAGATTGCACAACCTGAGACTTTTTGCGACTCATTCCCTGATCTTTCAGGCGTTGGGAGATTCTCTGAATCAGACCAAAGTCTCAACAGCTGCAGCTCAACATCCGTCAGTATTCTTATTTTTCCTCTCTTGGTTTCCTTGCTCATATGACACTTTGTTCTGTAAGGTCCAGTGTTCTTTTCCAAGAAAAATAGGTGCTTGAACTCACCATGAGGTTGTTACAATAAATCGCTAGGCGACTCTGGTCAGCCCTGAACAGATGCCAGTTTGACAACATCTGCTTTAACTGCCTGCAGAGGTGCTAAAAACCATGGCAAGCTGATTAGGGGTCGCCCCTGGTGCTTGTTCATGTCACATAAATGCGTCCCCACCTCCTTAGATTCGGACGGATGACTAGAGCAGCTCAGAAGGGCCAGGCAGAAACACGCATGTGGGCAATAGTAGAGACCTGGCTGGAAAGCTTAAGGAAAAGTGTAGACTTGTACACACTGGCCAGCTTCCATTTTGACTTGAAATGTCCGTTTTGGGCATAAAGGCAAGAAACGGGCAAGGGGAGATGCTGGCCCACAATGGTGCTCATCTGAGAGGAGCCGGAACTGTACTCCGGCTGAAATAAAGCCCCGATAAGGTCAGATTGGGAAATGTGTGATCGCAGGCATCCTTGATACTGCTCTCCGTCTTGCATGGGTACGGCTCTGTTTCATCCTGGTGCCAAATTGCTGCCAGCTCCAGCAATTCTGTGTGTGTTAGGAGGTAGAGGATACAGAATTTTCCAGGAACAGCCTTCTCACTGTTCTGTTTTCCTTTGCACTCCCTGCTACTCCCTGGCTGGATGTGAAGTTCAGCAAGGCACCAGATCTGCTACAGCAGCCAGTAAGTGGGGAATGGTCCCAGACACCAGAGTGGTTCAAACTCCTTGCCCAAGTAGCAAAAGGTTTGTTCAAACCTTGTCCTTGTCCTCTATTCATTCTGTTCAAAGCAACTCTTGACACTTTTCTCTGGCCTCCCAAAATAGCTAATCATTTACGGGAACAAGAATGATGACATTCAGAGATTATGATTCCTTTTAAAATGTATAAATCACATTTCACTCAGGCAGGCAGTGACCCCTTGAAGTACACTGTTTTGTTTTTTACAGTGAATTCATCTTGTTTAACCGTCAATAAATATCAACTGCCACCTCTTGCATCTCAAATCCTTACAGGCACGGACAGTTGAGTTCCCTTTGGTGCCTTGAAAGGAAATTTTGGGATCAACCATCAAAATGGCTCAAAGAATGATAGCCCTTTGCAGCATACATTTTGTGAAATGTTGAAAGAGACTGTGAAAACCGAGAAATTGCTGTTATCTCTTTTGGAGTGGAAGAATGGGAATACAAAAGGTAGAATTGTTGAAGAGGCCAAGAGCTCTTTCTGATCACAGTGAAACTTGCATTTCAGGGCTTGCATTTACTTATCTTACAAGATCTGATTGAACCCTCTTGTTAAATTTAATGGGTAATATGGTGTATTCTGAGTTTTGGGGGTATGTTAAATTATTCTCTGGATGATAAATTGCAGGATTTTTCATCCTCTGCTAGAGTGCAGAATAAACCAGCATTTAAATTTGGTTTTTGGGTTCATCAATAGAGCCCCTTAAATATTTTTTATTAAGTGGCATAAAAATTATGAATATAAAACAACTGAAAGTTCTTGTCATGAAGAAAGGCACAGTTAGCATCTGTTGCTATATCAATTCAATTGAATTGAATTGATGCTTTTGAATTATGGTGCTGGAGGAGACTCTTGAGAATCCCATGGACTGCAAGAAGATCAAACGCATCCATTCTTAAGGAAATTAGCCCTTGGTGCTCACTGGACGAACAGTTCGTGAAGCTGAGGCTCCAAGACTTTGGCCACCTCATGAGAAGAGAAGACTCCCTGGAAAAGACCCTGATGTTGGGAAAGATGGAGGGCACAAGGAGAAGGGGACGACAGAGGATGAGATGGTTGGACAGTGTTCTTGAAGTGACAAACATGAGTCTGACCAAGCTGCGGGAGGCCGTGGAAGACAGGGGTGCCTGGCGTGCTCTGGTCCATGGGGTCACGAAGAGTCGGACACGACTAAATGACTAAACAAACAAGTTGCTATATTTGACACTATTTAGAAGTTACCTTGCTATGTTTGAGCGTTTTACCGTTCACTGCAAACTTGAACATTGATGTGGCAATATAGAAAATGTGACTAAGTCCTTGGTTTCCCTTTCCAGATCTTTTAGTATTTAAGGGGGGAAGAGTTGTACAGTTTTGATGGAAACTACCTATGCCTCACGCCCTGGAGAGCCACTGCTAGTCAACATAGACAATACTGAGTTTCGTAGATCCCAGATCATAGAATAGTAGAGTTGGAAGGGACCTTGAGGGTCATCGAGCCCAGTGTTTCCCAAACTTGGATCTCCGGCTCTTTATGGACCACACTTTCCATGATCCCTGACCACTGGTCCTGCTAGCTAGGGATGCTGGAAGCTGTAGTCCAAAAACAGCACGAGACCCAAGTTTGGGAAACACTGATCTAGTCCAAACCCCCCCCCCCAAATTTAGGACTCTTTTGCCCAACGTGGGGCTCCAACCCACAGCCCTGAGATTTAAGAGTCATCATGCTCTACCGATTGATTGGTCATACCTGGGAGAGTTTGATGAACTCTTTGTCCCCAGTGTAAATATCAAAGCTGAATTGTTGCTGGAGGCATAGAACAAGCCTTTAGTGACTGTGCTGGGGATGTGTTGGGAGAGGAAGGAGTCTGTTTTCCAGATTTCGTAATCTGAATTAATAGTGATTTTGAAGGGATCCCTATCCTTTTACTTGCAAAGTTAGAAGTCTTGGCAAGGGTGTTACTTCATTGGTTGCTGCTGAGACCAATGCCAAGTGTGTTCAAGCTGAGCAGATAGCATTACAGTTTTTGTGACAAACTGTTATCTTTTCTAGCTCTTCACGCTAAGGTGACCTTGGCGCCTTTTGCTTTGCTTGGATGTTCTCGGGCCCTCCCTCTCTTGACCATGGGAACTGATGCACCGTTGCCTGTGAGTGGTGTTCTTGGGCCCTGTGCAAAGCTTATCTCTTTCTGGAACGGTTCGTTGCAATTGTGCTTTTTGTTTTAAGACCTCTGCAAAAAGTGATATATTGCAGCAGTAGCATCGGTCATGTTAAAAGTTTATAGAGGCATCACCCTGCTTATGCGGGGGGTTACATTCTGGCCCTTGCATGCTTAAGTGAAATCACGCAAAGTGGGGAGCATCCTCTTAAAAGCCCCTAAATGCCTATGTGTCCCTGATCTCCAGCTCTCTTTCCACACAACTCTCTGTTCAACTAGAGTTGAAGCCGGCTGAAGCCCGGAGGACATATGGGAAAGCGGCAACTGCCCTACCCCGTACATCAGCTGTTAGGCGGGGAGGCTGAGCAGCCTAAGCAAAGCCTGGCTGTGCCTCAGGTCTTTTCGGGGCTTCCTCCACCCTCACGGAGGTCCTCTTTGGTTTCCTGGGAGGGTCTCCTTGTGAGCCATGAGGACTCTCCAACTCTCTCCTGCCATTTCCTGTTAGGATTTTATTTATTCATTTCCTGGTGCCGCACACATGTGCAGTTGTGCGCGAGTAGAATGCCTAGAAGTGGGGAGATGCCTGTATTTGCATAGTAGAACAGTGAGTTAAATCCTATAGGTGCTGGAGGATCTGCAAAGATTCAGGAAGATATTGATGGGCTGTTCTGGACCACCAAATGCCCAAGTTGTTTGAGCATAAAATGTGAGAAATGTCTTTGCAGATGAAATCTAAGGGCCGCCTCATCCAGCAGTCTGTTCCCAGCAGTGGTCACCTAAGAAAGGGACCCTGAGGAGGTGGAGACAGTGGCCTCCTGTTTGCTTCTGGTTATCAGGTGCTGGAGACAAACTACTCCTGAAGATGGAAGCTCTACTTACAGCTATCAGGGAAAGTAACTGCGATCTTGAAAACTACCTCTGCCAGAGGTTACCTCAGCCTTTGGATAATGAGTTCCATAAGTAATGCATCACTTGTGAAGAACTAGGTGGTGTTTCTTCTAGAGTGTGGTGCTTAATCCCGCTATGCCATATCTTGATTTATTTCCGTATTTTTAAAAAGCAGTGTACATCTTTCCCATTGTTGACTTTCATAAAATCTCAGCACCTCCCCAGCCTTCAATTTCTTAAATTACACCTAAACAGGGTGGATTGGATTTAAATCAAATCAATTTAAATCACTAGTCAGTAAGACTTGATTCAAATCATTTTTTTACAGAAAGACTCATTCTTGCATATTTGCAACCAGATGAAGGTTTCATTTTTGGAATAATAAATTTTCAGAGTAGTTTTTACAATTATATAAAAAATGACTGATTTGGTTATACTATTAGAAATACATAGACAGATGATTATGAAATTATTGTGGTTTGATAAGTTAACTTTATATTTGGACAGCCTTTCTGCTGTACTTTATTGGAAGAAGAAAAATAATCATTTTCTTAATAACAATTTGAACAATTTATTTAAGTAAAACAATAACATTATAGCATATGTATCCATGTTACTGATGTGGTTAAACGATTTTTTTTAAAAAAAACTTAGACTGAGTTTTAGCACACATGAAAAACTTATAACAAACCCTTACTTCCTGATGAACAGCCTTTGGACTGTAATGTAACTTAAATAGAAAACTATATTTAGAAAGATTTTTCCTCCAAAAGCATTTTATTTAAAAAATCCGATTTAATTTTTTTTAAAAATCCAATTTTTTTTATTATTATTTTTTAAATAATTGATTTTTATCTACCCTAAAGCAAATTGTGGGTTGTTGTTGTTTTTTTAATGTTCCAGAAAGTTTTAACTGTCGCAAAAAAATGAAGCACTGGAGAAATTTCCCACCCTCCCCTGAAGTTTCTCCTGTGTCCCGAGAGCTGCTCCTAAGTGTGCCATCAGCACAGTGCCAGGAGTTTGAATGTGAAGGTTTGGTCAGAGGGCTCTTTGTGGTTGTTGCCCAGCTCTGGGGTGGCTTCTTAGGCCTTTTGCTAAAGCTGGGAAGCCTGGAGGCCTCTCCCGTAGCAACCCTGATTGGGTGTGCATTTAATGGCCAGTGATAAGTAACTCTTATTGATTTTAGAATCAGGGTTTATAGGTTTATGCAAGTGGTTACCTTGAACCTCTGGCAGCAACAGTCTAGATTGCTGGCGGTAGTGAATGTGGCAGTGGACTTGGAAGTAGCTATTTTTACAGGAAGGGTGCATAGAATCAATGGAGAAACTCTCTTTTTTCTTTTACTTTGATTAATGCTCATGCTTCTTTGATGGACCCTGGGAGGAGAAAGAGATCTTGCCAAAGGTATCACATCCGTTAAGTCTCTCATGTTCAATTGTTTAAGGATAATTTAATGTTTATCCTCCGTTTGGATGGACTTGCTAACATTGAGGGTTCTGTTGTGGAGTTCTTCCGAGACAACCTGGGAAGGTATCTTCCTCTTGGCTGATTCTGTAAAGGGACATAGATGGGAGAATTCCAGTTCGAATCAGTTCTTCAAGTTGGGCGTCATCTGATTCGGGCATTGAGGCAGCTTCTCCTTGAGGCAAATCTTGTTGCAGTTATTCTAGATGGGAGCTGTTTACTATGTTAGACCTGAAGTGAATGAAAAGCGGGGCATTGTTTCAGCTGTGAATATTCTGTGTGGCTCGCAGTGTGTTTGGATTCATGTTGAGGTTTTGTTTTTTAGAGCTTGTTTCTGGAATGTTGTGACTCTGTGGAATGTTGTGATTATGGGTGGACTAGATGACCCTAGGAGTCTCTTTCACTCCACAATTCCAATTTTATTTCCATGATCCTTCCCCCCCGCCCATTATTCACTGAAGTGGGTAGAAAAAAGCTAGATCAGCCTTCCTACTCGTCCAGCATTTGTACATGAGTGTGGAAATTGCCCCTTTTAAATGAGCCGGATCAAAAGTTGTTGCAGGGTTTTAAATTCTTTGGATGCTTTTTTTAAAAATCCCAAATGACTGGGGGCCCTGGGGAAAGGAGCTGGATCCAGAGTTTGGGGTAGCCACCCCTGCCTTAGGTTAGTAATTTTTGCCCTCTTGGGTTGGAAGGCCATGCTTTGTCTGTGATTCATCTTTCAGAATACTTCCTTTTTAATAGCACATCGTTTTGTTTTGCTGACACCTGTATGAGGGTAGACTGACCAGTCTTGCATGGGCTTTTGTTTTTCCTCCCTGGAATCCCCACAGCTTCCAGGGTCTAGGTTCTCTCTCTCTTTTTTCTCTCCAAATAATATTTATTATTTTCAGTAGATAAACATAGTAAAAAAAGAAAAGATTAACAATTATAAAAACAAACAAAAAATAGGAGAAAAAGAGAAAAAAGAAAAAAGATACATACAATATATTACCACTTAATTAATTAAAATTAAGTACTATCCATCTTCATAAACATAGTGTTTGACTTCCTCGAATCTCTTCCATCCGAATTTCTTAGTAATTATATGTAGCAGTTTCCAATATCAGAGTTTCAAAAGACCATATCACAGTCCTAATTATATTATATCGCTTTCCTTATCATACATTTTCTTATTTATAAATTTAATTCAATTTTAATCCTAGGCCTAATTGTTTCTTTCAAGTGGTTACATATCTTTAATATTACAATACTTATTCAAATAGTCTTTAAATTTCTTCCAGTCTTCTTGGTGTTACTCTTCTTTCTGGTCGCGGATTCTCCCGGTGAGAATCCAGGGTCTAGTTTCTCAAGCCAGAGTACCTGCTGAAGTCACTTTAGGAGAACTAAAACGCTGAGCCGAAACATAGCCAGTGGTCTCATGGCAGAACACATTCTGTCTTCTACCGCACTTGGCCTAAACTGCCTCTTCAACATAGTTTGGAGCAACTGCACATAACAATGGCTGTATGTCCAGACATGAGAATGACTCTGTTCTGTTCAGAGTAAAGAATGAGTAAATGCCTTCCGGAGAAGACATCCTTGTTAGGCGTGGTTTGCAATCTTCAAATAAACTTGTGCATCGCCCCAGAGCAGTGCTATAATTTGTGCTGTTTCAGTGGTGCCACGTAACAGTTCCGAAGATGGCATCTCAGTGGAGCTGAGATGCGTCTCTCTCTAGTCTGTACCATTGTTCTGCTTTAGGTTAGAGCTGGCCGGTTCTGCTTTTCCCCCAGGCCAGAATGCTTGGATCAGGGCTGCCAGCTGGCCTTCTTTGCAGTCCTAAGAGTCAGAGGCAGAAGAAGGAGTTAAAACTACAGGTTAGGAACAGCCGGTTCCCTCTTGAACCATGCTTGAGAAACTGTGAAGGTGGGAGAAGAGTTTTAGGTCTGCTAAATACTTGCCAGCTTTCATGCTACTGGTGTTGTAAGTATATTTTAGTTTCCACATTTCATTGGAAGCTATTTGGTGACATGTCAGCTGGACAGCACTGGAATCCCTTGTTGCCTTGCACCCAGTCCTGCAAATCTCTCTGCTATATCTTTCTTGTGAATGCATAGTGGCCCTGCTCTTTCTGCTAGGAAGAGCATAAGAAGAGCTTACTCCTGGATCAGGCCAGTGCCCCAACGAGTCCAGCAGTCTGTTCTCGCAGTGGCCAGCCAAATGCCTCTTCTGGGAAACCCTCAAGGAGGATATGAGCACTGCAGCAGCAGTCTGCCCACTGGCGATTCCCAGCAATTGGTTTTCAGTAGCGTTCAGCCAGCCTTCTGGGCTTGGGTGCGGTTCAGAACAGATATGCTAGGTGTGGCATATGCCACTAAATACACATTGGATGACTCCAATTAACTCATACTTGTACTAGACCCGTTGAAATCAACAAGCTCAACTTCCTAAGTCCATTGCTTTTGTTGGAGTCTATTCTGAGTATCACTAATGTTGGATATCACTCAATAACTTCCCTTGCTAGCATCTAGATGAAAAAATCTGCAGAAACCTACTTATCCCATATCTGTGGCTGTCTCTGTGCATATTTTAGAGAATATGAGTGTCTTCTAAGATGTCACTTCTGAGACGGTTGCATTCTCCCCAGTACCAGCTAGTTAGAGGATCATTATTCCATTAGTTGCTTCCTCCAGCTTTTTCTTCTTCTTGGTACTGAGAAGCATTGGGTGACTGGTGCATCTTCTTCAGGTAGTAGCTGTGTGTGAGGCCTTAGTAATAAAGATGACCCTTCTGCTCTTGTAGAAATACCTGTTCAGCAAAGGCAGTGTGGCCTAGTGGTTAGAGCAGGGGTTGGCAGCCTAAGGCCCATGGGCCACAAGTGGCCCATGGGGGTCATTTTACCGGCCCACGAGCCGAGCTACCTGCTTGGCTAGTCCCCACGCGCTGTGCTAAACCGGCGCGGTGCAGGAACTCATTTTTGCGGCGCCGAAAATCACGTCTGCACAGATGCAGACACCGGTTATCACGTTTGCGCAGATGCCAGAAATAATGGGTGCGCGATCCGGCCCACGGAGGGGGCTCCGCGGCTTTGAACTGGCCCAGGCAAGGTAAGCCTTACCGACCCCTGGGTTAGAGTGTAGAAAAATCATAATGTTGTCGACCAAAAACATCTGCAGTTTTCAAGTCTGGAAGGAGGGAAACGTTTGGGAACCACTGCTCGAGTTTCTTGTAGCTCAACCCTGCAGTCTCCCCCTCCACACACAGTAGAGCAGGCACAACGAAAAATCCGCCAAGTTGGAGGACAGAAGTAATCTAATTTTACTTAGGTGCTGTGAGGAAGACTACAGAAACAAAAAGAATGCAATGCCAATCCCTAGCTGAGTTGTCCCCAAATTTTATGGAGACATAGGGCTGGGGAAAGTGGGCTCTCCCCACTGCCCCAAAAAATCACCTTTGTGTTTGCTAGCCAAACTAGTGAAGGTTGGTTGTGACACTGTTGCTACTGTGTTTGTAGAAAGAGAAATGAGGGTCACGTGAGGTGGTGCTCGAGGCTTTGGAGACATTCATTTAGGCTTCAACTGGAAGGAACTCATGTTAGGCGTCCTTTATTCTATAGGTGTGAGATGCTGCGAGGAAGAGCAATAAGTTGCTGTTGTTCTGCAGAGATTACTGGCAACTAAGGGGTGTCGCTCCTGTTCAGGGTTCCAGCAGCCAGAGGGTCCCTTTCAGGAAACTCCATCCGTTTCCTTGCTGCCTTCTCTCCTACCTCTCAGGTGGGCCACCAGCAGGCTCTGTTCTTGGGAATTCCCCCTTAGGGTTCCTTCCGAATATATGTTTTTGTTGTGCTATAAGCGTCAGGGTCAGCGTGAGTCTCCTGGTGGCCCCCTCTTGTGCACAAGAACCGGCACAGAAATGTTGCTATGCATCCTTACTTCCTAGCCTGTTTTCCTCATTGGCACACAGTGTGTGCATGTGCACACTTCCTGCTCTCTTAACCACAGTTCAGAATCCCTTGTATTGTGCATGAGCTGCTCCTGAACGTCATGTAGTGATTCATATTTTCTGAAACCCTGTAAGTTTGATTGAGACTTGAGACGAAGTGGGTCTTGGTTTGGAGCAGGGGTGAGTGAGCGTATTGCAATGGCAGTTCAGCTTGTGACTGCCTGCTCTGGATTTCCAACTCCTAAGAGACTGCGATCTGCTGACAGAATAAAAAACTGGCAGTGATCTACCGCTTTGGGTGGCGGTTCAGGGAAAAGTTGTTGAGTTTCTTTTAGGGAGGAAAGTCTCGGTTTTTTAGGGGTTCAGGCCAAAGATGCTGAGCTTTTTGGGATGAGAAAGGGGGAAAGTTGCTCACCAAAATACAATCAGCCTCAGAGAGAAAACTCCGTCTTCTGTTCTAGATCATGCAAGAATGGAGAGTGGGGCAAGGGGGAATAATAATAATAATAATAATAATAATAATAATAATAATATATTATTTATTCCCCACCCATCTGCTGGGTTTCCCCAGCCACTCTGGGCAGCTTCCAACACAATATTAAAATACAGTAATGCATCAAACATTAAAAGCTTCCCTAAACAGGGCTGCCTTCAGATGCCATCTAAAAGTCTGGTAGTTGTTGTTCTCTTTGACATCTGGTGGCATTCCACAGGGCGGGTATCACTACCGAGAAGGCCCTCTGCCTGGTTCCCTGTAACTTGGCTTCTTACAGTGAGGGAACCGCCAGAAGGCCCTTGGCGCTGGACCTCAGTGTCCGGGTAGAATGATGGGGGTGGAGACACTCCTACAGGTATACTGGGCCAAGGCCATTTAGGGCTTTCAAGGTCAGCACCAACACTTTGAATTGTGCTTGGAAACATACTGGGAGCCAATGTAGGTCTTTCAAAACCAGTGTTATGTGGTCTCGGTGTCCGCTCCCAGTCACCAGTCTAGCTGCCGCATTCTGTATTAGTTGTAGTTTCCGGGTCAACTTCAAAGGTAGCCCCACATTGCAGTAGTCCAAGCGGGAGATAACCAGAGCATGCACCACTCTGGCAAGACAGACCACGGGCAGGTAGGGTCTCAGCCTGCGTACCAGGTGGAGCTGGTAAACAGCTGCCCTGGACACAGAATTGACCTGCGCCTCCATGGCACAGTTACCCCATTCAGGACCAGGGAGTCCTCCACACCCGCCCACCTCCTGTCCTCCCAAGAACAGTACTTCTGTCTTGTCAGGATTCAACCTCAATCTGTTAGCCGCCATCCATCCTCCAACTGCCTCCAGGCACTCACACAGGACCTTCACCGCCTTCACTGGGCAGGGCAGGATGCTCTTTTCCCGCTGATAAGGAAAGGGAGCCGGGGATCTACCAGTAGATCGCGATCAACCTGTTGGACGTCCCTGGTGTAGGTCATAGAATCTTAGAGCAGGAGGGGACCCTGAGGGTCCTTTAGTCCAACCCCCTACAATCCAGGAATCTCAACTCAAGCATCCATGACAGGTGGCCATCCAGCCTCTGTCCCAGTGATGCCGTCTCACTTCCAGTGTTCAGTTTGTTGCTTGCAATAGAGGTGGAGGAACTCCCATCTTGCTCCAAGAAAGAAAGAAGAAACCCCACCTCTGGTTCCTCCTTCCACCAGCAGTTGCTTGGCTGCAACAGCAGCTGCTTCATCAAGTTGTAGCAGAGGGAAGATGGGAAGCTGAGTTGCTGCATCAGCTCAATAATTTTCCACTCCTGCTCCTCCTCTCCTTGAACTCTGCTTTGCTTCCTCTGGTTATTGCAAGGACTCTGTGGACACAGTGCCCCAGTTGCCCTTTCCCTTCAGCCTTCCCAACCCCCTGTTCCTTTTGTCATCATGCCCTTTAGGTTGCAAGGCTGAAGGCAGGGTCTGTCTTCACTCATCTCTGTAAGCCACTTGGGGAGCTGAACACTTGGCTGTGTGAAAGTCCTCCAGATAAAATCACGGATGAAATCAAGAGGAAACATGGACTTAATTCAAATTCAACTTAACATTCTTTCCATGACGTGTATTTCATATTAACTTCAGCAAACGTGTCTGAAGTTATGAAACATTTCCTAGAGGATATGTTAGCTATCTCCACTTAAAAGCTTACATTTTGGGCGGGGCATAAATAATAAATTATTATTATTATATGTAAAAGGTATCTTCACATGCTGGACTTCCCATATTGAGAAGGCCCTGGACTTGTTTTCCATAGTATGAAAGTTTGTTCGCCTTGGTGATGCTTCTGCTGCTGCTCCAAGATCATGTTTCAGTTCATTAAGATTTCACAATATTTTATCTATTCCCAGTAACTGCTGTGCTCATATGAGTGTAGCTTTGACATTTGCTCGTAGTGCTCTCAGATTTTGAGAAGGTTCAAGTTTTGGTTTAAGACCAATGTGGGCATTTTTCTAACAGAAAGCTTTTGCAAAATCTTGTGTTGGCTGTAATTCTGGATTGTAGGAAGGGTACTGTGGGAGAGCTGAAGTAAGCATAACATTAGTGCTCCTGATTTAGGTTCGTCTCTCATGATGCCACATGTCGAATGATGAATGCCAGGCCCTTAATCCTGGTACCTGACTGGGATGCAGCTGCGGCATCCCACACCCTTGTGAGCGGAACATATACGTTCCTTTTGAACACATATAATTCTTGATTGTTATCATTATTAAACCACCCTTTTATAGAAGTTCTCAAACAGCATATGCACGAATCTTTTTGTGGGCGCTTTGCAAGTCTTTTTGGACAGCAGACAGATTGTCAATTAACATTACAGTGCTGTGCTTAAATGCAAATATGAATTGCATGAGAAATTGGTGACTTCCTTTGTTTACCATTTTTAAAAATTCATGTTGATTAAACTTTAAGATAATCCCAGAGAGGCAGAGGACCAGGATGAATGAGATTGACCTCAAATTGAAAATACTAAAATAGGACAAACCTTTTGTTTCCTCTTCTCCTTTCCAACCTTTTGTTCTGAAGCTGCAAAGCAGCTCACAGTAAATTAAATACACCCCCCTATAATGAACATAATAACAGAGCAGAAACTGTGAAAACTTTTAGATTAACTCTCAACAAATGATACAGAAGAAAGTCAGCATAATCAAAAAATTAGGAAAAGTCAGCCATGAACCATAACTCCAAAGACTCTAAAAAGAAGAGTATTTTTCTCTTCCTCAGAAAGACTACAGTTCAAGAGAGACCATGTGCATAGGCCTTAGCTTCGGACCCTGGTGTTACCTGGGCTGCCTGCAGCCCTGTTTACACATGTTCAGAAACTCACGTCTTACAGAAGTATTCACAGAGGGAGAGTCTTTGTCCTGTATTAAATTTCTTTCCCAGCCCCAGGGTGGGTCACATAATAAATCAAAAACACATACGTAACTGTCAGGTCGCATAAACTAACATTCGCAACAGAGCACCTTAACTGTCTGTTTGACAGCACAGCAAAGAATAAACATAAAAAATACAGACCATACCTCCTCATATGCCTTATGAAAAGCCTGGGTGAAGAGACTTCACCTACTCTTTAATCCGGAAGTTGCTGTGTGCTATAGGTGTTATTGAACTGCACTTACACACAGCTTAATGACTTGGAGGAATCTGCAAAAAGACAACTCCGTTTCAGTATAACTTGGAATAAACTACAGGCACTAGTGAAATGGCTTTGTAGCTTGAAGCACCAAATGCCATGTTAGCCGGAATGGCCAGGAGATTGGCTAAAATGTAAGGCTATTTGTAGGCTATATGGACTGGTGATTTGTGGCAGGTATAGAAGCAAGGTGTCAAGATTTTCCATAGTGGGGGTTGGGGGGCTTGATGATGGATCTTACATAACTGCACTTATCGGTATAGTTTTTCTGGGCATGTCATGACTTCTTTTGTTTCTTTTATATTTTAGGGATAGATTTCAAGATCAAAACAGTTGAATTGCAAGGAAAGAAGATCAAACTGCAGATATGGTAAGTGACACATCAGAATTTGTGGGGGGGTTATGTTGATGTGAAAAAGGGGGGTGAGATGCTTTGGCAATGTCAAGATGTGCTCTGTGACTCTCATAGCTACAGTGAAAAGGGTCGATTAACCAGACAGTATGTAACATAAATAACATTCAGTATGTGCCCTGTGACTAATTGAGGAAGACAACACGATGAGAAGAGATCAGCCACAGCAGGGAGAGAGAGACCTGCAAACAGGACTGGAGGAAAGCTGAATGATCTTGCAACTAAGGCATTTGCAGGCAATTCTTCTGCAGCCCCAAAGTCTGCCTTTGACCTAAACAGACAAACATTTGGTGCAGCTTACTTGCATCCTATCCACAGGCAGGTTTATACGTAAGCACGTGCCTGGTCATCATAGGCGAGTCAGTGGTCTGAAGGGCGGAGGTTAAAGCACTCTGTTCTTCCTCCACACCTGGCCTAGAAATGCCTTGGGTGGCTCGAGGAGAGACGGCCCCAGAGCTAAGCCAGCACAGGTGGGCACAGCGGACCTGCTGTTAGGAATTCCCATGGCTGTGCTTGCCAGGTTTCCTACGAAGCATTACAGCTGGGTGATGATATTCTGCTGTGGTGAGTTGGGGCCTTTATTGTCATGCTGTCTGGTGAAGGCGTCTATTGGGCAGAGGGCAGTGGGGAAGTATCCTGTGCGGATTCAAATGGTAATGAGGGTTAGGGCTGGTTTTCGACATCACGATATATCATCAGCTAAACATCGCAATATATTGATATACCACAGTGTCTGAAATAAAGGATGGAGCTATGTCAAGGCTTTGGCTGGTTTCCAGAATGCGGCAGCTAGACTGGTGACTGGGAGCGGCCGCTGAGACCATATAACACCGGTCTTGAAAGACCTACACTGGCTCCCAGTACATTTCCGAGCACAAAGTGTTGGTGCTGACCTTTAAAGCCCTAAACGGCCTCAGTCCAGTAGACCTGAAGGAGCGTCTCCACCTCCATTGTTCTGCCTGGACACTGAGGTCCAGCGCAGAGGGCCTTCTGGTGGTTCCCTCATTGCGAGAAGCCAAGTTACAGGGAACCAGGCAGAGGGCCTTCTCGGTAGTGGCACCCACCCTGTGGAACGCCCTTCCACCAGATGTCAAAGAGAAAAATAACTACCAAACTTTTAGATGGCATCTGTAGGCAGCCCTGTTTAGGGAAGCTTTTAATGTTTAATAGGTTATTGTATTTTAGTGTTCTGTTGGAAGCCGCCCAGAGAGGCTGGGGAAGCCCAGCCAGATGGGCGGGGTATAAATAAATTATTATTATTATTATTATTATTATTATTATTCACCGTTTTTGCAGAGTGCTTGCACATACATCATATATTGCCATGTCAAAAATCATGAAACCAGTATCACAATATGGACTTGAAAGCGGTTTTGAATGATATATCGCCCAGCCCTAACACATATCATGATTTGTGATATATTGCCAGGTCAAAAATCACAAAACGGGTATCATGAAACCGACATTGCTTCTCCAAAGGGGAGCCACCGGGGGTCTTCAAGGGCAGTAGAGCATCGAGTGCTGAAGGCCCTTTGTGGCCCCATTCTGTGCTTGCCCCTTGGAGCTTGGCTGCTGCTGCTGCATGTTTCTCTGCTTCTCTCCACAGGGACACAGCAGGGCAGGAACGGTTTCACACCATCACCACCTCCTACTACCGAGGTGCCATGGGAATCATGCTAGTGTATGACATCACCAATGCCAAAAGCTTTGAAAACATCAGCAAATGGCTCAGAAACATAGATGAGGTGAGTCGTGGGGGGTGGGGACCCTAATGCTGCCCATTTTGAGAGCTGTGTGTGTGTGTGTGTGTGTGTGTGTGTGGCAAAAAGTCACCCTCGGGTAAAGCAGGGCAGGGTAGGTTTGCCTCATGTTAAGAACGCAAGGAAAGCCTGCTGGAAGTGGAGCGTGACCCTCCTGCCTAGTAGCCTCCGATAGCCATCTCCTCCTCCTCCTGTGAAGTACCATGCAGCTCTCCCTCAGCACAGACAGGGCTGGCTTCTTTCCTGGTACGCAGAATCAACCCAGTGAGGCAAGATTTGATGCCTAGGTGCCGTGGCCCCTCTCTCTGGAAGCAGCCTCCCACTCAGATCTGGGCGTTGGCACCTGAAGGCCTCCCTCCCCTTCATTGGATTCACGGCCTAGGACCCTTGTACTTACGGGACCGCCTCTCCCTGTATGCCCCGTGGAGGACCTTAAGCTCCATAAATAACAACACCCCAGTGGTCCCAGGCCCTAAGGAAGTCAGATTAGCCTCAACCAGGGCCAGGGCCTTTTCGACACTGGCCCCATCCTGGTGGAACGCTCTGTCTCACGAGACCAGGGCCCTGCGGGATCAGATTTCTTTCCGCGGGACCTGTAAGACAGAGTTGTTCCGCCTGGCCTTTGGCTTGGAATCAACTTGATCCCCTTCCTCCCTTTCCTTTTTCCTTTCTCTGTGACGGAACTCCTATTTGGGGACTTCCCTGGCTTTTTTCTGGCCCACGTAGAACCAGTCTGGATAGTTAGCCTTGGTGAAGATTTGACATTTTCATCCCCAAAAAGTTTTTGATTTGAGTTTCTACTGAAATGAGGCTGCATTTTAAAGTTGTACTTAATCTTGTTTTTAAGTTGTATTTTAATTAATTGTTTTTATACCTGGTGTTAGCTGCCCTGAGCCCGGTTTTGGCTGGGGAGGGCGGGGTAGAAATAAAAATTATTATTATTATTATTATTATTATTATTATTATTATTATTACTGGGCACATCAGAGCATGAGCTTGAGCGGTGGGGCAGAGGGGGTCGGGGAAATGGACTTCTGGGCTACTGACTAGCATTGTAACAAACTCTTTTTTATGCTGTTTTGATAAAGCGAACCACCTTGAGTAGACTGTCCTCAGAAAGGTAGCAGGGAAATTATTTTAGGAGCAAAGCACTAAATGGAGCAAACGGACATAAAATAGCAGTGTTTTCTCTCCCTTTTTTCAAGACATTGGCCTTCTTAAATAATACATTTATTCTTATTACCATTCATAATAATAAATGTATTGGCCACTCTCCATTACTGCTGCTGCGTTGCAGGGGGTTGGACTACAGCTCTGCAATTCTATTATTCTGTGTTACAACCGTTTGAAGCAGATGACGTCCACAGGAGTAGGGTGGGTCCTACATCTCAGGTGTCAAGGGCCAGGGGATAGAGGTGCACCTTCGGCATTCGCCAGGGAGGGTGCCAGATGCACCTCTGTGAAGAGGGAGATGCCACAAAGAAGAAGACACTTTGCCAAGCCAGCTTCTGAGGGTTAGGTAACTGCTTGACCTTAACACCCAAGAGGGTCTGTGGGAATGGATACAGTCTCCCAGATATTGGGGGCGTAAGCCTTCGGACACTAATGGTAGCACCTTGAATTGGGCCAGCTGTTTTTGAACAGGCTATGGTGACCCCAGCCAGTGTTGTGACCACTGCGCTTCGGACCCGTTGAAGTTTCTGATCCGTCTTCAAGGGCAGCCCCACGTAGAGCGCATGCAGTAATCTAATGTGGAAGCCGAATCACACAATAACCCATCATTTATGACTGCATGGTTCTCCCTGATACTATTCTATGTGACAGGCCACTCACAATGGCGTAGCTAGGTCAGCCTTGCTTTCTGGAGGGAGTAGGAGCAATGCAGTGAAGACGAACCTAACGGTGCTCTTCTTTGGTTCCGTCCTCTAGCATGCCAACGAAGATGTGGAGAGGATGCTGCTAGGTAACAAGTGTGACATGGATGACAAGAGGGTGGTGCCCAAAGCAAAAGGCGAACAGGTGAGTGGCAGTTCCGCTGGACTCTGCAGGTGGCAAAGAGCGGGCCCAGGAGGAGGAGGAGACCCCTGGGCTTGGAGTCACCTGTGGGCAGCTGTCACCAGGTGGTCTGCCTTCAGGGTGGAGGTCTGTGGCTAATCTGCATTGGACACAGATTTCCACAGGCCCAGGCCACTTACCGTATTTTTCGCTCCATAAGACACACTTTTCCCCTCCTAAAAAGTAAGGGGGAAAGTGTGTGCGTCTTATGGAGCGAATGCAGGCGGGAGGCTCTGCTCAGCGCTCCCTTTAAAGAGCCGCGTGGAGCGTGTGTCTTGGGGGCTTTTCCGCGAGGAGGGAGAAGGGACTGACGGGCTGCCCTCTGTCCCTTCCCCCACCTCCCGGGAAACCCAGCAAGAGCCACTGCCAGGCTCTGCTCAGCGCTCTCTTGTAAGGGCTCCCTTTCGTCCCTCATCCCGCTTTGTTGGGAAGCCAGCAGAAGAGGCGCTGCGCAGCTGTTGCTCTTGCTCTGCTGGCTTCTCAGCGAAGCGGGAGGAGGGACGGAAGGGTTTGAAGCAAGAAAAGCGAGAGCTGCTTACATGCTCTGCGCAGAATATTTTTTCCCCCTCTAAAAACTAGGTGTGTCTTACAGAGCGAAAAATACGGTAACTTATGTTGCAAAACCCGTTAGCGTTTGTTACACTGATTTGTCCTTTCGTTACGCCCAGACACACAGGCCAGTCTTTGAAAAGCTTTGCGAATGTTCCTGTCTGTCTCCTCTTCCTCACCCCTTCAAAGCAGAGTATCCCCGGCTTCCGGAGGGAGCTCAGGGTTACCCCAAGTGGTCATGAGTTGCCTGTGGACCTACATTTCGTCCCGCAGGCTAGGGCTGTGAGTCACCTTAAGTCAACTAGCCCTGTCTTATAAGTTGAGCATCCTCTTCTCATAGGGGCCACCTAAGTGTCCTCTCCACACATCCTTACGGTGGTTCGACATCGGCTCAGAGACGGAGCTCCTTTGCTGGATTACCGTATTTTTCGCACCATAGGACGCACCGGACAATAGGACGCACTTTGTTTTATTTATTTATTTTTTAAAATAATTTTTATTAAAGTTTTGAACAACAAAGAAAGAAAAGAAAAACATACACAATACATATCTCAAAAAAAAGATAACAAAAACACAAAAAAACCAAGATTCAACAATAAAAAACAAAAAACATAACAATTAAAAACAATATCTCTTTTCCATTTCCGTTTTTTAGTTTACTTATTTTCTGGACTTCCTCATACCTCCCTCTTTTGTATTCCAGTCCAAATTGTTTGTCCAGCAATTTCTTTTCCACTTTTTTAATCCCAATCTTTAACTTTAATATAATATTGAAATATATAACTTCAACTTCTTTAAACCTGATCTTTAGTCTTAGTATAATATCACATTAAAATTTTCCCTCTTAATTGTCAAATTTCCATTTCTTTAAACATCTTTAATCCTAATAGGACGCACTTTGTTTTAGAGGGGGGAGAACAAGAAAAAAAAAATTCTCCCCCTCTCTGCCCAGCGCCCCTTCAGTGAAGCGGCAGGAGGCGCTGCACAGAGAGGGGGAGAACTTTCCCCCTCTTGTTTTCCCGCTCTAAAACAAGGTGCCGTTTAAGGTGCGTTCAGGCGGCTACCTTGGAAGCCTGGAGAGCGAGAGGGGTCGGTGTGCACATAACCCTATCGCTCTCCAGGCTTAAGGTTCCTTTCGACCTGCTCTTTGGGGCTGGCGGGGGGGAAGCCCACCACCAGCCCCAAAGAGCAGGTCAGGGAGCAGCGGAAAGGCGCAGCGGAGAGCCATAGCTGCGCGTCACCTCTCCAGCCGGGAGAGGGTCGCGGGGCTATGGCATCTTCGCTCCATAGGACGCACACACATTTCCCCTTCATTTTTGAAGGGGAAAAAGTGCGTCCTATAGAGCAAAAAAATACGGTAGTTTTGTCTCTTTCTAAATTTTAGCAGGCAAAGCAGCCCAGGCTGGAACAGGCCTCTGCTCACCACACTGACCTCACTTGAGCATCCAGCAGGCATGCCATATGTATCAAATGTTTTATGTTCTTGCATGTAAACCTCTTTGGGAACATTCCTGTACTGCCTTGTAATTTTTTTATTGCTGAGGTTGAAGGATCTCTTCTCACTGCTGTGGGGGGTGTTGGGCAGCAGGACAGAGCTAGCTGCCCATTTCTGATACGCAGCAGTGAAGCATTTGCCATCCTCACAGGTTTGTTTGTTTCCCCTTTTTCCCTAGATTGCAAGGGAGCACGGTATTAGGTTTTTTGAAACTAGCGCAAAAGCAAATATTAACATTGAGAAGGCATTCCTCACGTTAGCAGAAGACATTCTTCGAAAGGTAACTGCGGGCTTGGTTGCTCAGTGGGAGGGGAGCTGAACAGGACAATGGGAACTGGACTGAGAGCCGTGGAGGCTCAGTGGCACAAATGGGCCCCCAATGGGTGCTTCTCCCCCACCCCCCACTTTTGCCTATAGCTGCAATATCAGCCTCCTGAGCCTGGATAGCCTAGTGTGGCTCTGATGGTGCCAAGATGGCAAGTTCAGTCCCCGTGAAGGATGGCTGCCTATTCCGGCATTGCAGGGGGGAGGACTAGATGATCCTCAAGAGTCCCTTCCAATTCTGTGATTCCTTTCCCCAGGTATAATAGCCTGCAGGGTTGCTGGGAAAGGGAAGGGGAGGGACACAATCAGTGTGTGGCTAAATACCATGCATGCATTCCATGGTGCAGGAAAGCAAGGAAGAACTGCTTTATTTCAACTCAGGCTCCTGGTCCATTGAGATCAGTACTGTCTGCCCTGACTGGCAGCAGTGGCTCTCCAGGGTTTCAGGTGTGGCCTCTGATAGGCTTACCTGTAGATGCTGCTGGCTGCACCTGGGACCTTCTGCTCTGCCACGGAGCCATGAGCCTTCCCAAGCCCATAACGTAACATACCCTGAGAACAAACTCTTTGCCCATTAAGTGCTTTACTTCAGGGTTTCCCTAAACTTGGGGTCTCCAGCTGCGTTTGGACTACAATTCCCATCATCCCTGACCACTGGCCTTGCTAGCAAGGGATGATGGAAGTTGTAGTCCAAAAAAATAGCTGGAGACCCAAGTTTGGGAAACCCTGCATTTGAACCCCCGTCGCTGTGCTGTTGATGTTCACTGAAGGACCATTGCAATTCTGACTTAACCTCTGTCTTGCCGCTTTGTTGCAGACCCCTGTAAAAGAGCCCAACAGTGAAAATGTAGATATCAGCAGTGGAGGTGGCGTGACGGGATGGAAGAGCAAGTGCTGCTGAACGTGCTCCCTTCTCGCCAAGCGCCATCTTCCTCCTCCTCCTCCTCCTCTTCTTCTTGCTGTGGAATAAACCACTTTGCCCATTTTTAACCTTTAAAAAAAATTATTTTTTTTTGTTCCTCATCTTAACATGGCTCCACTCTTCCTTTGTTCTTCTGTTTCGGGAGAACTCGCTGACGATAATTTTTCTGGAAACTGTATTAAAATCATGTCTGACTCTTCTTTTCTTTTAATGTACCAGCTCAACTCGGCGTCACATCCTGGTTGTATTATAGCCCAGTCTTAACATTAAAACTTAGAGCAAATCATTTCAGCTCCTTCTGCAAATTGTACAAGAATAAAACTTAGCATTAACAGTTTATTTTGTACAGCAGTGGGGTTTTGTTAATGAATTCTGTGCTTAAGTCACCATATTTGCATCGGCAAAAAAAAAAAAAATCCATTCGCCTTGAGTATGTAAATGGGGTTTTATTATTTTGTCCTGTGCCTTATGTGGAAAGGAACTTTGGTTCTCCCCCTCCCCCTTTTTTCCTTCTTCCCCTCTTCCTGCTCTGATGGAAGCGGGACAAGAGAGTTGCCACCCCCCCCCCACTTGACTCCGCCACATTTAAACTATCAAACTCTCCTGTGATGACTTTACTGTGATTGATGTAGTGAATTGAGGACAAGGGGGTTAGAGCAAGAGATTCCAGTCTGCTTGGTGTCTCCTTCCCTGGGGAGGGAAAGGGGGGGGGGGCTTTAAATGCTGACCAGTTCCTGCTGCCATTTTCTTTCTCTCTACCAATTTCCTCCTTATTTCCTTTCTCTCTTTCTTTCTCTCTCTCTCTCTCTCTTTTTTGCTTGCATGCCGGTTTTATTTTATTTTTTTTATTTTATGGTGTGATGTGTTTAAGAGACGGCAACACAGTACGTTTGCCAAATTTAATTCGAAGCACTGATCACGGATTCTAGCTTTCTGAGGTAAAACGTGAAGTATCTACTAACCTTTGTCTAGCAAGCGTCAGGCCCGCTACTATCCCCCCCCCCCCCCGCGTAGTTATTGGGGTTTATGGTAATAATGGAAGAATTAATTGCATGCACTAGTTTCCTATGGAGGATGGTGATGATGATGATGTGGCTGTTGTTGATCTTTATGTATGACTCTGCCAGGCGGTTCACGAATCCACAGCCCTCGACACAGAATTGGTTCTCTTTGCTGCTCCAGGCAGGTGACTCGGTAGCCTAGTACATATTTAAGACGGGTGGGGGTGGGGGAAAGAGGGCAGGTGAGTCGATTGGTCGCACCCCTAGGATGCTCTCCTTCTGTGTTTGAGTTCTTCACAATAAAAAACATCCCTTGTTTACAACCCTGGGCAATTGTAAATTCTTTCAACGGATGCGGAAGGACGGCGAACAAACGCAGCTCCTCCTCTCTTCCTTTTTTCCCTTTTGCACGAGCAAACGGGCGCACGCTCTGCTTTTGGGTTCCCCTCGGGGCAGGACTGCCTTGCCTCTTGCTCCAGCTCTTCCGCAGAGATGTTGACGGGGCGCCCGCCTTGAGAGAGTGGAGAGAGGGGGGTTCCTTTGCTTCGGGCAGAGCCGGGGTCGGGACGAGAGCTGGTTTCTCTTGAGGCACGTGCTGCGCGGGGTGCCTTACTGGGACTGCCTTCTCCCCACCGCCAAGCCTGCCTGCGAACCCACCGCAGGAGGGGGGCTCTTGCACCACAGTCTCTCCTGCGGCCCCCTCCTCCTCCCCCAACCCAGGGGTGCTCCAGAGGTTGGCTTGAGGATGAACTTGTTGCCCTTGTTTTTAGGAAACTTCCTCTACTAATTAAATCAGCTGGTGATGCTGATTTTAATTTTTAATTAAAACCACACCACACACACACACACGAAAGTGTTGGGAACTCTTGCCTCGCTCTGGTGTCACCTGCGTAGTAACTGTCCTTTCTCATTCTCTCTCTCTCTCTCTCGCTTTCTCTCCTGTGTTGAGCAGTCTGTCTCTTCCCGCGCTTGTTAACCTCTCCCAGCTGAGTGGCTGTTGAAGCAAAGGCAAAATAACTGGGTGACTTGAGGGGACAAAAAAAACAAAAAACCAGTGCCGTTTTTTGTTCCTTGCGCAATGGTGTTACTGATTAGTGTTGTAAATAGAAAATGGCTGGCTACCTTTTCAGAGCTGCACTTTCTAACGTTACCAAGAGAGAGAAAAAAGGGAATGTGGAGTCTGCATCGAAATCCTTTTTTGTATAACCTTTGTTTAAAGACGTGCGCTTTTTTTATTTGCTTCCTGGGCCTGGCCCTCCTGTATGAGTCTCTTTGAGATCCTTTGTAAAAGCTGTGTTCATTAAGCACCAAGCGGTTAAAAAACAAAACAGTCCACTCTCTGGTACTACTAGCTAAAAATTCATATTCTACTTAACAAGTTAAATAAACTGAAATATTTCTAGCTGGTCTATTTCTATTCATGTCGACAAGTGTGATGTGGGGTTTGTATGTTTCAGAGTGTTACCTGTAACAGCAAAAGGGCCCCCCTCCTTCCCTCCCTCCTGGCTGGGAGTGTGGAACCCCTCTTGGTGGGGGCACCTCTCCACCTCTCACTGCCCAGCCATGCATTGGAAAGGTGTAGCTTCTTCCCACGATCCAGGTGAGGCAGCCCTTCCCCAACCTTGCGCCCTCCAGCCCCCCCCCCCCACCAGTTTGCTCTGAGGGTGGTGCTTTGCAGTGTCTTCTCTGCACCCAAGCACTCCCCTTAGTGATGGCAAGACCTGGTCGCAGTTCATCCATGGAGCCCCTTTGTCCCAGAAGCTGAATCCAATCCACAGAGCCACCAGAATCTGGGCTTTGCGGGGAGATGGCTGGATCGCTTGCCTTTCCTCAAAGGGGCGCTGCGCAGTTCTCTTCCTCCCCGTTTTATCCTCACAACAACCCTGTGGGGTAGGTTAGCCTGGCCGGCTGCCTGGCTCAAGGTCACCCAGCGAGCTTCATGGCTGAGCGGATATTTGAACCCTGTCCTCACAGGCCCCAGTCCAAGACTAACCACTACAGTGTACTGGCTCTTTGTGCTCTCTGCCTTGCAGCTGATGGGTCGTTCCCCCTTCCTCCTCTTGCTGGTGAAGCTCTTGGGGTTTGACCCTCGATGGGCAGGAGCAGCAGGTCTCCTGATGGAACACGGACCGAAGACCAGCACCATCACTGGCTTGTGAGGCTCCATCAAGGCCATGCTAGCATCTTCTGCCCTCCTCCTCCTGGTTCCCGGCATCTTGCTCGGCTTGCCTCCCTGGCTTATGGGAACCTCTTCCCCCGGCCCTCTCCGGTTTAGTCACTTTTACAGATCTGCCCCAGAGTCCCCCGTGCAGGAGAGCAGGAGATGGCAGCTGGCACTCCTGTATCTGGCAAACAACAGGACCTCCCGGTAGTCCCAGCATTGCACCAAAATCCCCTGCTTGGCTGGGGAGCGCAGCTACTGGGACTACTTTCATTGAGAAATGTGCAAGTAAGCTATGCGCTGACACTTCATGCAAAATAAATGTAAAAAAAAAATCAATCATACTACTTACATCTGTGGTTTCCAAACTTTGGGCAGCTGCTCCTTTGGTTCCATAAACTCATCCCCAGTGCCCCCTACAGTAACAACAATTGCACATTTATTCAAAATTCAGTCAAAACTGTTTAGTTTAATGCAGCCAAATGGACAGACTTGATCCAGTGATGGCAGCTTTTCAAAATCCAAGAATCACTGACACCTCCAGCGCCTCCTGCTTTCCTTTTAGAGCCCCCCTAGGTAATCCCTCTTCCCCCCACTTTGAGAACACCTGGCCTACACAGCAAAACGTTTTGGCTTTATAACTGGTCTCCCTACTCTATATGCTTCCTTGAAGCTTCCAGTAGGCTTTAGATAGATTAAGTTGAGCAGTCTACTTTTGTCACCCACTCAATCTTGTTTTAGGGGTTGATTTCCAGCATCTCCCATTCACAGTGTGAAGGTATGTCATTAACTGGGTATTTGTACCTGGGGGTGAGGTTTTCAATGTAAAATCGGTGACTCTAGTTCTAAATGAAGCGGCTGGAATGTTTCAGGGTTTTGCAGCTTCTCTCCAGGCACAGTTGCAGCCCTGCGGGGAATACCAGCAAGATAAAATCCATTTACCTTCCTGTTGTGCCTGATCCCATTTTCTCATCCAGCACACACCTGTCCACACCTGTCACCTTCCGTGCAATGGCGTTTACAACATTGTTCATATCTGCACTACTGACGTTTCTGTGGAAAAGTTGGAAGAGGCACCTCCATGTGAGACTTCCAGCTAGCAAATGGTTTTTGACCTATTGAGGCATTCTGGATTAGTTGTAGTTTCTGGGGCACCTTCAAAGGTAGCCCCGTGTAGAGCGCATGGCAGTAGTCCAAGCGGTAGATAACCAGAGCATGCACCACTCTGGCGAGACAGTCTGCGGGCAGATAGGGTCACATCCTACGTACCAGATGGAGCTGGGAGACAGCTGCCGTGGACACAGAACTGACCTGCGCCTCCATGGACAGCTGTGAGTCCAAAATGACTCCCAGACTTAACACCTGGTCCTTCAGGGACACACCCCATTTGGGACCAGGGAGTCCTCCACACCTGCCCGCCTCCTGTCCTCCCAAAACAGTTATTCTGTCTTGTCAGGATTCAACCTCAATGCATTAACTGCCTTCAGGCCTGTGGAACACCCTCCCACCAGATGTCAAAGTGAAAAATAACTACCAAACTGAAGGCAGCCCTGTTTAGGGAAACTTTCAATGTTTAATAGGTTATTGTATTTTAGTGTTTTGTTGGAAGCCGCCCAGAGTGGCTGGGGAAACCCAGCCAGATGGGCGGGGTATAAATAATAAATTATTATATTATTATTATCCTCCATCTCCAGACATTCACACAGGACGTTCACCTCCCTCGCTGGTTCCGATTCAAACGAGAGGTTTAAACCACGAAGGTGTCTGCCTGGTACCAACAGGCAGGGAGTTCCAAAGTGTAGGTGCTGCCACAATAAACAACTGAGCTAACAGATGTGGGATGAGTATTATGTGGCGCCTGCAGTCGTGCCCATTCCACTGATCAAAGCAGTCAAATGGGCACATTTGGGGTAAGGGGATCTCGTAAGTAAACTGGTCCTAAGTCGTTCAGGGCTTTATATGTTAACAGCAACGCCTTGAACCTGGCCAGGTTGCAAATCGGCAGCCAGTGCAGGTGTTCTATGCTGACAAGGCCTCTCAGCAATGCTACCGCATTCTGCATTACCTGCAGCTTCTGGATCAAGCGCGAGGGAGGCCCTGCATAGAGCGCATTGCAGCAATCTTAAACGCAGCAGCAATCTGAAACAAGCTGCCTTGTGCCCCATGACTTCCAGCTTGGCTGTGCTGCTAGATTCCTTCCGCTCCCTCTAATGGTCTAGCCCTCATGGGCTTTTTCACTCTGGGATTGACCACTGTGAACAGAGCTACAGGGAGAAAGAATTGTCCTTGCTTTCTGCAGAATCTCAGTCCGACAGTAGAGGGTGCTGCTCTTCCATTCATCACAAGGCAAATGTTTGCAAAAGTCCTTCGGGTTTCTGCTGAAAAGTGAACAGCTTGCAGTTCTAACTGTGGCCTTAAAAGTACTATATGCGTTCACTCCCCCAAAGCTGTACCACTCAATCTAGCTGGATGAGGGCAGAGATGTGTGCATTTCATTCTTAAAACACACCTTAGATTACATTTTAGTTGCCTCCAGCATGGTTTTGATGTGGGAGATCACATCTCCCTCTTTGCAGGGCCAAAGTGGTGGTTAAAAAAACAAGATGGGGGCACTTGGTTAAGCATTTAACAACTCCAATAGTCCACATTTAATGCAAAAGTGAGCCCTAAGTGACTCCCCCAAGTCTGTAGAGGTAAGGCATATACAGTGGTGCCTCGCAAGACGAAATTAATTCGTTCCACAAGTTTTTCGTCTTGCGGTTTTTTTCGTCTTGCGAAGCACGGTGTCGGAAAAGCTTTGGAAAAGCTTCAAAAATCACCAAAGTCCTCAAAAACCTCAAAAAAGGCTACCACACCGCGTGCTATGAGTTGCTCCTCGAAGTCAAGTCACAACTGTATTAACGGTTTTAAGAAAAAGGAAACAAACTTGCAAGAAGTTTCCGTCTTGCGAAGCAAGCCCATAGGGAAAATCGTCTTGCGAAGCAACTCAAAAAACGAAAAACCCTTTCGTTTTGCGAGTTTTCCGTCTTGCGAGGCATTCGTCTTGCGAGGTACCACTGTATGCATGTTTACTTGGGGCGGGGGGCTGACTCCCATGTAAGCACCCATAGGATTGCAGCTGGGCCTTGTTCCTGATATCTCTGCCAGGCAGAGTCTTTTTCATTCCTATGGGACTTGTGGAGTAAATGGGTCAGGAGGATGGACTGCATTTCTTTTGTGTTTTTCTCCCCTCAAATGGCATCTGCGCACAGCAAACCTCTCAACTCAGACCTTGTTCAATAAAAGCATTAATTACAAATAAAACCCCCAACAACTTGCAGTTCTGTTGCCCAGCCACACACAAACTATCTGCTGCAAATGCCACCAGCCCGCCACTCACGTCTGCAGATGGGCTAATGCACAGCGCATATGCTCAGAGGCCCCCTTGCGCTGCTCTAGGGTGACCTAGTTCTGTGGCACATCTTTGTTTATAACCTGTTCCAGCCCTGTTTGGTTGCAATTTTGCTTTGAAGAATGCAATAATTCATCCTCCAACAGAGAATTGCTTTTCTTGACATAACGGAGGGGAGGGGAACACGTCAAAATATAAACAGAAGACCTATCTAATGAAGAACAGAAGAGTTCATGTGACTTTCCTCCTGTGTAAATTCCTGCCTCAGCCTTTCCTCCTTCGCTGGTTGACACAGAAGGTGTTCTGCCATGTGGTCTGTGTAAAAAACTGAGGTTGGAAGGAGCAGGCTCAAGAGGAAGGCGGGTGTTCCTCAGATGCTTCAGGCTCTGCAAAGCTGCTCCTGCTGTCTTGCAAAATGTTTCCCTAGGCCTATGTCCAGAGGAGGGTAACTATTCCAGCTCCCCAAAATACCACTGTTGGGGCAGGGTTATTACGGAAGCCTGTTTTCTGATAGCAATAAACTGAGAGGGGAGAAAAAGGATCATACAATAAAGTTGGAACAAATATTAATCAGATAACTTTATGTGGGTTTTAAGAGGCAGAAGCCGCAGGATTTAAGCTTCTTAAGGGCACAGAACTATGCCTCAAAGGAAAGGTTCCAGTGTAGCAAGGAGAGTATCAGACATGACCTGGAAGAGACCAGGGTTTGAATGGCCACTCGGCCATCATGGAGCTCACTGAGTGGCCTCTCAGCCTGACCCGCCTCACAGGGTTGTGGTGGGGATTGAAAGGGGGGGAGAGCCAGGCCCACCAACTCAAACTCCTTTGAGGAAAAGGGGGGAGACAAAGGCAAGAATAAATAAAGGTCAGATCAGGAATTGGTTAAAGACAGGAAGCGGAAATAAAGGGGAAATGCGCCTATATTAAACACAGTCATAGACCATCTTATGGCATAAAACAGACAGGGAAACACCAACTCTGAGAAGAAGGAAATCAATTCCACAAACTCTAGAACAATAAAAAAATCTCCATACAAATGCTGCAAACGACAAGCAAAAAAACCTTCCTCTCTTGCCAGGTCTGTGGCCTTTAATTGGGGGGGAGGGGCTTTGGAAGTGGGTGGGATGTTTCTGATGTAGTTCCCACCCAGGCTTGGACTTATTTTTATTATTATTAAATCTGAATAATGCCCTTCCTCTGTTGATCTCAGGGCGGTTTACAAGAGAAAAACACACATAATAAAAACAAGAACGACCCCTTCTCATAAACCAACAGCCCCCTTCCCTCTCTGTGGGGTTTTGTTTGCAAGTCTTTTTGAGCTGCCCTGGGCAAAATAAAACGACTAGTAATTTGAATTAATTGATTGATTAATGATGATGTAAGCAACGCAGGCAGGGCATCCCAAGAGAAACTTGCCGATGCCCTTTGCAGGCGCAAAGAGGTCTCCCCTGGAGTAAGGGGTAGGGGCGGGCGGCGCGCGCGGCCGCGGCGTCGAAGCGGCCCCTCCCGGGGGCGTGCCTGGCCCATCCCATCCCGGGGAGCAGCCAGCCCGGCGGCGGCGGCGGCGGCGGCGGCAGCGGCGGCGTCCGGAGCGCGAAAGGAGCTCGCCGGCTGCTTCCCCGACGGGGCGGACGAGGCGGCGGCTGCTCGGGCGCGTCTCCGGCGGAGGGAAGGCGATGCCTCGGCGGCGGCGGCGGAGGGCAGCATGGAGCGACTGGCGGCGGCGCTGGGCCGCGTGGCGTGGAGCTCCGGGCCGCCGCTGCCGCTGGACCTCATCGTGGCCAAATGCCGCCTCCCGGCTCTTGTGCGCCCCGGGCCCGGTGCGTCTCCGCGGGCTGCGCGCGCTTGGCACGGGGAGGGCGCTTCGACGGAGTTCCCCCTGCAGCCCAGGAGCATGGCGGGGACTGGTCCAGGACCTTCTCCTGCGTAGCCCCTCGGGGCCGCCCCCCATCCCGGTGCTCGGAGGCGCCTGCCTCACTTCCCCTCCCGGCGAGGCTGCTTCGTTACCCGCGGCCCCCGACCCGTTACGCGCGGCCCCCGACCCGTGCCAGGCGCACGTTGGACCTCGGGGCGCCTCCGACGGGCGCGGACCGACCAGCAGCGCTTTCTCAGCGGGCGGCTTGTGTATTTATTGTGTTGCATTCGCATCTCGCCTTTATCTCCGAGGAGCTGGAGGGGGCGTGAAAGGCGCTCCCCCTCCTCATTTAATCCCCGCAGCAAAACAACCCTGCGAGGTAGGTGAGGCGGAGAGGCAGCGGACGAGTCCGTAAGGTCACCCAGTGAGTAGGGATTTGAAGCTGGGTCCCCCAGGTCGTCGTCCTACCTGGAAGATCACCATCTTTACGCGCCCTCGTCTCCCTTCTTGGTTTTGCGCCAGGCGCCAAGGAGTCCCGTCCCCGCGTATATTTTACTTTGGGACAAGGCGACCTGTCAGTTCCTTCTGCCGCGCTCTTGGGGGAAGCATTTTCTCGCCTTGGTGGGGGGCTTCTGTAATCTGCTTTTTCCCTAACCCTTTTGTGGGGGGTCCCTGTGCCAATGGGGAACTTTGGAAACTGGTGCGTTTTTGTCTGTTGGGTGCGGTGCGGGGGGAAACGTGTGAATGGTTTTATCGTGTCTCCTGGTAACTCTCTTTCTCTCCCCACGCCCTAGAGTCACCCTACTCCCTCCCGCTGCCCCACTTTCTCTCCCTTGTGATTGCTGGGGAGGATTTGCCCGCAGATGTCCGTCCTTCAGAGGGAAAGGGGGGGGGGCGCTTTCCGTGGCAGGCTGCCCGGCTGGCTTCGGGTTTTGTACACCGTGAGAAGAATGGGGAGTTGAGCCGTCGGTGGCGTCTTGCATACTAATGCGGTGGGGGAACCGGCTTGTCTCTTTTCTGCCCCCCCCCCCTTTGCTAGGGAATGAATTTCAGGAGCGGGGGAAGGATGGGAAAACAACAGCAGACGATACAACCTTCCCCCCCAAAAAACCCTTTCTCTCTCTTTCCCAAGCTGCCTGATTGCTGAAAAAGGACGCAGCAGGATTAGGCCCGGGGCACTGTCCCCCTCCGCCCCCAAGATCAGGGGAGACAGACAGATGTCGCTTTCTGACTCTATCTGACTCTACTCTTCAGGCCTGTTTGCTTGGGGGGAGAGAGGCCAGGGACCCCTCTCTGTGCCAGCCTGGTCAGCTGCTTTTGCGGTCCTCTTGCAACCACAAAATTCCCAACCTCTTGTTTCTTTCCAGGCAAGCTGGCATCGTGGGTTTCTGCTGAGTTTATCAAATCCATTGGCACACAAGTTAAACTCTGGAACTCCCTCCTGCAGGAGGCAGTGATAACCAGCAACCCAGATGGCTTTGGAAAAGGACCAGACAAATTAGGATAGTCCGTGTCTGCACAGTGGCGCCAACAAAGTTTTGCCAGGGTTAGTTTGGATCAACTTGGGTCTGTGGCACCGGAGGGCTTTGGTGACGCGGAGAGCAGAAAGGGGAAGCTCTGCTCAGTGATTCATGGGCAGCTTCTAATGCTTGAGACCTCGGCCAGAAGGGAGCTTCCCTCCAGGTATCCAAGGATCATAGGATTGGGGAGCTGGAAGGGACCCCAAAGGTCATCCAGTCCAACCCCCTGCAATGCAGGAATCTCAGCTCAAGCCATCCCTGAAAGATGGCCCTCCAACCTCTGCTTAGAAACCTCCAAGGAAGGAGAGTCCACAATCTCCAGAGAGAGACGGCTCCATGGTCGAACTGCTCTCCCTGTCAGAAAGTTATTCCTGATGTTCCCTAGGAATTTCCTTGTCCTTTGAATCCACTGGATTGGGGCCTCCCCTCTGGAGCAGCAGAAAACAGGCTTGCTCCATCTTCCATGTAGCAGCTCCTCAGATATTGGGTGCCTACGGCTGGAGCTTGTTCCCAGCGCAGGTGGTTTCCCTTCCTTCCCTTGGGAAAAGGGTTTTAGGTGAGGAAGGCCACTGCTGGCAGAAGGAGGGTGGACTAGATGTTCTCAGGCTTCCTTTCGAGCTGTAGGATTGATAAGTGTCTCTTTCATGATATATATGCAAAGGCTGTGGAGCAATGCACCCAGCGGATCTTGTGGTTAATGGTTTTGTGTGCAAAGGTTTGAGGCTTAAGACTACTGGCGGAGGGGCCTTTCTAACATGCCCCCTAAAAAAAATATATATTTTAAAGACTTCCCAGGTTGGCAGGAGAGGAAATGTCATTCCAGCTCCTTTCTCCCATCCAGCTGCCGGATTTCCAGTTTCCTTGTCACTGACTTGCTCCTTTTTTATATAAAGTTTTATTAACACTCTTCACAATGCAATAAATACAAGCTAATCTACACAGAGAATAATGAAAAGAATTTGTTCTGTCCTCTTTCAAAGCCATTGAACTTGGTAGCCACACTGACCAAGTAAAATGCTTCTTCACACAGCACAGGGTTAACTGGTGGAACTCACTGCCCCATGATGGAGGGATGACCACTGACTTTGTCAACACCAGACCTCTCGCCCTTAATGTATTTCCCTTTCAAACCAATGATTGCGGAATTGCACCTCCAGGTTCCAAGACAGTCTACCCCCGAATGCCTTCATTCCCTGCAAGCATCTTGCGAGCCACTCTTGGGCAGAAGCTTCCTGACTAGATGGGCCCTTCCCAGATGCTCAGGGACCCCCTGTGGTCCTCTAGTCCACTTCCCTGCAGTGCAGGAATCTCAGCTAAAGGTTAGCATGGTGGGATCCTGGCCCAGATTTGAATTGCGATGGAGGTGTTGAGTGTGCAGGTCTCCATGGCTGCTGCTGCCTCCGGGAATTCGCTTTCTTTGGTTTTGCTCAGTGAAGGGTTTTGCACCTCTGTTGTTCTGAATGTGGGGCGCGCTGGCTTTTTAAACTTTCAAAATAAGCAGTGTGCGTTTGTTTCTCTCTTTTTGCCTTTGCACAGCCTCTTTCCACCCCTTTGCAGCCCTACAAAGCGCTCCTCTCCTCAGGGTGAGGGCTGCCAAGGCTTTCGAGCGAAGCGGATTTCCCTGGTTACCGTGGCTGGCATGCTAGGGGGGGCATCCATTTGGGGAAGCGCAGAGGCCACAGCTGGCCTCCCAGCACCCCTTGGCCCAGCCCCCAGCCCCAGAGACTGGCCGCCTTACTTCTCCCACAGAGAAAGCCCTGGAATCGTAGAATTATAGGGCTGTAAGGGAGCCAAAGGGTCATCCAGCCCAGCCCAAAGGGGCTCAAGGGAGGCGGGGCTGAGATCCTTCCTGGATGGGCCATTCTGTGGCTAAGGGAGCCAGCATCTGAAAGCCACAAGGAATCCCCACCACCACCAGCTTAAAGTGCCCCTATGGTCACTGGGAGTGGTTTTTAGCAAACCATTCTCTGTCTCTCTCAAAACTTGTCTCCCCACTGCGATCCAGAGATGGCATTATAGGCCTACCTTGCAGGGATGTTGTAAACGAAGTGTCTCGAACATTCTATTTTTAAAAAATTTTATTATAATTTTTTTGGTATTTTCCACACAACAACAACATGAAAAATATCGGAAAAATAACAATACGGTGGTACCTCAGGTTACATACGCTTCAGGTTACATACGCTTCAGGTTACAGACTCCGCTAACCCAGAAATAGTGCTTCAGGTTAAGAACTTTGCTTCAGGATGAGAACAGAAATTGTGCTCCGGTGGCATGGCAGCAGCGGGAGGCCTCATTAGCTAAAGTGGTGCTTCAGGTTAAAAACAGTTTCAGGTTAAGTACAGACCTCCGGAACGAATTGTGATACAGTGGTACCTGAGGTACCACTGTACACAAAAACCGATATTCAAAAAAAACAAAACAAAAAACAAATCCCTATCTTACAAGTTAATAATATAAACATTGAAAAGAAAAACAAACATTGACTTCCACCAATCCCACAGCGCCTCCTTTACCTCTCGTTGTGTCTTTCTGTCTTTCTGTTCTCCTTATTATCTCTATCCTAGCATCTAGGTATATCTAGCTATACCTAGATATAAATCCCTCTTTCTTATCCTTTCACTTCACAAGGTTATTCCAGACTCAGCCAGATTTCTATCCTCAAACCTTGACTTTTAAGGTATTCATTTAGGCACTCCCATTCCTTTTTCGCTTCACTTTTTGCTTTTTGTCTTCTTATATCTGTCAATTTGGCTAATTCTAAATATTCTGAAAGCTTACACAACCACTATCCCCTAGTGGGTAACTGATTCCCTTTCCAATACTTAGCCGTGTCTTGAACATTCTAAAACAGTTTGTCGGCTGGCAGTGGTGATGCCCTAAAGTTTTGTGAGCCTCCGAAAGGTTATTGACCAACCGAACGAAGGGCACTGGGCGCCACTTGCAGTCCTTGAACTGGGCCTGAAATGGAAAACTAAAAGCAGGAATTCTTTAGCTGTGATTTCTGCTGCAGGGGGTTGGACTGGATGACCTTCGGGTGTCCCTTCCAACTCGGCAATTCTGTGTTTCTCGGCTGAACCTGAAGCTGGCCTGGCCTTGCCTTCCCAGGGGCCAGGGCTCTTGCAGAGAGGGTGGTGCCTCTGTTTCCTCAGCTGTGGCCTTTGGACGGTGGGAGGGGGGTACTGCCGAAATGTTTGCCCACTCTGCCTCCTCTCCAGGAGGCCTCCGTCCCGGATTCGGTGCCAATAAGGCGGCTGTTGCAGGCGGGCCTTTGGGCTGGAGCTCTGGCCATTGAGCACGAACAAAGAGCAAAATGTTTCCAGGGCAACCTGCCTCTCTCTTGGCAGGCAGAGCCAGAGGCCTGCTCCCTTGGGCTTGGCTGGGGGGGGTGAGGCGGAGGATGAGCCCCGCAGTCGGAAGAGCAATTCGGAGGGCCGGAGGGGAGGCCAGAGAGGCCACTGGCTTGGCTACCTGTCCTGCCCTCCAAATTCTCCCTGTGCTTTCCTGGGAGGCTGGCCTCAGACAGGGAGACTGGTGGATTTGCATGCATGTGGGTTGTGGCATTTGGAGTTTTAATTAAATTTATTCTTATTCTAATCTTCTTTGGTGATCACTCAAGAGCCGAGTAAGATTGTCTTCCATGAACACGGTTTTAACAATGAGTCTGTAAGTGACTGTGGAGGCCAATTCTGGATCCACACGTCCTTCCACAGTGGGGACATTGGTTTCCGGGCGGGAGTTGATCATGGTGTGGATTTGCCAAGCGTGCCTTCCTCTTAGCACGTTTCTCCCTTGCGTCCTGAGTTCGAGTGTCTTCAAAGCCCAGGACACCTTTGGTCAAGGCTGTTCTCCAATTGGAGCGCTCGCAGGCCAGCGTTTCCCAGTTGTCGGTGTTTATACTACATTTTTTAAAGATTTGCCTTGAGAGAGTCTTTGAACCTCTTTTGTTGACCACCAGCATTATGCTTTCCATTTTAAAATTCGGAATAGAGTCGTTGCTTTGGAAGACGATAATCAGGCATCCGAACAACATGACCAGTCCAACAAAGTTGATGTTGAAGAATCATTGCTTCAACACTGGTGATCTTTACTTCTACACTGGCATTAGTTTGCCTGTCTTCCCAAGTGATGTGTAATTTTTTCTGGACACACCGTTGATGGAATCTTTCGACGAGTTGGAGATGGCATTTATAAGTGGTCAATGTTTCACAAGCATACAGTAAGGTCGGTAGTATAATAGCTTTGCAAACAAGCATTTTGGTTTACCTGCGAATGTCCCGGACCTCATGTATGTGGGTTGTGGCATTCAGAGTTTTCATATCTGGCAGTCCCTTGCAAATGCCCCCTTCAGCCAGCCATGCAGCTGTCCTGCAACCAGGCAGCCCCACAGACTTCGGGTGTGGAATTGATCTTCTGTGTGGCATCAGTCTGCTTCCCTTAATGATTTGGGGAGCAGGGCTTGCAAAACTGGCCTGGTGGGGAAGCGCTAGGTCTTTTTATCGGCTGGCTGTTGTGGTGTGAAAGTCCTTGTTGGAGGATTCAGGAAAGAGGAAAGAAAAGACTTTTCAGAGTTTTTTGGGTTTTTTTTTTTTTTTTTTACTTTATATGGTTATTTATTTGTTACACAAAAGCAATACAACGTTTCAAAAACCCTAAACCAAAGATGTGTCATTTTTCAAATGAATCGCTATCTAAGGATTTTTTGAAATTAGTTTTTACTAAATATTACAAGAAGATAAAAAGAAAAAAGAAATAGAAACAAAAATCAATACACAACACTGTAAACACATTTGTTTACGTATTTCCCAACACGCAGACTAGAAAATAAAAGAGATGAAAGAAAAAAAGAAAAAGAAAAAAATACTTTTCATAATCAATAATACCAAATTTATACTTCAAACATTACAATATATAAATCCTAGTTAAAATATTCTAAAAGACTTCCACCGCATTCACCACACGGCTCTTGGTTTCTAGTTCGCCTTTACATCTGTTCTTCAGTCGCTTCCTTTCCTTGAGTTCTTTCATAGTCCATCAAATCTTTGTGTTCACGCAGTGCAGAATTGAACTGTGGAACTCCTTGCCACAGGAGGCAGTGAAGGCCACCAACTGAGGTGGCTTTAAAAGAGGACCAGTCAAATTCATGCAGGAGGAGAGGGATATTGATGGCTCTAGGCCAGGATGGCTCTGTCTCCACAGATGGAGGCAGCAATATTGCTGAATGCCAGGAGAAGAGAATCTCCGGCTTGTGGGTTTCCCATAACGGGCATCTGGTTGGCCCCTGTGAGCACAGGACGCTGGACTGGATGGGCCTTTGCCTCTTATTGCATCCTTGTTGTTGTTTAGTCGTTTAGTCATGTCCGCCTCTTTGTGACCCCCTGGACCAGAGCACGCCAGGCCCTCCTGTCTTCCACTGCCTCCCTCATGCTGGTAGCTTCGAGAACACTGTCCCACCATCTCGTCCTCTGTCGTCCCCTTCTCCTTGTGCCCTCCATCTTCCCCAACATCAGGGTCTTTTCCAGGGAGTCTTGTCTTCTCATGAGGTGGCCAAAGTCTTGGAGCCTCAGCTTCAGGATCTGTCCTTCCAGTGAGCACTCAGGGCTGATTTCCTTCAGAATGGATCAGTTTGATCTTCTTGCAGTCCATGGGACTCTCAAGAGTTTCCTCCAGCACCGGAATTCAAAATTGCATCCTTAATGTGCCACTATTAATGTCTTTGGGGAGATGGGCTTGTAAAACTTGGTTGGTAAGGAACGTGGAGTTGCCAATACGTCTTTTTATCTGCAGCTGGTAATATTATCAGGGTGTTTGGCATCGGGTGAAGTGAGCTGTGGTTCCCGAAATGGCCTTTAAGATGCTTTTCTGATCTTGCACAGAGGGGTTCTGTTGCCTAGTGCTCGGTGTCCCAGAACAGGACCCGGGAGAGAGACCAGGGTTCGAATCCCCATTCAGCCATGGAGCTCCCCGGGTGACATTGGGCCAGTCGCTGCCTCTCAGCCCAGCCTGCCTCACAGGGCTGTTGTGATAAAATGAGAAGGAGAATATGTAAGCCGCCTTCAGCTCCTTGGAAGAAAGGTGGGATATTAATGTAATAATATGATTTATTATTATGAGGGACGTGGGTGGTGCTGTGGGTTAAACCACAGAGCCTAGGACTTGCCGATCAGAAGGTCGGCGGTTCGAATCCCCGCAACGGGGTGAGCTCCCATTGCTCGGTCCCTGCTCCTGCCAACCTAGCAGTTCGAAAGCACGTCAAAGTGCAAGTAGATAAATAGGTACCACTCCGGTGGGAAGGTAAACGGCATTTCCGTGCACTGCTCTGGTTCGCCAGAAGCGGCTTAGTCATGCTGGCCACATGACCCGGAAGCTGTATGCCGGCTCCCTCGGCCAATAAAGCGAGATGAACGCTGCAACCCCAGAGTCGGCCACGACTGGACCTAATGGTCAGGGGTCCCTTTACCTTTACCTTTATGATTTATTATATTAATTAATCATCATTGTCGTTGTAATACTGCGTGGCTAGCCAACTGGGGAGGGAAGTTGCTGCCTGCAGGGTTCATGGAGACTCCTCTTCATTTCCACAGAGCCATAGAGTTGGATCAGACCCCAGGGGTCACTAAATCCAACCCCCTGCAATGTGGGAACCTCATCTTTTGTGTAAACCAGACCTGCCACCACGCAGGCAGTGAAAGCTGCTTCCAGAATCCCGAAAGGATTCCACTGCAGTTCCTGCATTGCAAGGGGGTCAGACTAGATGGCTCTTGGTGGTCCCTTGCAGCTCTGCCTTTCTGAGATTTGTAGACTGACCCCCCCTCTGGGGGGGGGGAACGGTGGGCAGGGAGACCGTTGGGGAGGGCACCATCGCTGGGACCCTGTGCTGATGTCTCCCTCTGTTCCTGCCGCAGGAGAGTACGTGGAAGGGGTCAGCGACCAGGACGTGCTCCTCATCCACTCCTGCCGCCAGTGGACCACAGTGACAGCCCATAGCCTGGAGGAGGGACACTACGTCATTGGCCCCAAGATTGACATCCCCCTCCAGTACCCAGGTAACGGGGCAGGGGAGGGGGCACAGGCTGTGTCAGATGGGGGAGGGGCCAGGAAGCCCCAGGGGCCCTGGATGTGGGGCAGGCCTTGTAAATAATAACAATAACAGTAAATAATAATTTTTTTTATTTATCCCCTTCATTCCCGGTTCAGGAAACCGGGCTCAGGGCAGCTAACAACAAATTTAAATCACCTATCTGATGCTACAAAAAAACATAAAATATGGTATAAAGCATAAATAACAATAAAATCAAGAATCAAAAAATCAATTGGGGGGGGGGAATCCATCCAATAAACATTAGATGATCGCCAGGGCTAGCTGGCTAAATTAGTCCTATTTGGGCCAGCAAGGAGACCAAGGGAGAATTAGCTGTGGGGTCTCAGAGCGAGTGATCTTCATAAAAGGGGAGGGGGAGGGAAGAGAAGGGAAATAAAAGATCAGGCTGAATTCAAATTAAAGGCCAGGCGGAATAGCTCTCTCTTACAGGCCCGACGGAAGGAGGTTAAATCCTGCAGGGCCCTGGTCTCATAGGACAGAGCATTCCACCAGGTTGGAGCCATCACTGAGAAGGCCCTGGCCCTGGTGGAGGATAGTCCGCCTTCCTTAGGGCCCGGGACCTCTAAGCTATGATTATTCATGGACCTTAAGGTCCTCTGTGGGGCAGACCAGGAGAGGCGGTCCCGGAAATACGAGGGATAACAATAACAATAATAATTTATACCCTGCCCATCTGGCTGGGTGTCCCCAGCCAGTCCTCCACAGATCCACCAGTCACAGGACGATGGTGCAGCAATAAAACTGCTAGCACATTTGCGAAGCTAAGCAGGGTCCATTATGGTTTCAGCTTGGATGGGAGACTGTGAGTTGAGATTTCCTGCATTGCAGAGGGTTGGACTAGATGACCGTTGAGTACCTTCCAACTTTGTCAGCCGGAATAGGTCGGTTGGTTAGACCATGGTGCTGATAATATCAAGGTTGCCACGGATCATTGAGTGTCCCAGTTATATATATTTTAATTTGGTCCGGCTACATCTCCTCCACAATCCATCATTTGAGTTACCTTTTAGTCAGCAGCCTCAGGAATCACGATGATAAGCCATTATTCTCCGCAAGCTGGGCTGATGGGATATCATAAAATCTTAGAATTGTAGAGTTGGAAGGGATCTTGGGGTCATCTAGTCCAACCCCCAGAAATGCAGGAATCTCAGCTAAAGCATCTGAGACAGATGGCCACCCAACTTCTGCTTAAAAACCTCCAAGGAAGGAGAGTCCAGCAGCTCCTGAGGGAGACCTTCCCACTGTCGAACAGCTCTTTCCATCAGAAAGTTCTTCCTGATGTTTAGTCTGAATCTCCTTTCTTATAATTTGAAGCCCTGGGTTCGAGTCTTGCCCCCCAGAGCAGGAGAAAAGAAGCTTGCTCCCTCTTCTGTGTGACAGCCCTTGAGATATTTGAAGATGACTATCCTATCTCTGGATGGCAGAAAGTGAGGAGGAATTAAAGAACCTTTTAATGAGGGTGAAAGAGGAGTGTGCAAAATATGGTCTGAAGCTCAACATCAAAAAAACAAAGATCATGGCCACTGGTCCCATCACCTCCTGGCAAATAGAAGGGGAAGAAATGGAGGCAGTGAGAGATTTTACTTTCTTGGGCTCCATGATCACTGCAGATGGTGACAGCAGCCACGAAATTAAAAGACGCCTGCTCCTTGGGAGAAAAGCAATGACAAACCTAGACAGCATCTTAAAAAGCAGAGACATCACCTTGCCAACAAAGGTCCGTATAGTTAAAGCCATGGTTTTCCCAGTAGTGATGTATGGAAGTGACAGCTTGGACCATAAAGAAGGCTGATCGCCGGAGAATGGATGCTTTTGAATTATGGTGCTGGAGGAGACTCTTGAGAGTCCCATGGACTGCAAGAAGTTCAAACCTCTCCATTCTGAAGGAAATTAACCCTGAGTGCTCACTGGAAGGACAGATCCTGAAGCTGAGGCTCCAAGACTTTGGCCACTTCATGAGAAGAGAAGACTCCCTGGAAAAGACCCTGATGTTGGGGAAGATGGAGGGCACAAGGAGAAGGGGACGACAGAGGACGAGATGGTTGGATAGTGTCTCCGAAGCTACCAGCATGAGTTTGACCAAACTGCAGGAGGCAGTGGAAGAAAGGAGTGCCTGGCGTGCTCTGGTCCAGGGGGTCACGAAGAGGCGGACACGACTAAACGACTAAACAACAACAACATCCTATCTCCTCTCAGTCTCCTCTTTTCCAGGCTGAACATACCCAACTCCTTCAACCGTTCCTCATATGGCTTAGTTTCCAGACCCTTGATCCTCTTGGTTGCCTTCTTCTGCACACCTTCCAGCTTGTCAACATCCTTCCTAAATTGTGGTGCCCAGAACTGGACACAGTATTCCAGGTTGAGGACTGACCAAGGCAGAATAGAGAGGGACTATGACTTTGCTTGATCTGGACACTAGATCTCTGTTGATGCAGCCTAGAATTGTATTAGCAGTTGAGTTGTGGCTCAAAACACCTGTGAGTCCTGCATTGCAGGGAGTTGGTCTAGACAGCCCTTAGGGTCCCTTCCAACTCTGCAATTCTATCTGGAGGTACCCAGTTGGGTATGGGTGGCCCAAAATTTGGCCACAAAATATTCCAGGTCCCTCTCCCACCTCCGTATTTTGTTGGAAGCCCCCCAGAAAGGCTGAGGTAACCCAGTCAGATGGGCCAGGTATAAGTAAATAATAATAATAATAATAATAATAATAATAATAATAATAATAATATTGGCAGCATCGCACGCAGGGGGGCTCTGGGTAGGTTGACATTCAAAACTTGCTCCCTCTCCTCCCTGGTCCTGCAGGTGTAAAAATAATACCCACGGTTGATTGCAGAATTAAGGACACGCCTGGCCTAATCCTGGGCTTGCAAGAGCTTGGAAAGAGGTGCCTGGTGTGGAAGGTCAGCGAGGTGGGGGGTGGAAGTGTTGGCGCCGGTCTGGAAGGCCCTGAACTGAGGAGGAGGAGGAGAGTGACCCAAGTGGGAGTTGGGAATTAGCAGGGTTGAGATCATCCCCTGCCCTTAATGAGCCCGCTAAGTGCTTCCCATCTCTGGTAATGATGCGCAAGGATGAATAAATCATGGGAGCCCCAGCTAATCGCTGTTCCTTGGGGAAGGCAATGGGACAGGAGAGGAGGGGAGCGGAGCAGGGAAGCGTGTTAACCTGCTGGGCTGGCCCATTCATAAAATCGGAGCAGATGGTGCGGCGGCAAGGGGGGGGGGGAGAGAAGAGGTTTCTGTCTGAAACACACACATACACACACAGAGTCAGTTTTGGCTCAGAGGTGTGCAAATGGCTGTCTCTCACTAGAACCGGTACACATCCCATGAAGCTGAATGTTGGAAGATTCAGGGCAGTGCAGACTGTGGAACTCTCTGCCACAGGAGGCGGTGATGGCACCAACTTTAAAAGAGGACGAGAGGGCTATGGATGGCTCTGCAATGCTCCCGGGTCAGCAGCCTTTTTCAGCTGTATCCCTCACACCATGTGGTGGGCCGGAGTATATTTTTTTTGGGGGGGGGGAATGAACGACAACAACAATCCCCATGTTACACCCCTCCCTAAACGACATCACTAATACATCATGGTTACATCATGAAAGGGGAGGTCTGGTGGCCATAATCTGAGCATCCTGGACCCTGCCCCATGGTTCCCCTTGCCCTCCACCAAACACCCATCAAGTGGAACAAAAGAGATATTTGCATTTCCCTGTTTCCCAGCCAAGTTCATCCCACCCTTTTGTCTTCATCTGGGTTTGTTATTCCTGGAATGGCTACCTGTCTGGCACTCAGGTGTCAGGATGCCAGGGATTATCCCTCAGGCAGAGGGGCTGCTGAGGAGCTGAGCTCACATGTCTATATGAATTTCTGAAGTTTTTCCTGTGAGCCAGTACATAGAGACATTTATCAGTGAATTCTTACATTTGGTATCGTGCAGCAGAGGCCCTTGGAATAGATAGGAAGAAACTGCGATGAAGTGTTTTGTGGGGACAAGTCACAAAAGTGACTGTGCTGATTTTGGCAGTGGGCTGAATGTTCAGGATATCTGCTGGAGGGGCAACCCCCTCAAACCTATACATAAATTCCTGCAACAGTCACAAGTCTCTCCCCCCCCCCACATCCTGCCTTTGCTCCTCTTCCAGCTGGTGCCACGACGCCCCCCCCCTGCCTTGCCGTTGCTACAGCCTGTTCCCACATCTCTGCTTCCTTGGGGAGAAGATGGACACAGCTGTCTCCAGAATGTGTGTGTGGGGGCAGCTTCTCTGCCTCACTCTGCTTCTTCCTCCCCCCCCCCCCCAATCCTCATAGCAGCTTTTCCCCATCTGTGTATCCTGTCTTCGATCATCCCCCTTGTTTGCTGGAGTTGGGGTGGGCTGTTGCAGGAGGGGGGTGGGCTCTGGAGACAGACGTGTTTGCGGAGGGGAGGGGGTCTTTGCCTGCCTTAAGGCGCAATCTTTTTTTGGCGGGGGCAGTGAAAGTAAAGAAGGCTTTTGGCCCTGGGAAGCGGGTGCGAGATGCTTGGAATCGGGGAGTCGAGGCAACCTAGGGCCATGAGCGAGTGATGGGAGGGAAGGGGGCTTCTCAGCAAATATAGCCAGTCCCCGTTTCCCTGCGCGGCTGAGTAAACCGTAGCCAGTTCCCACATCTTTGAGGCAAAGGGCTTTGTTCCTAGGGAGTCCCAGTTTTAGGAATCCAGAGGAGGCAAGAATCTCATGGGAGGGGGGCACAATTTGCTCCTGATACAGTGCCCTGTTCACGCCTCTTCTGGGTGTACATTTCCAAAATATAAGATAAAAACCAAATAAAATAAAGCCTACCTACAGCAACAGTGTTTTGTGTTGCGTAGGCTCCTAGGATGTAAGTCATGGGCCCCACCTGCTCGCCTGCTCCCTCTAATATCACCGGTTTGCTCCTTTCTATATATAAGGTGCTGACATTCTGCATGGACTGGTTGCAGGGCAACATGTGCAAATGGCTTTAGATACCTATTAGGTCCATAAATTACTATATAGCATATTGTTGTTTAGTCGTTTAGTTGTGTCCGCCTCTTTGTGACCCCCTGGACCAGAGCACGCCAGGCCCTCCTGTCTTCCACTGCCTCCCACAGTTTGGTCAAACTCATGCTGGTAGCTTTGAGAACACTGTCCAACCATCTCGTCCTCTGTCGTCCCCTTCTCCTTGGGCCCTCCATCTTTCCCAACATCAGGGTCTTTTCCAGTGAGCACTCAGGGCTGATTTCCTTCCGAATGGTTTGATCTTCTTGCTGTCCATGGGACTCTCATGGGACTCCTCCAGCACCATAATTCAAAAGCATCAATTCTTCGGCGATCAACCTTCTTGATGGTCCAGCTCTCACTTCCGTACATCACTACTGGGAAAACCAGAGCTTTGACTATATGGACCTTTGTTGGCAAGGTGATGTCTCTGCTTTTTAAGATGCTGTCTAGGTTTGTCATTGCTTTTCTCCCAAGAAGCAGGCGTCTTTTAATTTCGTGACTGCTGTCACGATCTGCAGTATATATGCAACACAAAAAAACAGCTGCAATTAGTTGTTGACAAAGGACAGCTGGACATATAAAGGGCCCCATTACCTTCAGCATCTTAGGGCCCTCATCAAACCGAAATCCAGCCCTGAGCCTCTTGTGGCTGGAAGCCATTGAGAGCCCTCTCCTCCTCCACAAATTTGTCTAATCCTCTCTTAAAGCCATCCAAGTTGGTGGTCATCACCGCCTCCTGTGGCAGGGAGTTCCACAGTTTAACAATGTGTTGAGTGAAGAAAGACTTCCATTGATCTGCCCTGAATCTCCCAGCTTCATTCAATGTCTTTGAGTTAAAGAATTTCCATGCGAGATGATTTCAAGGCCCGGGGCTGCCAAGCGCTCCAGCTTTCAGAGGCCATTTGCCAGGGTGGGGGACACAGCCCTATGTCAGCAAGCTTAGCTGCCGGCTCTGATTGATTGGAAAGCAATTGACTCATTGATCGGGACATCTCTTGCTCGCTTCCTCTCTGTTCTGGGATGTCCGTGTCTCTCTCTCTGTCTTCAGGGAACCTTCTGGAGGCGGGGGGTGGGGGGTGGGCAGAAGGGAGCCCTTCCGATAAACGCAGCTGAGTTTGCCTCTACTGCCGCTGGGGGAGGAGGAGGGGGCTGATTTAATTCACTATATTGACTCCCTGCAAAATAGGTGCAATGTGGTGGCCACGTTCCATGGGGATAACCCCACAGAAGAGCCTTGTCTTCAGCGCCAAGAGGGCTACAGAACATGCGCAGAGGGACTCGGCCCCACTTTCAATGCACGTGAAATGACCCCCATCACTAGCCATCCTGTACCCTTTTAAACTGTGACTCTTTTGGGGGGGGCGTTATTGGGTTGTTGTTTTCATTCTGATTATATGTTTTGATCTTTTCTGTGAACTGCCCTGAGACCTCCGAGTATTAGACGGTATATAAACTCAATAAATATTAATAATAATAATCAGGGCTAGCAGTCATTGGTAGCCTTTCTCCACCATCAGTTTGTCTAATTGCTGCTAACTATCAGTACAATGTGGAAGCAGTTTAGTTGCGTGATTCTCTTGCCCCACATGCGCCCACTTGGCTGCATCCATCGGCCGCACTGGCAGCATTGCAGGTACCACCTAAGACCCTCCCCACCTTTGCAATATCTTGATCGTTGAATGCGGCAGCCCCTGTCCTTTGGAACTCCCTGCCTATTGATATCAGGCCTTCACTGTACTCATTTCAGTGCCTGCAAAAAAAGATTTTTGTTTAGAACAGCCTGCTCAGACATGTAGAATGTGGATGCATGTTTTGATCCATTTTTAGTTTATTGATGGTTTTATTCTTTGAACGCCTCAATGATTATTTTTTTTTACTGATACAGCGGTACCTTGGTTTTTGAATGTCTCCGTAGACAAACATTTTGGTTTTCGAATGCTGTAAACCCGGAAGTGAATGCTTTGGTTTTCAAACACTTTTCGGAAGTCAAACATGCCTCGCGGCTTCCCTATTGAGTTTTCCATTTTGAGGCTTCCCTATTGAGTTTTCGGTTTCCGAACGTTTTGGAACTTGAAAGGTCTTCCGGAATGGATTACATTCGAAAACCAAGGTACCACTGTCATGTTATTGTTTTGTTCTCTCTGTAAACCGCTTTGTGGTTCTTTTTAAAAAAACAACAACACACACACAAGTTTGTTTATAAAATGTATGAAACAAATAAACAATAAATAGATGGACCGCAGTGGCTGTAGGCTGCCTGCCCGAGTCAGAGGCATCAGGCCTCTGGAGAGGAGTTGCCTGGGGCTAACACACTCCTGGCATTTTTTAGGGGGTGGGGGAACCACTGTAGGAATCAGGAATGCTGAACAGAGCAATCTTTGGTCTGACCCAGCCAGACTCCCCTTACGTACCCCCCGCCCCAAAGAATTGGACAAGGAGCTCTCCCCCAATGGTTATCAGCCATAATAGTTTGAAGAGACAGCCGCATTGCAGGGGGTTGGAACCTGGGCCGTCTTAACCATTGGCACTAGGGGTGCATGGCACCCGGGCGCCTGGCTCTCAGGGGCACCAGGCTTAGAGTCCGGGGCCTAGCGTTGGAGTCCAGGGAAAAGGCGCCGACAGCCGAGCGGAGCAGAGCCTGTTGAAGTGCCGTGGGCAGCTTTTCCCCGGACTCCAACGCTGGCCCCCGAACTCGTGCCAAGCCACCGCTCGGCTGTCGGCTCTTGCCGCAGCTGCATGGCAGCTGTTTCGGTTGCACGCTCCACGCCTGGAGGGTTGTGTAACATTGTGGGTGCTGCGTGACGCATCCTGTTTTGTGCGCCCTTGCTGCCTTTTCCGCTGCTGGCGCACGCTCCCAACACTGCCCAACGTGGGGTGCCAGCGCAGAATGACTTATGCTTAAGACGGCCCTGTTTGGAACTTCTACAATTCTATGAAGCTGAGCTCTACCTCTCTTTTAAATCAGAACCAGTGAAGGCGGTGAAGGTCCTGTGTGAGTGCCTGGAGGCGGTTAGAGGATGGATGGCGGCTAACAGATTGAGGTTGAATCCTAACAAGACAGAAGTACTGTTTTTGGGGGACAGGAGGCGGGCGGGTGTGGAGGACTACCTGGTAACTGTGCCCCTGAAGGACCAGGTGCGCAGCCTGGGGGTCATTTTGGACTCACAGCTGTCCATGGAGGCGCAGGTCAATTCTGTGTCCAGGGCAGCTGTTTACCAGCTCCACCTGGTACACAGGATGAGACCCTCCCTGCCCGCAGACTGTCTCGCCAGAGTGGTGCATGCTCTGGTTATCTCCCACTTGGACTACTGCAATGTGCTCTACGTAAGGCTACCTTTGAAGGTGACCCGGAAACTACAACTAATGCGGCAGCTAGACTGGTGACTGGGAGCGGCCGCCGAGACCACATAACACCGGTCTTGAAAGACCTACACTGGCTCCCAGTAGGTTTCCGAGCACAATTCAAAGTGTTGGTGCTGACCTTTAAAGCCCTAAACGGCCTCGGTCCAGTATACCTGAAGGAGTGTCTCCACCCCCATCGTTCTGGGTCCAGCGCCAAGGGTCTTCTGCCAGTTCCCTCGCTACAAGAAGCCAAGTTACAGGGAACCAGGCAGAGGGCCTTCTTGGTGGTGGCGTCCGCCCTGTGGAACGCCCTCCCACCAGATGTCAAAGAGAAAAACAACCACCAAACTTTTAGAAGACATCTGAAGGCAGCCCTGTTTAGGGAAGCTTTGAATGTTTAATAGGTTATTGTATTTTAGTGTTTTGTTGGAAGCCGCCCAGAGTGGCTGGGGAAGCCCAGCCAGATGAGCAGGGTATAAATAATAAATTATTATTTTTATTACAAGTTCAAGGCCCGTTGTGTCAGGCCGAGGAGTCTCCTCCATTGGGCACTGACCACCGTTGGAGGCAGTGATCTGGGCTAGGCCAATCTGGGTTTGGCTGGGGGGATTCAGACCCCCTGAGTGACCCCTGGAGCAGCAGGTCTCCCTTAACCGTTCTGGTGTGTGTTTCGCACCCTGCAGGGAAATTCAAGCTGCTTGAGCAGGACAGGGATGTCAGGGAGCCCGTGCAGTACTTCAACAGCGTGGAAGAGGTGGCCAGCATCTTCCCGGACAGGGTCTTCGTCATGGAGGCCATCACCTTCAGCGTCAAGGTCAGTGGCGCTTCAAGGGGACCAGGGGGTGGGTGGGGAGATCTCGGCTCAGGGTTCAAGTGCAAAAGGGATGGAAGGGCAGCCATTTCCACTTTGAGAGGGAGTCAGGTCTCCCCACCTTGACTTGAAATCCCGCCTCTTCGCTGCGGCTTCTTTCTGCTCACCTGGCAAAGAGCTGAGCCGTGTTGGGGATCCTTCCTGCCCCATAATAAGTTGGGGAAAGCACCGCAAAACCTGAGCTGCTGGATTGCAGAATTCTAAAATTGGAAGGGCCCCCCGAGGGTCATCTAGTCCAACCCCCTGCAATGCAGCAATTGTAGCTGCAGGATCCTTGACAGATGACCATCCAGCCTCTGCTTCCCACTGTCTAACAGCTCTCACTGTCAGAAGGTTCTTCCTGATGTTTAGTTGCAATCTCCCTTCTTCTAACTTGAAGCCATGGGTTCGAGTCTTACCCCCCAGAGCAAGAGAAAACAAGCCTGTTCCCTCTTCCACATGACAACCCTTGAGATATTTGAAGATGGCTGTCCTATCTCATCTCAATCTCCTCTTTTCCAAGCTAAACATACCCAGTTCCTTCAACCGTTCCTCATCAGGCTTGGTTTCCAGACCTTTGATCCTCTTGGTTGCCCTAATCTGCACACGTTCCAGCTTGTCAACCTCCTTCTTAAATTGTGATGTCCAGAAGTGGACACAGGATCCTAGGTGGGGGTCTGACCAAGGCAGAATAGAGTGGGACTGTTCCTTCCCTTGATCTGGATACTAGACTTCTGTGGATGCAGCCTAGAATAGCATTAGCTTTTTTGCTGCTGCATCACACTGTTGGCTCATGCTCAGCTTGTGGTGCACCAAGACCCCTAGATCCTTTTCACATGTGCTACTGGCAAGCAAGGGACATGGGTGGCACTGTGGGTTAAACCACAGAGCCTAGGACTTGCCGATCAGAAGGTCAGCGGTTCGAATCCCCACGACAGGGTGAGCTCCCATTGCTCGGTCCCTGCTCCTGCCAACCTAGCAGTTCAAAAGCACGTCAAAGTGCAAGTAGATAAATAGGTACCGCTCCGGCGGGAAGGTAAACGGTGTTTCCGTGTGCTGCTCTGGTTCGCCAGAAGCGGTTCAGTCCTGCTGGCCACATGACCTGGAAGCTGTACGCCGGCCAGTAAAGCGAGATGAGCGCTGCAACCCCAGAGTCGGCCACGACTGGACCTAATGGTCCTTTACCTTTACCTTACTGGCAAGCAAAGTTTTCCCCTGTTCTATATTTGTGCCCCTTCTTCTTCCATCTCCTGGCTGACCCTCTTCTTCCTCCCAGGTGGTCTCGGGGGAGTTCAGCGAGGACAGTGAGGTGTACAACTTCACTCTGCACGCTGGGGACGAGCTGACGCTCATGGGTCAGGCTGAGATCCTGTGTGCGAAAGCCGCCAAGGAGAAGTCGCGCTTTAACACGTTGCTGCGGAAGCTGGGCAAGGCGGGTGTCGCTGGTGGTGGCACTGCAGCTGGCGGCGGGGGCAGCGGTGGTGCCAGCGGCGGCGGGGGCAGCCGCCCGCTGAAGGGCAAGATGCCCTGCCTGATCTGCATGAACCACCGCACCAACGAGAGCCTCAGTTTGCCCTTCCAGTGCAAGGGGCGCTTCAGTACCCGCTCCCCGCTGGAGCTTCAGATGCAGGAGGGCGAGCACACCATCCGCAGCATCATCGAGAAGGTGCGGCTGCCCGTCAACGTGACGGTGCCCACCCGCCCCCCGCGCAACCCCTACGACCTCCACGCCATCCGCGAGGGCCACTGCTACAAGCTGCTCAGCATCATCTCCAAGACGGTGGTCCTCTGCTGCATACTGCGCAGGGACGCCGTGGCGCCCTTCCACTTCCTCCTGCTGACGGACATGCCCCGCTTCCTGCTCCCCGAGGGGGCGCTGTGGGGCGGAGGGGACGCCCGCCTGGAGAAGCTCCTCCGCGAGAGCGCCGCCCTCTGCCAGGAGTGCTTCGACCCCAACGAATACTCCAAGGCGGTGCGCGAGGCCAAGGCAGACCTGGCGGAGGAGTGCGCCAGTCCCCGGCGCGTCCGCCTCTGCCTCCAGGGCTATGCCCGCGACGAACTGGCGCATTCCTTCCAGCGCCTCTCGCTCTGCCTCTATAGCACCTCCGGGGGCGCCCGCCAGGACCCTGCCTCCGGGGGGAGGAGCCAGAGGGCGCTCCTCCCTTCCCGCCAGGACCACCACGAGGCCCTCTTCCCGGACGCCCCGGACGCCGAGCGGGAATACACGACCCCCGACTGGACCGAGCCGGCCTTCCGGGCTCCGGAACTGCCCTACGAGGAGCTGTGGACCAACCAGAACCGCGGGAGCTACGCCGAGCCCAGCGGAAAGCCGGCCGGCTTGGAGAGCGCCAACCCGGGCCAGAGAGACCTCATCTCCTTCGCCGGACTCGCCTCGCCCCTGGGGTCCCCGCCGCCGTGCCACCAGGGCCTGCTGGGGGAGGAGCCTGCGGGAGATGCTCCGCCCCCGGTCCCGCCCAAGTCTGAAGCGGTGAGGGATGCCTCAGGCGACCGGGAAAGGGGATGTGGAGGAGCTTGATTGGATCGGTTTGGGACACAGGCGCGGGGGGCGTTCACGACCCGCGGGGACGTATCCGGAATACAGTGGACGCTTGGGTCCCAAACGTGATCCGTGCGGGATGCACGTTCGCAACTTGCAGCATTCACAACCCGCATCTGTGCACACGGAGGTTGCGATTCAGGTTGCGCATACGCAAAGCACGATTTTAGTGGTTCTGCGCATGCACGAGCGCCAAAACCCAGGAGTAACCCGTTCCAGTGCTTCTGGGCTTGGCGCAGTGTGCAACCTGAAAACGCACAACCTGAAGCGTCTGTAACCCGAGGTATGACTGTACTGCATTCGGAAGGCGTGTCCAGGCGGAATTCGGCAAAATGTCTGGGAAAATCCAGACGGGTGGCAACCCATGTCGACAGCGTTGTTTTTGCTGATCTCTCTTAAAAATAGCTCAAAAACATCAATATTTTTTTACTATTATTATTATTATTATTATTATTATTATTATTAGCGATTTTTGTGTCTGGATTTTCACTTTTCGAAATATGGCAACCCTAAACAAACCAAGAAAGGGGAGCAGTTCAGAAGTTCGGGCTGCCTGCTCCGTGTGGTTGCGGCGCCTTTTTGAGATTGACCAATTTGAGGTCTGCCTACAAAAGTGTTAGGCTGTAAGATTTTGGGTTGGGGCAGCTCTGGAGTCTCTCCCCCCCCCCAGCTGTCCTGCTAAGCTTTGCTTATGGCTAGCATTGGGGTTTTTGGCTAGAGAAGGTTCCATACCTGGAGAGTCAAGTTTTAGGATGAAATGACAGATTGCACAGAATTTGCCTCCCTGCAGTGAAAATGGCGGAGCCCCAGCCCCTGGCCGGCTGCTTCCCTGCCACCCATCCCTGGCTGCTACTGGTCCAAGATCTTACCAGTTGTGCGGAAAACCCAAAGAGGGGTTTTGCTTACCTGCACTTCAGTTCAGTGCGTAAGATTAGGTTTTTGCAAGGCAGAGATGCAGAACAACCAGAAATCCTCTTGGATTTGGGGGAATTAATCAGGACACAATATGAAGGGGTGAAGGGGTGGGTGACCCCTGAGTTTCCCTCCCAAGGCAAATGCAGAGAGGGGCTTTTAGGGGTGAATGGCTGGATGTGTATTTAATCAGTTCCCCCCCAAACTGAGCTCCGACAGTGACAGTAAACCCAGACGGAGGGTGTGTTTGTGTGGAGACTTGCAGAGGAGAACTGACTCCATCTGCTAAGCCTCTTCTGCAAATGCCCCTTTCTGCCCACCCAGCCACCACTGGCATTCATCTTTGGGGGCATGCCTCTTTCTTAAAGTTGCCCCCCTATTGGGGCTCTTGTTGTGCCCCCATTTAAAGGTGTGTGTTCTGCCCTTCGGATAGCTCTGATCTTGGCTTCCAGCTGGCTATCACCACTGCAGAAAGCAGATGAATCTCTCTCTCCCCCTCTCCATCTTTTCCAGGTGAGGGAGGAGTGCCGCCTTCTCGTTGCGCCCCCAGTGCCACCCCGGGGTGGCCATGCGCCGGCTGCTTCCAGCCCTCCGGTGCCTCTGCGTTTCCCGAAGCTCCAGGGAGCTGCTTCTCCCAGCTCCAGCCTCTCCTACTACTCGCCTGGACTGCATGATGGGTAAGTTGCTTCCCAAGGGGGGGGGGGCTGAGGACCCTGGGGTTTTCCCCTCCCTCCCAGAGAGCTGGCTGGGGCTTCTCAGTTGAAGCCATGTGAGAGCTCCATGCTCCAGAGTTCTCTTATTCTCCGTCTTCCTTCCTTCGTGTAAGTTTTTGGCACAAAGGAACGCCTGTTTATGAACCCAACAAGGCCTTGATCCAGCCCCCTGCCAGAGGTTCTAGACTACAATGCCCATGAGCACCATAGCTGTCAACATTTCCCATTTTTTAAGGGAAATTCCCTTATTCCGAATAGGATTCCTCGCAAAAAAAAGGGAAAAGTTGACAGCTATGATGAACACCAGCTGACATGGCCAGTGCTCAGGGATGCTGGGAGTTGTAGTAAAAAAAAAGCTCTAATGCTATTTTTGGCTGAATCAACAGAAGTCTTGTGTCCAGATCAAGGGAAGGAATAATCCCACTTTATTCTGTCTTGGTCAGACAGAATTGTTGTTGTTTAGTTGTTTAGTCGTGTCTGACTCTTCGTGACCCCCTGGACCAGAGCACGCCCGGCACTCCTGTCTTCCACTGCCTCCCGCAGTTTGGTCAAACTCATGCTGGTAGCTTCGAGAACACTGTCCAACCATCTCCTCCTCTGTCGTCCCCTTCTCCTTGTGCCCTCCATCTAACATCAGGGTCTTTTCCAGGGAGTCTTCTCTTCTCATGAGGTGGCCAAAATACTGGAGCCTCAGCTTCAGGATCTGTCCTTCCAGTGAGCACTCAGGGCTGGTTTCCTTCAGAATGGAGAGGTTTGATCTTCTTGCAGTCCATGGGACTCTCAAGAGTCTCCTCCAGCACCAGAATTCAAAAGCATCAATTTTTCGGTGATCAGCCTTCTTTATGGTCCAGCTCTCACTTCCATACATCACTACGGGGAAAACCATAGCTTTTACTATACGGACTTTTGTTGGCAAGGTGATGTCTCTACTTTTTAAGATGCTGTCTAGGTTTGTCATTGCTCTAACTAGGCTAGCGGGTGGCAAATATCTGGAAACCATGAATTCCTTATAGTGAATTTAGTGGTTCTGGAGGAACTCCAAGGTGAGCCTCAAATTTTAGCAGCGACCTGAAGAATGCCAAAATTCAGCATGTGTGCTTTGTTGCCTCTCACAGTCTGCTCTAAGTAATCCTTGTAGCGTCCCTGGAGGTGCCCCTGAGGCTCTGCACCCAGTGTGACCGAACAGTATAAGACGTGAATAACAATAAATTCAGAATTCAAGAAACAATTTAGGGGGAAGATCCATCCAATAAACATTAGATGATCACCAGGGTATGCTGGCTAACTTAGTCCTTGGCACAAAAGCGCCCCCACGTGGCCACAGACTTGGTCTCCTGAGAGGTTTCTCTGCCAGAAACCTGCCATGAAGTTAGCTTTTGGAGGTGCAAAAATCCCGGTGCTAAAAATATTGCTGCAGAATTTGGAAAGACGCTGGACTTCTCCTGTCTGGATGTTGGGAAATTGTGCTGGCTTTCAAGCTTTGAAAAAAAAGGGAAACAGCAGCAGGTGACCCTGGAAGAATTCCTGAGACCTTTAGTCCTGTAAGTGAGCCTGTCTATCCTGCCGGGCCTTTAAGACATGGCGTAGCCAGGAATTATTTTTTTGGGGGGGGGGCCAAGACTTTTGTTAGCAGAACTGACATGATTGGTCAGTTAGTTAAGTATTTCTATTGTTTTACTTGATGAGGGAAGCATGCTTTAAGAGTCTCGGTTCTGGCTGCCTGTTAGTTCATAGAATCATAGACTCCTGGAATTGTACCATTGGAAGGGTTTCCCAAAGGTCATCTAGTCCAACCCCCAGAAATTCAGGAATCTCAGCTCAAGCATCCCTGACAGATGGCCCTCCAACCTCTGCTAGAAAACCTCCAAGGAAGGAGAGTCCACAACCTCCCAATGGGGACCAATCCACTATCCAACTGTTCTTACTGTCGGAAAGTTCTTTTTTTTAACATAATTTTTATTGAGTTTTCCCTATTTCATTACACAAATCCATAACTTAAAGCATTGCTCAAACAAAGCATCGACCTCCTTCCCTGCCTCTTTCTGACTTCCAAACATATTTTACAAATTCTTCGCATTGCTATAGCCACTTCTTTACCTTATAACTTCTTTTGACATTCACCTCCTTATATGTAAATCAGCTCCTTGTTATCACAATTCCAAACATTTCGACTCAAACCTACAAACGTTTTCAAATGTTTACAGTTTTCTTTCATATAAAATATAAGTTTCCTCCAATCCTTTTGAAACGGTTCGTCACACCAATTCCGGATCTTCCCCGTCAGCTTTGCCAGCTCCATGTATTCAACCATCTTTATCTGCCAATCTTCCAACATAGAAAGTTCCTGCTGCTTCCATTTCTGGGCCAGAAGTATCCTTGCAGCCGTTGTGGCGTGCATAAAAAAAATTACATTAAAAAAAAAAATTCCTCACCAATTAACCCCAGCAAAAATGCCTCTGGATTTTTTTTACTAAAATTTTACTTAAATACCTTTTCCAGTTCATTATATATAATATCCCAGAAGGCTTTCACCTTAGTACAAGTCCACCACATATGGCGGAAATTCCCCTCCTTCTCCTTGCACTTCCAAAACTTTATCTTGATTCCTATACATTTTGGCAAGTTTACTCGGTGTAACGTACCAGCGATACTGCTGGGCCCATAACCTGCTGAGATATAATGGCGCCCGGCACGTTTCTCCCTGTGCCGATGGACGCCTGTGCTGATAGGTAAAACTTACCAGATACATCATCTTCATTAATTCGCTTTAAGTGCCACACGGAAAGTTCATTTGCTTCCAGGTTCCAAGTAATTATGGGGGAAAACACAGGATGTGAGTGTCTGGAGGCAGTTGGAGGATGGATGGCGGCTAATGGATTGAGGTTGAATCCTGACAAGACAGAAGTACTGTTTTTGGGGGACAGGGGGCGGGCTGGTGTGGAGGACTCCCTGGTCCTGAATGGGGTAACTGTGCCCCTGAAGGACCAGGTACGCAGCCTGGGAGTCATTCTGGACTCACAGCTGTCCATGGAGGCGCAGGTCCATTCTGTGTCCAGGGCAGCTGTCTCCCAGCTCCACCTGGTATGCAGGCTGAGACCCTACCTGCCTGCAGACTGTCTCGCCAGAATGGTGCATGCTCTGGTTATCTCCTGCTTGGACTACTGCAATGTGCTCTACGTTGGGTTACCTTTGAAGGTGACCCGGAAACTACAACTAATCCAGAATGCGGCAGCTAGACTGGTAACTGGGAGCAGCCGCTGAGACCACATAACACCGGTCTTGAAAGACCTACATTGGCTCCCAGTATGTTTCCAAGCACAATTCAAAGTGTTGGTGCTGAGCTTGAAAGCCCGAAATGGCCTCAGCCCAGTATACCTGAAGGAACATCTCCACCTCCATCATTCTGCCCAGACACTGAGGTCCAGATCCGAGGGTCTTCTGGCGGTTCCCTCCCTGCGAGAAGCCAAGTTACAGAGACCAGGCAGAGGGCCTTCTTGGTGGCGGCGCCCACCCTGTGGAACGCCCTCCCACCAGCTGTCAAAGAGAGAAATAACTACCAAACTTTTAGAAGACATCTGAAGGCAGCCCTTTTTAGGGAAGCTTTTAATGTTTAATAGGTTATTGTATTTTAGTGTTTTGTTGGAAGCCGCCCAGAGTGGCTGGGGAAACCCAGCCAGATGGGCGGGGTATAAATATATTATTATTATTATTATTATTATTATTATTATTAAAAAAACAAGTCTTGTGGCTTCCTGTGCCTTCTGCAAAGGGCACTCCTGACTGGCTAACTTTTTGGAATGAGTAGGTAAAGGCAGTCTAGAACACTGGCATAGTGTGGGGGTTGCTGGGGGGCTCTGGGTGCAGAATCTTGGGAGGGGGGCGCAAAGCAGGCACCCTCTGACCCCTGGCTCTGGCGCCGGAGGCTTGGTGTCCGTGAGTTTGCTCTGCCTCTTACTTCTACACTCCCTTCTCCTCTCCTCTCCTCTCCCAGGTCGAGGCCGCAGAGTGGCAGCTGCTCCCCGTCTCCTGACTCCTACTCCTTGTACTGCTACCCTTGCACCTGGGGAGACTGCAAAGTGGGTGAGTCCTCCAGCCGGCCGCTGGCCAGCCCCCCGGCCCAGCCTCAGGCCCAGGGCTCCTCGTGGTCGGATCCGTGGCCGTACAGCGACGTGAGCGTGGCCACGGGGAGGCCCACCCCGCTGCTGGCGGGCGGCGACGCCAGCGCCCTCAAGAGCTACCGCAGCTGCCCTCGCCTGAAGCCTCCCCAGGGGCCTCAGAAACGCTTTGCCCCCTTTGGGGCGCTCAACCCTTTCTCCAATCCGGCCTCCTCCGAGTGGCTGGAGCCCCTCGAGTGGCAGAAGACCTCTTCCCCCGAGACCTTTGACCCCTTCGAGGGCACCGCTGCTTCCTCCTCCTCCTCCCCGGAGGGCGAGCCCCGCTACAGCCCCGTGCCCCCACCACGCCCTGCCAAGCAGGCCTTTGAGCCCCCCGAGCACGCCGCCCTCCGGACGCCCCTGCCGCCCTCCATCACCCGTGGCGCGGAATTGGGCACCGCCACCCGCCTCTACCTGGCCCCAGGGGTCATCGAGGTGCCCCCCGCCCGGCTCAGTGGGGACGGCTCTCCCTGGCAGCCCCCAGCCGACTTGTCCGCCCTGTCTCTGGAAGAGGTCTCTCGCTGCCTGCGTTTCATCGGGCTCTCGGAGGACGTGGTGAGCTTCTTTGCGCGGGAGCGCATTGACGGCAGCATCTTCGTGCAGCTGACCGAGGAGATCTTGAGCGAGGACTTCCGACTCACCAAACTCCAGGTCAAGAAGATCATGCAGTTCATCAAGGGCTGGCGCCCCAAGATCTAGAACCGGGTGGGGTGGGAGGAGGAGTCTGGGACGGCCGCAGGGGCTGGACCTGCAGGCGAAGGGGGTCGCTTTGCCTGGCAATGTGGGGAGAGGCCTCTGGATCTGTTGCAAGAGGGCAGTGGTGCTGGGGCACTTTGCGAGCAGGTCTTCCCCACCCCCAAGAGCGCTGGTGGGCAGAGAGTAGCAAGGGCATGAAAGGAGGGAGGGCTCGATGGGTGAGCCTGAAGCATAAACCCAGTGGAAAAGGAAGGAGCCAGGAGGTTAAACGGTGGAACTCACTGCTGCAGGATGGCTTTCAAAGAGGATTAGACAAATCCAGGGAGGAGAAGGCAATCGATGGGAGGGCCCTGCCTTGCCCCCATGCTTAAGAGGCAGCAATGCTTCTGAATGCAAGTTGCTGGGAGCCACAGGCGGGAAGAGGGCTTGTGTTCGAATCCTGCGTGTGGGTTTCCCATGAGGGCATCTGGCTGGCCACTGGGAGAACAGGTTGCTGGACTGGCTGGGCCATCGGCCTGATCCGGCAGGCTCTTCTATTGATGAGGAAGGGTCTGAAGGAGACCTACGGGTGTTTTGGGGGACTCTGCCTGCCCTGGCTCAGCGCTAGCGCATTGGCCATTCCTGCATGTGGTGTCCGGTTGTCCAGTGCGGAGGAAAAGAAAGCAGTGCAAAAGTGGGCTGGGAGGAGAGTCGTGATGCGACCCCCATTTCTCACCCAGAGCTCCACCCTCATTTGGACCAAGGGAAGCCCCTCTGAGCTGCACAGCTCCCATTTTTATTCCAGCAAACAGGCCCCTCTGAGATCTGTCTCATTGCTGTGGGGCCGCCAGTTTGAAAGATGAGGCAGACGGGAGCCAGGGAGCTTTTCTGCGCATGGGAAACCGAGGCAGCCGGCGACTGTGGTGCTGGCCCCCTCCCCAAGTGAGGGGTCTTGTGGGAGGCAGTGCTTTAGGTCGACAGCGCGAGGGGCCTGCCCTCCGGCATCCGCTGCCCTACAGAGCCAGAGCCTCTCCACCCCAGCTGGTATAGCGGTGGGAGCCTCTTGTGGTTCGTCTAGGGCCCCGTCATCATTATTTATGAAATTAGCACACTACGCTTCAGCAAGAGACCACAGGGCAGTATACAGCCTAGAACACTAAATACGTAATAGTAAAAAAAAAAGAGCAATACCTTCCCACAACTGAAAAGACCATAGATTTAACAGCGAGGAGAGGGGGAATGTTTTTGCCTGGCACCTAAAGATCTGGAGTGAAAGCACCAGGCGAGCTTCCCTGGGGAGAGCAGTCCTGATGGGGAGCCACTGCAGAAAAGGCCCCGTTCCTGTGCTGCTGCTCTCCGGACAGTTCTAGCGGAGGAGGAACACAAAGAAGGGCCTCAGAGGACGATCGCTTTTTCCTACAGCTTTTTCCGAGTATTGCATTTTGGAATGCAGGCAAGGTAAGCACTTACCTGCCTGAATGCAATGTATGGGGGAATCTTACTGCCTACGGAAGAGCAGCAAGCTTAGAAAGTTCCTGTCTTGAAAGAGGTGCCTTTGCTTGACGTTTGATGGGGGATTCAGCAAAACCTGCCCTCGTGGATTTGGCTGCATTGCACGGAAAACTGAAGCTGCCCCTCTCGTGCCTTCACCACACAGACACTGCCCCCCCCACCTTTTAAAGCATGTCTCCATTGCTGTGAGGTCTAGAAGCTTAAAGAAAGTATGAGTGGCCAATTCGGCTACAAACTCTATACGCTTGGGCAGTGCGACTGCAGATGCACGCAGTTCAAGAATTCCTCAGCAACTCCTTCATTTGCCCACGGAGAGGTTTGGGGGTATTTGCTGCCTGTGTAAATTTATTTTCTCCTATACGAAGAAAAAAGCACACCAAGAACTCTCTGGCCAGTATAAGTTTCAGTAGTGGGAGTGGTCCCTACTCACAAATCAAACGTAGAAAACAACAGGATATATTTATACAAATTCTTCAAACTTACACGATCCCTTAAAAATTAGGTAAGGAACCAAATGTTGTATAATACTGTTTTATGACTGTTTTATAATTCATGATAATTTAGAATTGAAATGTACTTTCATGTAATGTTTGATACTTCCAGCTGATGAAGGTGAATACATCGAAACAGGGCCCTGTTCTGGTTTCTGATCCATAATTGACTTCTGACTTCTGCTCAGTGACTGAAACTAAGACCTCCACGTCAAATCTATGGACTAGCATGAACTTATCTCTACTCATAAACTCTTATCTCTAATTCTGTAACGAATTTTTGCTTTATACATATCCTTATGAGTTTGAGTTTGTAATCTCTGTTTGAGTTTGTAGTCCTTGTCAGAATACATACTTTTGAACGGATTAGTTTTTGTTACAATTGACTATTGATTTGCGAGTAGGGACAACTCCCACTTTTGAAACTTATATTGGCCAGAGTTCTGGGTGTGCTTTCTTCTTGGTATATTTAATAACAAGAACTCCAGCTTATTTAACGTTAATTTATTTGCTCCTGGCACGAGGCAGCCAGAGTCCAGCATGCCCCTCCCTGGGAAGGGGGCAGCTCACTAATGGCACTTTAGCACAACCTGTGGGCAGCTGGGTCGTCTTCATCCCAAGCGCCTCTTGTGAGCTGGTATGTTTCACTAATCCAGCCCTGCGGTTCAGCTCTGCTGCCTCCCAGCAGACACTCTCCGCATCAATCCCCCAACAGTGCCGTGACTTATTCCTGTAACATTTTAGTAGAGGACAGCAGAACGCTCGTCTTCGTTTAGCCACTGCCCTAGTCAAATAAATCAGTTTATTTAAAAAACCATGTCGTGCCCAGGATGCGATTGTTTAATCAGATTGCTTTAGAATACCGGGTGCAGCACCAGCTATATTTGCAAGGGTTGGGGTGTGTGTGTGAAGGAGAAATGGGGACTGGCAGTGGGGCAGCCCAGGTACAGTCCCTGCCAGGGGCATAGTGTGGGGGGTGTCGGGGGGGCTGCACAATTTTTGAGGGGGCGCAAACCAGGTGCCAAGGCAGTATGGCTCCTCTCCATCCACGAAGGGCCATGTCGGGTGGCCAGTCTCCCCCATGAAGGTGGGCAGGCGGGTCAGCACGTCGTCCCCCCCCTTGCTCTGGTAGGAATGGGTTCGCCCTGGCACCGTTGGCAGTGGGCGCCGGGCTGGAGCCTCCCTGGTACATGTGTGACCCCCCTGCCTGTCCCGGGGCACTGGCAATCAATGCTACACCACTGGTCCCCGCCAGCAGGATCTGCAACGGATGTGGGGGGCAGAGACCTCCTGGAGACCTGCTGCAAGGGGGAGTCCACAGTGCGAAGCTGAACAGAGCAGGGGGGGCGCGTTGATAGAGGTGGCACCTCAGACACACCCCCTGGTGGCAAAGGCTTCTGAATTCACCCCTGGCCATTTAAGCCTTGGCAGCTGGAGATCTGCAGGAGCCCAAAGGCAGCTGGAGGCTGGCAGAAGTGGATGGGGCCCCATAGCGGTGGGAAAACAGGACGCAGCTGCCTGGCCAGCGTGGTGACCCTAGGTGGGGAGGAACCCTATGAGCTGGGTAAGGAGCCACAGCAACCATCTTGCCATAGCCCCCCCCATTGCCATTATGATGTGTTGCAGCCAAGCGGGGGGGGGGGGTCGAGGGAGAAAGGGCAGCCATCCGCACCCTCCCCACAAGAGCACAGCGCAATTCGCACTCAGATCGGCTTTGTCTACCCCCCTGGTTCCCAAGTACTGCAGACCTCCTGTTTTTCAAAAGCCAAGACATGAACCCCCTTGCTTTTGAAAATATTGATATATCTATGGCAGTTTTTGTTAGACCTGATGAAGAGGTTATATTTTCTGAGAATCCTCTGGAAAAATAATCTCTCAAAGGACCTGTTGATGGCATTTTACCATTGCACTGTTGAGAGTGTATTAACTTATGTTCTGTGTGTGTGGTTTGGGAGCTGCACGGTCAGGGGAAAAACAATGCTGTCCAGGGTTGTAAAGACTACAGAGAGAATAACTGGGTGCACTCTTCCCACCCTGGATCAAACCTATGCTTCCAGGTGCCATAAGAAAGCTGCAGGGATAGCGCAGAATAGTGCGCACCCCGGAAATGATCTCTTTCGGCTTCTGCCTCCTAGAAGAAGGTCCAGGGTTATAAAGACCAGGACTAGCCGCCTGAGAAACGGTTTCTACCAAATGCAATTCTGGTTTTAAATGAAGTACAGTGGTGCCTCGCAAGACGAATGCCTCGCAAGACGGAAAACCCGCTAGACGAAAGGGTTTTCCATTTTTGAGTTGCTTCGTAGGACGAATTTCCCTATGGGCTTGCTTCGCAAGACGAAAATGTCTTGCGAGTCTTGAGATTTTTTTTCGCTCCCCCCCCCCCTTTTCTAAGCCGCTAATAGCCTTTTAGCAGCTAAGCCGCTAAGCCTTTAATAGCCACTAAACCGCTAATAGTGCTAATCCGCTAATAGGGTTGCTTCGCAAGACGAAAAAACCGCTAGACGAAGACACTCGCGGAACGGATTAATTTCGTCTTGCGAGGCACCACTGTATAAGGAATCTCTATAGGAGTATACTGTATTTTAAAATGGGGTTTCAGAGTTTTTAGGGGTTTTAGAATGTCTTATGCAGATTTTTCAATTTCGTTGTTCTGTATGGGACAATGACAATAAAGATATCGTATCGTATCATAATGTGAATGGTGCCATGGACCCCCTGGGAGGCTTAGGCAGACCCCTTGGGGAACCCCTGGCGCTCCCCACGGAAGACAGCGTTCCTGCAGGGCGGGGGGTGTGTGTGGCCTAGATGACACTCTGGGTCACCCCCCTCTAATTCCAGGGACGCTCACCAAATCAAAGCACTCTGGTCTAAAGGAGAAATTCGAAAAATTAGAATTATTGTGGAAAAGTTCCCTTATTTCCATAATCCAACTTGAAAGGTGAAAGTAATATATGAGATAGACTGTCAAGCCTTGATTTGTGATCATTGCAATGATCATGGCGTACAGCTTATGAAAACCCCAAATTAACAATCTCAGAAAATCAGAATATTCAAGGAAATCAGCAAAACAAGGATTGCAAATCGAGCAAGATTGGGCCTCATAGAAGTAGAAGCATATCTCGCTTTGCATGTCATGAGTCAATCTGATATATTAGTTTCACCTTTGAAGTTGAATTACTGAAATAAATGAACTTTTCCATGATATTCTAATTTTTCGAGTTTCACCTGTATGCTGACGGGACTTCTCTGCAACTCCCCTCTAGAGGTGAAAATTCAGCCACAAAAAAATGACCAGAGCTCACCCACAGAACAAGACACTGGGGTTTTATTGTTAGGGGTTCTTTGGGTGCAGGTTACGACCGCAGGCCAGTCCTGGGCCCAGAATCAGATGCCGTTGGCCCGAGACCCGAAGCCACTGGCAGGCTTGGCGGGGCGCCAGGCTGAGGCCAGGCAGAGAAGACCCTGGATTAATCGGAGGCTGACCTTCGGCCTGACGAGGGGGTCGGAGCCGGGGTTGGGGAGACAGTGCCTGCGCGGCTAAGGCACTTGGAGGGTTAAGACCCACAACCCCCTGAGCTACAGGCGGGAGACTCTCCTGCAGGCCTCCTGCCTCCCCCCGCCTTTCCCGGGGGTCGGACGGACGGTGGCGCCAGAGGCACGTTCACTTGTGGAACTTCTTGCCGGAGTCCTTCGCGTGGTCCAGCAGCAATTGGCAGGGCGTGAACTGGCTCCCGTAGACGTCCTCGTACTTCCTCATGCGGTCTACCAGCCGCTGGGCCCCGTAGTAGTCTGCGTACCGGAAGGGACCTGCAGTGAAAGATTGGGGGGGGGGGGAATTAAGCAAGGTCTCCTGTGCCAGCGGGGACCCCCGCCGCCCGCAGAGGGCTCTCCCCGGAACTGCAAATGTCCTCGCAGAGCCAAGGGCTGCAAAGTGCAAGACCTCCTCTCCCATAGGGGAACAGGGGAAGGGGGGCAGGAGAGACTCCCCATCTTGGTCACTGGAACCACTGGGCAACTAGACAGCCGGCCTCCCCCCCCCCCCAGTCTCTCCCCAGGGATCAAGGCATTTCCATGTGGCTGCTTCAAAAATCCTTCATGCCAGCAAAAAGGACTTATCAGGCAGCTGCCCTTTTTGGGAGATCCGTTTAGGGAAGCTTTTAATGTTTGATCTTTTATCGACTTTTTAATATTCTGTTTTTTGAATTCTGGTGCTGGAGAAGACTCTTGAGAGTCCCATGGACTGCAAGGAGATCAAACCTCTCCATTCTTAAGGAAATCAGCCCTGAGTGCTCACTGGAAGGACAGATCGTGAAGCTGAGGCTCCAAGACTTTGGCCGCCTCATGAGAAGAGAAGACTCCCTGGAAAAGACCCTGATGTTGGGAAAGATGGAGGGCACAAGAAGAAGGGGACGACACAGGACAAGATGGTGGGACAGTGTTCTTGAAGCTACCAGTTTGACCAAACTGCGTGAGGCAGTGGAAGACAGGAGTGCCTGGTGTGCTCTGGTCCAGGGGGTCACGAAGAGTCGGACACGACTAAACAACAACAATATTCTGTTGGGAGCCATGCCCAGAGTGGCTGGGGAAACCCAGCCAGATGGATGGGCTATAAATAAATTATTATTATTATTGGGAGTGGGCAGAAGGCAACCTCTGCAGCCGACCCCAAGCTAGCAGCTGAGATAAGGCAACCCTGTTGGCGCCAAGGCTGCTGCTCTCAGGCCCTGGTCAAAGATATATTGACTCATTTTTGCAGCGCAGAGTTAACCTATGGAACTCCCTCCCACAGGAAGCTCTGGTGGCCACCAACCTGGATGGGTTTAAAAGAAGACTGGACAAATACAAGGAGGAAGAAAGGGCTATTGATGGCCACTAGCCAGGAAGGCTGTTTTGGCTCCATGGTCAACATTAGCAATGTTTCTTCATCAAAGCTGCATTCTTGCACTCAAATCCTCCTTGCTGGCATCCCAGAATGGGCACCTGGTCAGCCACTGTGAGAACAGGATGAGGGACCAAATGGCCTCTTGTCCTGACCCAGCAGGCTCTTCTTAAGCCGGCCAGTTTTCCTCTGAATGGTAGACAGCCTAGCTGAGGACGAGGGAGCTATGACTGACGATACGCATTTAGCAGAAGCACGAAGGGGATCCTGGGCCTTCTTACCTCCCAGGCAGGGGGGGAAGCCCAGCCCGAACACAGCCCCGATGTCCCCCTCCACGGGGTTGCTGAGGATGCCTTCTTGCAGGGTCAGGACCGCCTCGTTCACAAACCTGGACACCAGGCGCATCTGAATGTCTTCCTCCGAGGAGCTGGAGAGAGAGAGGGAGAGCAGAGACAGCCGTCAGTCGGGGGAGAAGCCAGGCAGAAGGTCCCCGGGAGGCAGATGTCAGTGTTTGAAAAAGAAAAGGTTCTGACCTCCTTTTTACTCCTCTGCCTAGTCCTCAGACCTTAGTTGGCACAGAAGAGCCTTTGAGAAAGAGTATTACTGCAGAGTATTGCTGCTTTTATTCTTGCGTCTCCACCTCCATCGTTCTGCCCGGACACTGAGGTCCAGCTCCGAGGGCCTTCTGGCGGTTCCCTCACTGCGAGAAGCCAAGTTACAGGGAACCAGGCAGAGGGCCTTCTCGGTAGTGGCGCCCGCCCTGTGGAACGCCCTCCCACCAGATGTCAAAGAGAACAACAACTACCAAACTTTTAGAAGACATCTGAAGGCAGCCCTGTTTAGGGAAGCTTTTAATGTTTAATAGGTTATTGTATTTTAGTGTTCTGTTGGAAGCCACCCAGAGTGGCTGGGGAAACCCAGCCAGATGGGTGGGGTATAAATAATAAATTATTATTATTATTATTATTAAAAAGTCTTCTTCTCCAACCATGACCACAGCTTTTACACAAACCCAAACACAACCAGCTTTCTACCATCCAACCAACCCAACCCAACCCAACCCAACCCAAACATTGACCACAGCATCTCCAGCTCAGGGAGCAGCCGAGGGGAAAGGCCACTGGGGAAGTCGTGGAGCACAGAGTGGCTGGATCAGCCAGGATTTCGAAGAGGGGCGCCGAGGGTCATCTAGTCCAACCCCCGGCAATGCAGGAATAAATGTCCAACTCCTGGTGGTTTAAACAAGGACAACCAAAGAGCTCTCCTCTCCCACCCCCAAATTCGTTTTCCAAAATGAAGGGTGGGGACCAGAAATGGATTTGTGTGTGAGAGGACTGTCAGATGGTCCTGGAAACAAAGACCCTGGGCTGAGCAGTGCCACTCTAGTCCTGAACCACGATACTGAATCCTACCCACTTCTGCACCTGGGTCCAGTTAGAGAACTCCGGGGAGGTAGAAGAAGAGGAGTTTGGATTTGATATCCCGCTTTCTCACTACCCGAAGGAGTCTCAAAGCGGCTCACAATCTCCTTTCCCCTCCTCCCCCACAACAAACACTCTGTGAGGTGAGTGGGGCTGAGAGACTTCAGAGAAGTGGGACTGGCCCAAGGTCACCCAGCAGCTGCATGTGGAGGAGTGGAGACGCGAACCCGGTTCCCCAGATTACGAGTCCACCGCTCTTAACCACTACACCACACTGGCTCTAATCATTTAATCACACTCTAATCACACTGGCGTTTTAGTAAACTAAGGTTTTAGGTGACATCCACGTGCAGTGCAATCGCATCTCAGGCAGCGGTTCGGTCGCAAGGGTTTCGCACAGACACGGGAAAAGCGCATAACTGGATGCTCAGAACTGCCCCATGGCTTGTGGGTGAGGTGGAGCGCACTCCCGGATCTCAAGCCTTGAGCAAGCCTTGCCCATTAAGTAAAGCAGGCAGCTTAAAAGCTCTTTTTTGCACCAGGTAACCCCGAGGGGACCTGGCGCGAAGAAAGCTCTCAAGCTCTCCACCTGGCCTGGATTTAACTTGCACAGTCCCAACCAGTCTGCCTCTGACCGTGTATGGCTGAAATCGCGCGTGTCAAACACACATGAAGATGTGATTGCACCGTTTGGCTTTCTTCAAAGAAGTCTTCAAGTGATTTAGCACCAAGTAAATATATATGTGTGGGTGGCGCTGTGGGTTAAACCACAGAGCCTAGGACTTGCCGATCAGAAGGTCGGCAGTTCGAATCCCCGCAATGACGGGGTGAGCTCCCTTTGCTCGGTCCCTGCTCCTGCCAACCTAGCCGTTTGAAAGCACACCAGCGCAAGCAGATAAATAGGTACCGCTCCAGCGGGAAGGTAAATGGCGTTTCCGTGTGCTGCTCTGGTTCGCCAGAAGCGGCTTAGTCCTGCTGGCCACATGACCCAGAAGCTGTCTGCGGACAAACGCCGGCTCCCTTGGCCAGTAAAGCGAGATGAGCGCAGCAACCCCAGAGTCGGCCACGACTGGATCTAATGGTCAGGGGTCCCTTTACCTTTAAATATATATGTCTGGAAGACCTCCGATAGGACAGGGCGGGACTGGGAGAGGTGCCTTCTTGAGCCGACAGTTTGGAGAGCTGCTGCCGGCCAGAATGGACAGAACTAGCCAAGATGGACCGCTGCCCAACTCAGAATTAAGCCAGATGCGCCTGTTGGTTTGCAGTTGGGGAATGAGGGCAGACCAGCATCCTGGGCCTTCATTCCGCAGCTCTGGTCTCTTCCTCACTCAGGAAGGCCTTCCTTTCTTTGAACTTACACTTCCGGCTTGGCGGCCACTTTGAACCTCTCCAAGATTTCGTCCATGCCGGTGTTGACATTCCGGTTCTTCACACCTTCCTGGTAAAGGTAGAAGCCCTTTCCGGCTTTGCGGCCTGCGAAAGAAGTTGCACAGAGGTGTAAAGGGGCGGGGAGCGGTGGGGGACCCTCTGCTCCGGAATGGAAAGAAGGGAAACGGCTGAGGACCCCAATACCTCAAGGACTTCCTCTCCCCTTATGAACCTACCTGGACCCTGAGATCATCTTCTGAGGCCCTCCTTCGTGTGCCTCCTCCTCGAGGGGTTCGGAGGGTGGCAACACGAGAGCAGGGCCTTCTCTGCAGTGGCTCCCCATCTATGGAATGCTCTCCCCAGGGAAGTTCACCTGGCGCCTTCATTAACAACCTTTGGGCACCAGGCAAAAATGTTAATCAACATCCTATACCCTTTAAAAGGCGGCTTTTGGGGGTGTATTGGATTATTTTTATTTTTGATGTTATATATATGTGGTTTTTATTGTGAACTGCCCAGAGACCTCTGGGTAGGGGGTGGTATACCAATTCAATGAATGAATGAATGAATGAAGAAGTGTGTGGCAGAGGAAGGAGGAGGCGAGAGCCTGGGGACCTCCTCCCACAGCCATTGATTCCAGGCTTGTTTGCAGAATTAAAGACTGAACCCAGAGACTGGGAGCCAGCTCAGAAGCTTTCGTGTTGTGTGTTCAAAATGCATCCCTGCTTCTTTGCTGTAAGTCGCTTTGAGCATGATTTGTTTTGGTGGAAAAGCGGCATACAAACAAAACGAATGAGTGAGGCAGTGACTAGCTCCCAAACACACCCACCGAGTGGAGATTTGAACCCGGGTCTCTCCCAGGTCCCAGTTCAACACCCTAATGGCCCTTTGCCGCTGTTAGGATATAGTTCCAGTCTACCTTAAAAGGGTACAGGCATGACTGTTGAGTGTCACATGCCTGTTTACTTCCAGCACAGGCTTGCTGGGAACTTCCATTGTACGTTGCTTTTGCTATACTGCTGCTTTGCTGGACACGAAGGCAAGCAGACATGTTTTTCCCTTTGTTCCTGAACTATGCTGAATAAATGCTGTAAGTATGCTTGCACATTTCTCTGTCCGCCTCTTCTGCTGTGTGATGATTTACACACTCTGCTGACAGAGCGTGCATGGGTCTCTAAACGTATCTGAGGCTCGTGTCGCTGATTGATGCTGTTCCAAGGGAGACCGGCTGCCAGCCAGTGGCTGGAGCCAGCTGGGGGCCTGCCCGATGCCCCCGTCTTCCCGGCAGTATCCCAACAGCCGCTCGACGGTTGCCCAGTGTGGCGACTGGGGGAGACCGATGTGGTCACGACACCCAGGTGCCCAGGATTTGTTCTGCCCCGTTTGCCCGGAAGAAGTTTGTTCCCCAAATGGAAGCAAGGAGGGTGTGTTGGTTCCTTGCCTGCTGTCGATACGCAAGTTTCCAGAAAGAGGCCGTCGCTCAGACACTCACCCAGAAAGCCCTTGTCCACCATGGCCTTCATCAGCTCCACGTTGCCCCCTTTGAAGCGCTCGCCAAAGGCCTTGCCCAGGTCCTCTGCCACGTGCGTGGCCACGTCAACGCCCACCTCGTCGATCAGTGTGGCAGCTCCCACGGGGAAGCCAAAGCCAGTGGATATGGCGTCCACCTTCTTGGCGTCGTTGCCTTCCTGAGAGGGAGAGAGAGGTGGGTCAGCGGCGGGTGGAAAGCAGGGGGCGCTTGGGGAGGCACTGCTGCCGGTGACGGGGCGGAGGGGTGGGGGAACGACCGGGGAAGGGCAAGAGGAGGGCCAGGAAGGGCCCGTCCCATAAGGACAAAAGAGGAGTTTGCAGCTGGATCAGGCCAGGGGCCCATCTATTCCGGGAGCCTATTCCCACACTGGCCAACCTGACGCCCCAGAGGGAAACCTGTCCTTAACCTTCAACATCATTGGATGTCTGTGATGTCTAGTCTTATGAGAGAGGGAGATATAATAATCATAAAATAAAAATTTATTATTTATACCCCGCCCATCTGGCTGGGCTTCCCCAGCCACTCTGGGCGGCTTCCAACACAATATTAAAATAAAGCAATGCATCAAACATTAAAAGCTTCCCTAAACAGGGCTGCCTTCAGATGTCTTCTAAAAGTTTGGTATTTATTTTTCTCTTCGACATCTGGTGGGAGGGCGTTCCACAGGGCGGGTGCCACCACCGAGAAGGCCCTCTGCCTGGTTCCCTGTAACTTGGCTTCTCGCAGTGAGGGAACCGCCAGAAGGCCCTCAGCACTGGACTTCAAGTGTCCGGGCTGAACGAAAGATGAACCTTTCTGCATCCCCTTTCTCCATGTCAGGCATAATTTTGTCCCGTGAACCGCCCTGAGATCTTGTGACGAGGGGCGGTATGTAAATCTAATAAATAATAACAAAAAAAACTCCTATTGTTTCGCCTCTCATTTGCCTTTCCTCTCAACCACAAAGTTGGCGGCCGTCCCTGCCTCCTGTGGAGTTCCGCAGGTTAACTAGCATCGTTTAACCGCTTCATCCAGCAAAGACACCTCGCAGGCCCACAGGGCCAAGTGGGGGCTCTCCGGGAGGGTCCTCCTCCTCTGCCTGGATTCAGAGCTTCTCGGGGCAGTGAAGGCTGGGGGCAGAGGAAACCAAACGCAACAGCCCCAGCCCCAGCGGCTGTGCTGAGCCCACCTGTTTGCAAGTCTCGAAGTACAGAGACTCCCCCCCCCCATCCACCATATCTCCCCAAGAGCACCATTAGGAAGATGCTCCAGAAACCCCACCCTTGGCAACCGACACCCACCTGGAGGACTCGGACGATTTCGGCCAACATGGGTGCGAGACACCTGGTTGTGTAGAAGCCCGGGCCATCCTGTGGGGGGAAAGCAGGAAGATGAAGCCAGGAAGCATTGTAGCTCGGGGGGTGTGTGTGTCCTGCCTTGCAAGAAGAAAGCGCCAGGCCCAATCCCCAGGTGCCCTGCCTGAAACCCCGGATAGCTGCTGCCAGTCAGTGTAGGTGGATGGAGCTAGATGGAGCAATGCTGATGGCCAAGTCTGCCAAGGAGGGCAGGGCAGCAGAGACTCTGACCACCCGCAGGACACTAGTCTTGCTAGATGCAGAACCATCTGCTCCCGACACGTGGGGGGACGGGGACTGTCAGCTATTGACAGTGGCAATCAATATTAACAATAAAAGAATTATCTTAAACACATTTGTTATTCAGCTTTGTTGCAGGGATTTATGTATAGGTTTTTTTGGGGGGGGGGGTTGCCCCTCCAGCAGATATCATGCACATGCAGCCCACTACCAAAACCAGCACAATCACTTTTGTGACTTTTGTGATTTATCCCCACAAAACACTTTGTCACAGTTTCTTCCTATCTATTCAAAGGGCCTTTGCTGCACGATACCAAATGTAAGAGTTCACTGATAAATGTATCTATGTACTGGCTCACAGGGAAAACTTCAGAAATTCCTATAGACATGTGAGCTCAGCTACTCAGCAGCCCCTCTGCCTGCGGGATAATTCCTGGCATCCGGATACCTGAGTGCCAGACAGGTAGCTGTTCCAGAAATAAGGGTGTGAAGAACTTGGCTGGGAAACAGGGAAATGTAAATATCTCTGTTGTTCCACTTGATGGCTGTTTGGTGGAGGGCAAGAGGAACCATGGGGCAGGGTCCAGGATGCTCAGATTACTGCCACCAGACCTCCCCTTTCATGATGTAACCGTGATGTACGAGTGGTGTAGTTTGGGGGCGGTGTAACATGGGGCTTATAGGGACGCGGGTGGCGCTGTGGGTTAAACCACAGAGCCTAGGACTTGCTGATCAGAAGGTTGATGTACAATATATTCTTCAACACATTTCCATTCCTTTCTTAATTTTTGTTTTTGTTGCAATCTGATTGATGCTGTCATCTTGGCTAGTTCAAGATATTCGCAAAATTTGATTTGCCACTCTGAGATTGAAGGAGTCTCCTCACTCTTCCAATTTTTGGCCACCAGTATTCTAGTGGCCTTTTCTTCTTGCAAAGATATCCCGCAAGGTAGCAGAGGTTTAGGGTCTGAGTCTTCCTTTTCCTAGATGGGCTGCCTTCCCAGGTAATTTCACAAAATGGACGAACTAGATCTGGCAATGCCAGCTTTTCAAAGCCTGGAGATCCTTTACACCTCAAGTTCCCCCTGCCAACCCCCTGCCTCCTAGCAAGCCCCCTCGGAATTGGAAGGAAACACTACCACCCCCTTCTGGAATCGCTGGTCTAGCCTCTGCCCTTCTTGATCCACCTGGAAACCAAAACAGAGCTCACCTTCACGACAATGATGACCTTCCCTTGCTTGAGGCCCACGGCGACTGCAGCGGCTGCCGTGTCCGGGGACGTTTTGTCTGTGGTGATGATCTCAAGGAGCTGCATCTTGTCGACGGGGGAGAAATAGTGCATCCCAATCACCTGGAGGACCAAGACAGGTAAGGTCAGGGCGGGATGCAAGGCAGTGTGGTGTAATAGTAGTAGTAGTAATAATAATAATAATAATAAAATTTATTTATACCCCGCCCTCCCCAGCCAAGACCGGGCTCAGGGCGGCTAACACAAGGTATAAAAACAATTGATTAAAATACAACTTAAAAACAAGATTAAAGTACAACATTAAAATGCAGCCTCATTTCAGTAGGAACTCAAATCAAAAACTTTTTTGGGGGATGAAAATGTCAAATCTTCACCAAGGCCAACTATCCAGACTGGTCCTACGTGGGCCAGAAAAAAGCCAGGGAAGTCCCCAAATGGGAGTTCCATCACAGGAGGAGAAAGGAAAGAGGGGGAGGGGATCAAGTTGCTTCCAAGCCAAAGGCCAGGCGGAACAACTCTGCCTTACAGGCCCTGTGGAAAGAAATCAGATCCTGCAGGGCCCTGGTCTCATGAGGCAGAGCGTTCCACCACTGTTGACAAGGCCCTGGCTCTGGTTGAGGCTAATCTAACTTCCTTAGGGCCCAGGACCTCTAGGGTGTTGCTATTTATGGACCTTAAGGTCCTCCGCGGGGCATACCAGGAGAGGCCGTCCCGTAGGTACGAGGGTCCTAGGCCCTGTTGGAGAGCTGGGAGGGACCAGGGTTCAGATCCTCCTACTCAGCCATGAGGCGCACTGGGCGTGACCTTGGTACGATCATTCTCTCTCAGCCTAGCCTACCTCACAGGATTGTGGTGAGAATAAAATGGGGAGGAGACGAACGTACACCACCTGGAGCTCCTTGGAGGAAAGGTGGGATAAAAATGCAATGGGTGGATGGATGATGTATGGCATGGGTCGGCAAACTAAGACCCGCGGGCCGGATCAGGCCCAATTGCCTTCTAAATCCGGCCCGTGGATGGTCCAGGAATTGCCACATGGATCGTCGGTCTGCGGGTTTTTTCTCTCTCCCTCCCCCGGCAGCGGCGCCTCCTCCCTCCCTCCTCTTGGCTTCCCGCCCTGCCTAGAGAAGGAAGGGGGCTGGGCTTTGTTGGTGCCAGCCCTTCTCCGGAGTCCTTTGCGCGCTGCTCATCTTCCCACCACTGCCGCTCGCAAGACACAGGAGCTGCAGTTGGCTGAGCGCCCTTCTCAAGCGGCCGCCATTTAAAGCAGCCCCTCTCTGGAGCCCTTTCACGCACCGCTCATCGTTCTTTTTTGTTGTTGCGAAATATAGTCCGCCTGACCCCAAGGTTTGAGGGACAGTGGACCGGCCCCATGCAGAAAAAGTTTGAGGACTCCTGATGTATGATGAATGGATGGATGGATGAAGACAGAAGATGGCAGCCAGATCCAGGACTCACCTTTTCCGGCCTTTTGCTGGCAGAGGCGATCTGATTGATGGGGAGCGCCGATGTGTTGCTGGCGAAGATGCAGTGAGGGGGGACCACCTGGGGGAGATAACACACAAGTTAGGTTACGATACAATATGATAATCTTTATTGTCATTGTCCCATACAGAACAACGAAATTGAAAAAATCTACATCAGACATTCAGAAACCAACAAGCCTGCTATCCCAGCCTGGTTAGCCCCCTAAAAACTCTGATATCCCATTTTTAAATACAATATACTCACATAAAGACTACCTTACACTGCATTTAAAACCAAAATTGCATTTGGATAGAAACTGTTTCTCAGGCGGCTAGTCCTAGTCTTTATAACCCTGGACCTTCTTCCAGAAGGCAGAAGCTGAAAGAGATCATTTCCGGGGTGCGCACTATCCTGCGCTATCTCTGCAGCTTTCTTATGGCACCTGGAAGCATAGATTTGATCCAAGGTGGGAAGAGTGCACCCAATTATTCTCTCCACAGTCTTTACAACCCTGGACAGCATTGACCGTGCAGCTCCCAAACCACACACTCAGACAGTAAGTTAATACACTCTCCACAGTACAATGGTAAAATGCCATTAACATGTCCTTTGAGAGATTGTTTTTCTGGAGGATTCTCAGAAAATGTAACCTGGAGAGTTCTGGAGAGGGAGTTTGGGGCAGAGGTTCCCCCTGCAACTGAAGAGCTTGGATTGCAACCAGCAGAGGCCTCAAGGCCAATACAGGCTCTGTGAGGACGGGCAGCCAATTCACGCCATCTCCGCTGCGTGGGGAAGCACAGCGGATACCTGCAGTTCCTTGTTGGTGTTGGCAGCGGGTTTTTGGTGGCCACTGAATCCACAGGTCCCCATGAAGGCTGTAGCTGGGGGCATGAAGGGTGTTGCCATGGGGCAGGCCAGGGATCCAGGAGGCTGGCGCTCTGTCTAACTGCAGTCTTTACGTGGCATTAATGCCTAGATCACCCAGCTGTTTGCGGAAAACCCCAGCCCTCACCTCCGCTCCTGTTTCACAGCCATTAGCAACGTTTTGACAATAACCGCTCTTCTTCAGAGAGGAACATGCCACTCTGGGATAATTCCACAGGTCATCTTGCCCCACATGCGCCCACCTGGCAGCTTCAACTGGCAGAACTGGCACTGCTGTGATAGTGACATAACAACCTGTTCTGCATCTGTAATAACACAATTATTTTGTGTGGCTACACTTTGGAACTCCCTGCCTGTTGATATCAAGTAAGGCACCTTCACTGTGCAGTTTTCGGCGCCTGCAAAAGATCACCCAGATGTTTAGAAAGCTGATGCGAGTTCTAATCTCTTTTTAGCCTGCTGCTATTTTAGTCCAGCCCATTGTAGCTCAAGAATCACTGGCAGGTGGCCATCCAATCTCTGCTTAAAGACCTCCAAGGAAGGACAGTCCGCCAGCTTCCGAGGGAGACCGTCCCACTGTTGATCAGCATTTGCAGGCAGTTAATAATAATAATAGTAATAATAATAATAATAATAATAATAATAATAATAATAATAATAATTTATTATTTATACCTCGCCCATCTGGTTGGGTTTCCCCAGTCTCTCTGGGTGGCTTCCAACAAAGTATTAAAATACAATGGTCTGTTAAACATTAAAAGCTTCCCTAAAGAGGGCTGCCTTCAGATTTCTTCTAAACGTCAGATAGTTGTTTATTTCTTTGATATCTGATGGGAGGGTGTTCCACAGGGCGGGTGCAACCACTGAGAAGGCCCTGTGCCTTGTTCCCCGTAACTTGGCTTCTCGCAGTGAGGGAACCATCAGAAGGCCCTCGGCGCTGGACCTCAGTGTCCAGGCAGAACGATTGGGATGGAGACGCTCCTTCAGGTATACTGGGCCTTTGAGGCCGTTTAGGGCTTTCAAGGTCAGCACCAACACTTTGAATTGTGCACGGAAACGTACTGGCAGCCAGTGTAGGTCTATCAAGACCGGAAATAAATAACACATACACCCCCTGAGAACCTTCACACAGCCATGGGCTCTACTGCAAAATGCTGGAAGACCAGGATGACTGAAACACCCCAAAGCTGGGAACTGCTGTCCCTGACTTTGGTGGCCCACGGGCAGAGGTCTACACGGGAGGTGGTGCAAGCAGTCACATGCTCACCTCTCCCCCGGCCACCGGGCTAACTGCCCAACCTTCGGGGCAGCCCATAATTCCCAGCACCCACCATGCTGCCTGGACAGGGACCAGGTGAACCAGAGGAGAATCCTGAGAGCACCTCCAGCCCCTGCAAAGGAAGGAGGCTGCCCCCTGCGGGTGGGGAGGCAGTGCGGGCACAGGAGCGGTTAAGGGCAGCCTCTGGAAGACAGCCCCGGTCTCTCACGCAAGTGGCCCCCCCAGCCTAGCCTTCTACTCACCGCCTCCACTTCCTTCACCACTTTGTGTTTGATGCTGATGTCCTCAAAGACGGCCTCAATCACCATGTCCGCCGTCCCAAAGTTCTTGTAATCCAGCTGCCCCGTCAGGTTGCTGAGGATCATGTCCCTCTCGAACGACGTCAGGCTCTTCTTCTTCACTTTGTCGTTCAAGCTGGGAAAGGAGAGGGAGGCGGAATAATAATAATAATAATAATAATTTATTATTTATACCCCGCCCATCTGGCTGGGCTTCCCCAGCCACTCTGGGCGGCTTCCAACAATATCAAAATGCAGTAATGCATCAAACATTAAAAGCTTCCCTAAACAGGAGCCTTGAGCAAAGGCCTGGGTGGGGAAGGAGCCGGCCAAGTGCTGCGACCCCTCAACATTGCAGGGGGTTCGGCTGGATGACCCCTTGGGGGCCCCTTCCAGAATTCTGTAATTCTTATAATGAAGGCGGCTGGCCTGGCTTCACCCTCCTTCCAGGTGTTCTCAACTCTAGGCCAGAATAGTGGAAGAGAGGACCCTCCACACATCGGAGCTAACCCCCCAGCCCCTTTGCAGGAGGGGGCAAACACAACAAATACCGTTTGTGGAGTAGACGGGAACAATATTAAAGAATATAAAACTGCGCGGAAAAAACGACAGTATAAACAGTACAATGAGAATGATTGGAAGACTCATTTTGTTAGAAGTCTTTTTTATTTAAGTGTTTGATTAAGTATTAATTAGGAAGATTAATTTTTTTTATGTACGTAAATTTGTTTTCTCCTCTCTTTTTTCTGTATTTTCTTCTTTTCTTTAATTTTCTTTTTGTAGTATGAGATTGTAAATTCTTTGTTTAAGTGTGTAATTTAAATTAATAAAGATTATTTTTTTAAAAACAAAAACCAGTCCCTCTTTTGTGGGGAGCAAGGAGAGCCCAATCTGGGAGGGAGGGAGGGAAGGAAGGAAGAAGCCGCACACAGGCCAAGTTCTTAAAGCCCAAAGCAAGAAATGCGCAGCTTTGCCTAGCCTGGAACTCCCCTGCCCCTCTCCACAGTGCTACATTTTAGACATGGAGAAGCACTGAATTGTCCTCAGCAACGAGGGAGATGCATTCTGCACTGCTTAGCTGCACCGCACCCCTTCTAGGCCCCTGCTCAGGCTCAGATTTCAATCCCTCCTGGACCCCACACAGCACAGGGCTGCCAATGAGCCTACCCTTTGTAGACTTGCTGCTGTCCTCTGCTCAAGCCCTCCAGGGCCGTGTCCTTCAGAATGGTCTTCACCCCCTTGTCCACGGAGACCTGGGCGATTCCAGCGCCCATCAGGCCTGCCCCCAGGATGGCAAGGTTCCTGCAGAGAGAAGGAAGGGGTGTTTTTCGGGGGGGGGGATAAAGAGCGACCAACCACTGAACCCGAGTCTCTCCCCCGTCCTGCAGAGGCAAATGGGTTGCCACAGATCTACCCCACCTGTAGCTGGACTTACTGGACGGGTTGCTTTGGCTGCCCAAACTTGTTCTTCTTGCACTGTACCTGCCCGTGGTACAGCCCGATCAGCGCCTTGGACTCAGAAGTCATCCCGAGGTCCCCGAAATTCTGCAGGGGAAGGGAGAAGAGACAGCTGCGGTCAGAGGGCCTGCCCATCTCTGCATCATGCCCCAGGGAAAGCAACGAGGGGGAAACGTACAGGCCCACCGAGGCATCGGCAACAGCGGAGGCCGGAGGGCGACAATGGCTGGGAAAGTTAAGGACTCAGAGGAGGACCAGGGATGCAGGACAATCCTGTCTCCGGTGGGGTGTTGACATTAAAGACCCAGGGCAGGAGCTCAAACGAAGAGGTCTCTCTGTATGTCCCCGAGCTATCTGGAAATCTGCAAACACAGATTTCCAGACCATATAACACCGGTCTTGAAAGACCTACATTGGCTCCCAGTACATTTCCGAGCACAATTCAGTGTTGCCACTGACCTTTAAAGCCCTAAATGGCCTCGGTCCAGTGGACCTGAAGGAGCGTCTCCACCCCCATCGTTCAGCCCGGACACTGAGGTCCAGCACTGAGGGCCTTCTGGTGGTTCCCTGCTGTGAGAAGCCAAGTTACAGGGAACCAGGCAGAGGGCCTTCTTGGTGGTGGCGCCCGCCCTGTGGAACGCCCTCCCACCAGATGTCAAAGAGAAAAAACAACTACCAGCTTTTAGAAGACATTTGAAGGCAGCCCTGTTTAGGGAAGCTTTGAATGTTTAATAGGTTATTGTATTTTACTGTTCTGTTGGAAGCCCAATCAAATGTTAAAAACAGTACAGCATTAAATATTAAAAACTTCCTAAACAGGGCTGCCTTCAGATGTTTTTTAAAGATAGGATAAGTGCTTATTTCCTTCACATCTGAAGGGAGGGTGTTCCACAGGGTGGAATAATAAATTATTATTATTAATTATTATTATTATTATTATTAGAACACAGGCTTCATCAATACAGCAAACTTTGCAAGTGCACACAATATGCACAGTTTATAATAAGCTGCTTTCGCACATCCAGGTCCCTCGCAAAAGGGAACTGAGCAGCCAGGGCGTACGAATAAAGAAAGGCGACTTTCTGGGTCCAACCCTGCATCTCCCAAGAGAAACAAAACAGGGGAAAGTAAAGTGACAAGTGGATGAACGGTGGGGAAACCAGGAAGTGGCAAGAGGTGACTGCAAACCTCCCACATCAGCAGCCCAGAACGAGAACAACAGCGGAGGAAATGGAGAACTGACAAGGTGGATGGGAAGGGAGACTGGAAAAAGCGCGGGGTGCCTTTCCCCCATAACGTTACCTTTCTGTATCTGGAGGCCAGCGACTCAGGAGGAACGTCTGTCCAGCATAAGTTAAGTGGTCAAGAGAAGCCAGCCGCAAATTAGGACCCCCAAAGAAAAGGAGGCTACAAAGTCTGCGTGGGTCTGTGTGAGAGGGTGCCAGCCCAATGTCTGCCTGTGGCAAACTGTACTTGGCCCGGCAGAGGCGGCCCCAATCCCCACTGTTATTATTCTTTCCAGCCCAGGAGCTTCTAAGCAGCGGTGAGAACAGCTCACTAGAGTGCAGGCCGAAGCGACCAGGGCCAACGGCTTCTGCATTCAAGCCAAGGGGTCGCTGAGGATGCCAGACACGATTTGCTACAGGGGCCAGACCTTGGGGGCAAAGCTATTCCACCAGCTTTGCCCCACCTCTTCTCTGGTACCATTCAAAGGAAGAAGAGTCGTTTAAAAGACTGGTTCTGGCATTCCCCTTAATGTTTTTGTGGGGAGTAATCTGCTGCCTTTATGGCAGCAAAATGAATGCATATTAGCGCATTCTACTCACACCTGGGATGCGGGTGGTGCTGTGGTCTAAACCACAGAGCCTAGGACTTGCCGATCAGAAGGTCGGAGGTTCGAATCCCTGCATCGGGGTGAGCTCCCATTGCTCGGTCCCTACTCCTGCCAACCTAGCAGTTCGAAAGCACATCAAAGGGCAAGTAGATAAATAGGTACCGCTCTGGCGGTTTTTCTTGTTTTCCTCCTCTAAAAATTAGGTGCGTCTTATAGAGTGAAAAATACGGTAGGTGCCGCTCCAGCGGGAAGGTAAATGGCGTTTCTGTGCGCTGCTCTGGTTTGCCAGAAGCGGCTTAGTCATGCTGGCCACATGACCTGGAAGCTGTACGCCGGCTCCCTCGGCCAGTAAAGCAAGATGAGCGCCGCAACCCCAGAGTCGGCCACGACTGGACCTAATGGTCAGGGTCCCTTTACTTTTACTCACACCTGACCGAATATATGTGCAGCAGCAGGAAATAATTAAACAATTCAATTCAAGCACAGAAATAGTGGGAGAGAGACCCTCTCATGAAGAGCCCCTCCCAGCCCAAAGAGGGTGTCAGTGAGGGCAAAAGAAACCTTGAAGAGACCTGATTCGCAGAAGCACTTTGTTTCGGCTGCTCAGCCTCCCTGCCTAAGAGCCAATGCAGGCACCAGCTGCTTTTCCACACATCCCTCCAGCTTCAACTCTAGTTGCAGATATTATGGGATATGGTATTTTTGGTACGGATGGCAGAGAGAATGGCAGAGAGGGCGTTTGAAGGGGGTTTAGAATAAGGTTACCAGACGTCCCCATTTCCCAGGAACAGTCCCCAGATTTACAAATCAGTCCCCTGACAAAATCCACCTATTCAGTAGGAAGTTGAAAAGTGTCCCCGGATTCATTGGAAAAAATCTGGTAACCTTAGTTTAGAAGGCGTCCCCAATTTACACAATTCTGCTTATGTGTGTGGGAGCCTGGAACCTAACCCCCACATAAGTGGGTGGTCGCCTGGACTTTTGTAGTGTTAAGGTTTTGTTTTGTTTTTATTGTATTGCATTTCCATTGGTCTGCTTGCATTTGCATTTGCGCTGTTTGGGGTGTGTTTTTCAGCTGAAATGTAGCATATAAATAAACTGTAAGGAAACGTAACAATTCTCTGCTCCCCTCCAGCAGCAGCTGCTTCCCTTAAAAGGTAAAGGTAAAGGGACCCTTGACCATTAGGTCCAGTTGTGACCGACTCTGGGGTTGCAGCGCTCATCTCGCTTTATTAGCTGAGGGAACCGGCGTACAGCTTCCAGGTCTTGTGGCCAGCATGACTAAGCCGCTTCTGGCGAACCAGAGCAGTGCACGGAAACGCCATTTACCTTCCCGCCGGAGTGGTACCTATTTATCTACTTGCACTTTGACGTGCTTTCGAACTGCTAGGTTTGCAGGAGCAGGGACTGAGCAACGGGAGCTCACCCCGTGATGGGGATTCGAACCGCCGACCTTCTGATCGGCAAGTCCTAGGCTCTGTGCTTTAACCCACAGCGCCACCCGCGTCCCATGCTTCCCTTAAGTCACTCCAAATGGGAGCTTAAGTGAGTTATCTAGCTACCGCAGCCCTAGATGCTGCCGTCATCTCCCCCACTCCCAGGCCACAGGAGCACTCCTGGGCTCCCTTCCTTTCCTTTTCCTACAAACCCTGCCCCTCCTTGACCCATCACAGTGGCCTTGCATGCCCAGCCTGCTCTTGCCCTTCCCAGTCTTCCCAAGCCCCCTCCTTCTCCCGGCCGCCTGGTCCTCCTCCCCACCCTCTTCTACAAGCCCCCCAGCAAAAAACATGGGACTTTGGTGTGACATTTGGCACCAAGACAACACTGTGGACTCACTGGAAACCTGAACAGGGCCTCTGAGCACCCAGGCCTTGTGATCAGACACCATGTGAACAGTTAAGGCCTTTGCTGTGATTTGAATGGGATGCCTCTTGCTGAGAAGCTCTTGCAACCATGAGGTGGGCTTCCCCCTGGTGAAGTCCCAAGGGAGGGTTGCTAAGGGGGGAATCAAGTCTTTTTCTCAGCCTCCACCCCACCCCACCACGAGAAAACTGAGCCAGGCAGATCAGGACTTCATGCAAAGGTTTGTCGTTTGTGGTTTACCGTATTTTTTGCTCCATAAGAAGCACTTTTCCCCTCCTAAAAAGTAAGGGGAAATGTGTGTGCGTCTTATGGAGCGAATGCAGGTGGGAGGCACTGCTCAGCGCTCCCTTTAAAGAGCTGCGTGGAGCGTGTGTGCGGCTCACGGGGGCTTTTCCCCGAGGAGTGAGGAGGGCAGCCCGTCAGTCCCTTCTCCCTCCTCGGGAAAAGCCTGCAAGCGCCGCACACACGCTCCACGCGGCTCGTGAAAGGGAGTGCTGAGCAGAGCCTGGGATGCAGACAGGCTCTGCTCAGCGCTCCCTTTAAAGAATATTTTTTTCCTTGCATTCCCCCTCTAAAAACTAGGTGCGTCTTATGGAGCGAAAAATACGGTGACTTGTTTGAGGCATTCGGAGGTGATTATTTCGTACAGATTGCTGGCAAGGGCAGGGGGACCTTCTTATCTAACACTACATCTCTCAACGAGTCCGTCAGTCCGTCTCCCTTTAAGCACAGACTACGAAGTTCAATGTCCAAAGTGACAGGCAATAAAAGGCTTACCTGGGATTCTGCAAGGTAGCCAGCTTCGTTTCCTTGTTCCAACCCTGTCTTCACAACCTAAAGTAAAGAGGAACAACATCTTGGGTTATTTGAAACATTTCTATACCGCCCTTCAGTTTGAAACGCCCAGGGTGGTTTAACGTTTATTTATTTCCTACAATGTATGCGCTGCTTGATTGCAAAACAAACAAGCCTCAAAGCGGCTTACAAAAAAAAAAAAGACAAAGCAACAAAATTATCAGTAAGAACAACAACTTAAAACTTTCAAAAAGATAAAATAACAACAGACTCAAAGAAGATTAAAAACTCACATCAGTTTTCTAAATATCTCGGTAAAGGTAAAGGTACCCCTGCCCGTACGGGCCAGTCGTGTCCGACTCTAGGGTTGTGCGCCCATCTCACTTAAGAGGCCGGGGGCCAGCGCTGTCCGCAGACACTTCCGGGTCACGTGGCCAGCGTGACGAAGCTGCTCTGGCGAGCCTGCACCAGCGCAACGCACGGAAACGCTGTTTACCTTCCCGCTATAAAGCGGTACCTATTTATCTACTTGCACTTAGGGGTGCTTTCGAACTGCTAGGTGGGCAGGAGCTGGGACCGAAGGACGGGAGCTCACCCCGCCACGGGGATTCGAACCGCTGACCATACGATCGGCAAGTCCTAGGCACTGAGGTTTTACCCACAGCGCCACCCGCGTCCCTTAAATATCTCGGTAGGCTTGTCTAAACAAGACTGTTTTTAGCAGGCACCGAAAAGAGTACAGTGAAGGCATCTGCCTGGTATCAAGAGGCAGGGAGTTCCAAAGGGTAGCAGTGGCTTGAGTGGGCCTATCTGCGGTAAGGCAATCTTGATGGTTTACAAGTGGAGATTAAAAACAGCAGGAAAGGAACGGCGAAAGGCAGGGCAAGGAAGGTGAGGAGGCAAGTGGGTGGGTAGGGGCAGGAATGCACCAGTGACCCTTCCAGCCAGTGCCAACAAGGTACCCACATATGCTGGCAGGCCTCCCCCTTCAGCCGGTGCTGATGAAGACAGACCCCGCAGCCCAGCCCTCGCTGATCCCTTCCTGCCTGCGCTTCAGGATGGTGGGAATCACGATAAAAAATCACGATGAAAGCCGGCAGGAGGACCGGCTGCCTATATGGCCAGACTTCTTAAATGCCACAGGAATCAAACGGAATAGTATTAGACAAATGGAAACTCTGAGGCAGGGATGGTGGAGTCTGTGGGGGCACCATAGCACTCTGCAATCACCAGCCGCTGGTATCCTGCCTCATAGAATTGCTGAGTTGGAAGAGACCCTAAGTTAATTCAATCCCCTGCCAACTGTGCCGGCAGAGGACAGCCATCCTGGCTACTGGCCATGCAAGTTGGGTGGGTCCAAGGTCAACTCGTCCAACCCCACCTAAAGACGGGCAGAACTAGAGATGCCAGTGTTTTGCCACACGCAGGGCAGAAACCAAGTGTGCTCACTGTTAGGATATAGTTCCGTTCCACCTTAAAAGGAGCAGGCATGACTGTTGTGTGTCACATGCCTGCTTACTTCCAGCACAGGCTTGCTGGGAACTTCCGTTTGTATATTGCTTTTGCTTTCCTGCTGTTTTGCTGGACACGAAGGGAAGCAGACATGTTTTTTCCTTTGTTCCTAAACTATGCTGAATAAATGCTGTAAATACGCTTGCACATGTCTCTGTCCGCTGATTGATGCTGTTCCAGGAACCGGAGATCGTCAAGCTGCCGGCCGGTGGCTGGAGCCAGCTGGGGGCCTGCCAAATGCCCCCGTCTCCCCGGCAGCATCCCAACACTCACACCCTGGCACAGAGGTCCCTCTGCCCTCCCTCATGCGCACAGATGGCCCTCACCTTGATGATCTTAAGGGGAGCCGGGTAGAGGCCTTTCGTTTGCTTCCGCACTTTGCCCTCCACCGTTTTGTAGACTTGCTGCCGCACGAAGGCAATGCCCATGGCATAGTCCATCATCTCTGCAAGGCAACGCAAAGCAGGTTCAAGGGAGGAAACGGCCCAGGGGGCCGACCCCAGGGAGGCCAAGGGCCAGGGCAGCTTGCCCCCGGAGCCAGGCCAGGCCAGGCCACTCACTCTGCATCAGCCCCTTGTTCCTTTTCTGCGAAATCGTCTTCTTGGCGAGGCCTCGGGCAAAGGTGATGGCCACTTCCTCCAGGTACTCCAGCGTCCGCTCCTCAGGGCTCTTGATCCCTGGCCCTGCGAAGGCAGAGGTGCTGTTTTAGCAGGAAGCGAAGGTGCATTCAAAGGAGACAGACTCCCTAAGGGAGAATCCTGCATCCAGCTCTCTCACTGGAGCCTTTGGTCGACTGTTTAAGGCAGCCGCAGACGTTCCTAGACTGCGACAGCTTGACCACATGGCTGAATTACTGCAGTAGTTGGCCCAGAGGCTGCAGCTGGGGCAGAATGTGGCAGCGAGATTGCTTGCGGCAGCGGCTGCAAGGTATGTTTTCCCCCTCCAGCCTCAGGGGCTTTTGTCCCTGCAGGTGTTGCTGCCCTACAAGTCCCGTCACCATCCCTGGCCGCTGGCTGTATTTGCTGGGACTGACAGGAGTTGCAGCTCAGCGATGGTTCCCCGCCCCTGCCTTGGGGCCTGAAACATCACAGACCACACCAAGCCAGGTGCAAGGCCACGGGGCAGGTGTGTGCACCTAGAAGCGTCTCCAGCTAACCTAGAGGATCCACCAGCTGGTCCACCAGCCCCATCTTCTTCGCTCTGTCAGCACGGATGTTTCTTCCGGTCAGCATCATGTCAAAGGCAGCAGGAAGCCCCACCTGAAACGCGGAAGGAAAATGAGTTTTACATGCCAGAAGAGCAGGGATGCTGGAAAGGCAGATTCCCTCCCTCTCTGGGTGGGGTGTTCACCCACTCACCATCTTGGGGAGCCTCTGGGTGCCTCCTGCCCCCGGCAGCAGCCCCAGCAGCACCTCTGGGGTTCCCAGGACAGTCTTCTTGTCCTTGGTTGCTATTCTGTACTGGCAAGCAATGGCAACCTGGAAAGGGAACACAGGAAGCTTCCTGAATGCACAGTCAGGCGGTTGCGTCCATCTGGCTTAGAATGGTCAAGGGCTCTCAGGAGGTTTGGACAGGACTGGGCGTTCCCAGCCCTCCATGGAAGACGAGAAGAAGAAGAGGAGTTTGGATTTGATATTCCACTTTATCACTACCCGAAGGAGTCTCAAAGCGGCTAACATTCTCCTTTCCCTTCCTCCCCCACAACAAACACTCTGTGAGTGGGGCTGAGAGACTTCAGAGAAGTGTGACTGGCCCAAGGTCACCCAGCAGCTGCAGCTGCAGGTGGAGGAATGGGGAAGTGAACCCAGTTCACCAGATTACAAGTCTACCACTATTATCCACTACACCACGCTGGCTGGTCTAGTGGGAAACTGTTGCTAGCCAGAGTCTGCAGAGCCCTAAGCTAGGTGAGCCAATGGCCTGGCTGAGGATTTCCATGGGGCTGGACCCGATGACCCTTTGGCTCCCTTCCAACACTACAATTCTGTGATGCTACAGGAAGCGAACCTGGTTCACCAGATTACGAGTAACACCACTCTTAACCACTACACCACACTGGCTCTCCCACACTGGAGATGCTGGGGACTGAGACCAGGGCCTTTTGGACGCAGAGCAGCTGGTCTGGAGGCGAGCCAGGATCCTTCCCTTATGGCAAATGCAGAGAACACAGTCACACGCACACCATTCTCCCGGCTGCTCCCTACCTCTAGTCCTCCCCCAAGGCAGGACCCGCTGATAGCAGCAACGATGGGCTTTGGCGATTTCTCAAGCTTCTCCAGCATCTTCTGTCCTTCCTGAGAAAGTAGAGTTATTTCTTGGCTGGACTGGCAGGCCTCAATCATGCTACGGGCAGGACAAAGAGAGAGTTTCGTGGCTGTGAACGAGGCGCACCGCTGCCCAACTTACAAAGTCATCCACCCTCTACCTCTGCAGAGAAGCAATTCAAGCTGCCTGCCCAGTGACACAGGGCTCCTCCTTCGCCCAACTCTGTGTGACTGCTGCTAGGGAAGCAGGTGTGTGCTGCAACTGGGTGCAACCGTCTCCTCACTTTGTCAGACTCTGCTGCAACACAGATCTGCTGTCCCAGACCCTGGTGCATGTGAGGGAGTGTGTGGGGTGTGTGTTGTGGTTCTGGACAGCTAAGAGTTAACACTCTAGGAAGTGTTCTTATTAACTGGGTGCACTGCCCACATGATCCGGGCATTTTCCTTTGATCTATGCTCTCTGGGGGCTGCAGAGAGCAGTCTGTCTGAGAATGTGAGCAAGGTAGTTTCGTTTTGTTAGAGGCAGAAAGCTGCAGGCATGCAACTAGATTCTGTAGGTTTTTCATTTCCGTTTTTGTATGCTTCTAAATAAAGAGTGTTAGATTAGAAGCACTGGTGTCAAGCTGAGTTATTGAAGACACCACACAGACAAAGCCCTCTTACGCTGCGTGTGAACTCTGCTAACGTCCGACAACTGAGAAGAGTGGCAGCGCGCGAGTGGAAGTGTGTGGGCGCCACTGAAATTTGTCGGAGTGGAAATAAATCTAATTTATTGCAGTGCCGTTGCAGCAGATTCCGTGGGTCAAAGGATTTACGACCCACAAACTTTAACAGTGTGAACTGGCCCAACCTCTCAGGGGACTTCCTTTCTGGAGGTATTTCCCCAAGAGTCGGCTTTTGTTCCTGCAGGGTCCCAACATCTCACTTGTGAAGAGATAGCTACCTCTGAACTACCTGTCACCAGCTAGTAAGTAAGAAGGGAGGCGGGTGCTACTGCTCTGGGTCCCAAGTAGACCTCTGTGTAACCAAGGCTCTGCAAAACAGGCACCTTTCACCAGCCAACTACGGCGAGGGCAGCAGCTGCTCCAATCTGAAGTAGTGGCAGGCAGGGATGATAATATCATAATAATAATTTACTATTTATACCCCGCCCATCTGGCTGAGTTTCCCCAGCCACTCTGGGCGGCTCCTAATCGAGTGTTAAAAACAATGCAGCATTAAATATTAAAAACTTCCCTAAACAGGGCTGCCTTTAGATGTCTTTTAAAGATAGGATAGCTGCTTATTTCCTTCACATCTGAAGGGAGGGCGTTCCACAGGACAGGCGCCACTACCGAGAAGGCTCCCATCTAGGGCATTGCTTTCATTATGTCCTGTTGCTTGTCTTGTCTTGCATGTCCTGTTTGCTGTTGGGGTCTGACTCTGAATCTGTGAGAGTCAGGGGAAGAGGCTATGGGTTAGGCACAGCAGCGTCAACTAGGATGGTGACAGTGTTAGCAATAAACACTGTGCTACTGTATGGGAGAGGAGCTTTTCCTTAACTGGGAACTCTGTAAGAAGCTGCTGGGAATAGGAAATCTCTGAAAGATTGTGGAAGAAAGGGGTCAAGTTCACCGCATGTACTCTGTTAAAGGAAAATATAATGAAAATGAAGTATAGATGGTATTTGACTCCTGTAAAATTAGCAAAGATATATCATAATTGTGACAATATATGTTGGAACTGTAAAGAAAAGGAAGGAACCTTTTATCATATGTGGTGGACCTGTCCCAAGGTGAAAGACTTCTCGGAAAAGATTTATAATGAATTGAAAAAAATGTTGAAATATACGTTTATAAAGAAACCAGAGGCCTTTCTTCTTGGAATAACAGGTTTGGAATTGCCCAAGAAAGATATTAAATTATTTTTGTATGCCACAACTGCTGCTCGTATTTTGTTAGCTAAAAGGTGGAAAACCCAAGAATTACCAACAATAGAAGAATGGCAGATGAAGATGATGGATTTTTTGGAGCTAGCCGACCTAACCGGAAGAGTCCGTGACCAGAAGGGGGAGGAGTATCAGGAAGAGTGGAATAAATTTAATGATTAACTAGTTAAATTTGTTAAGTTAAATTAACTGAAAACAGCTTGCAGATACTTAATTGGCTTAGGATTTTATTTATGTTAAGTGATGAATTAGTATGTTTAATTCCATAAGGTGAAGATTTAAGGATGTTAATGTTTAAGTTAAATTTCATAAGAATTGGAATTTAGAAAACCGTTAAAAGGACATGCAATGAAATTCAACCAAGGGAAAGCGAGGAAGTCACTTAACAAAGTTAATAAGTGTAATTTTCAATACGGCTATGATTTATGTTTGTTTGTCTTGTGTGTTTGTTTGATTGTTTATAATATTGTGAAAACTAATAAAAAAAATTGGGGGGGAAAAAGGGAATAGGAAATCTCTGAGGCCTCTGCTGGGCCTCCGCTTACTCTCCTGATGCATCACACAGGTTGAGGTGTGATGAACTTCCAACTGACTTCGACAACTCAACACCCACAGAGTCCCCTCTACCAAAACGAGGTTTGAAAGCCAACAGAACAGGTTGCAATGTGTGTGTGTGTGTGTGTGTGTGTGGTGTCCACAACAGCCAGCCCCATTGGCAAACGTGCCCACAGACCCGAAAAGATTGGGAAGCCATTCTCCAAAGCAGCCTTTGCCGGCTTGGCGCACCTCCAATGTTCTGGACTGCAGCTCCCATTAGGGGAGGCTGTGGCTGATGGGAGCCCAGCACATCTGGAGGGCAGCAAGCAGGCAAAGGCTGCCCCGAAGCACACGACCGGTTTGCCCATTTCTCCACCCAATGGGACCCCTCTTCCCGCCCCGGTGGAACTTACTTGATGTCTGCGCCAGCAATGAAGCAGCCGGGTTTTGACGAGATCAGGACGGCGCTACTGACGGCCTCGTTGGCCCAGATTTCGTTCATTACGGCGGAAAAGTCATCTTGCAGCTGCCTGGAGAGGGTGTTGACCTGGTGGAAATGAACAGGCAAGCTGAAGCCAAGGCGGGCAAAGGGCAAGCTCCCACTCTGGAAGAGAGTGGCCCTTGCTTGTCCCCGCCAACATGGAACAGCATCAGGAAGGCGGTGGCATGCCAAATGTCTTGAAGCTTTGAAATGTACTCGTAAGCAGCCGGCAGCACACCCTTCTATTAGGTCTGGCATACCGTCTCCCTCCTTTCCATCTCCATGACTCCCAGGCACCCCTTTAAACCTCTCTGCACAGTTTAAACTGCTTGAGCCCGCAGGGAAGCGACAAGAAAACCTACCTTGGAATTTGGAGAGTTAAAGCGCACGACAGCAACATCTCCTTTGATGTCATAGTTGACATGGCTTCTTGCTGGAGTGGGGTAAAAGAGAGATTTATAGGGACATTTCAATAGGGGCAAATGTCAAAATGTCAGGTTCTGTACTTAGGCAGGAAGAACCAGATGCACAAATATAGGATGAGGGGAAACCTGGCCTACTAGCAGTACATGTGAAAAGGATCTAGGGGTCTTGGTGGACCACAAGCTGAGCATGAGTCCACAGTGTGATGCAGCAGCAAAAAAAGCTAATGCTATTCTAGGCTGCATCAACAGAAGTCTAGTGTCCAGGTCAAATGAAGGAATAGGTAAAGGTAAAGGGACCCCTGACCATTAGGTCAAGTCATGGCCGACTGGGGTTGTGGCACTCATCTTGCTTTATTGGCCGAGGGAGCCGGCGTACAGCTTCCGGGTCATGTGGCCAGCATGACTAAGCCGCTTCTGGCGAACCAGAGCAGCGCATGGAAATGCTGTTTACCTTCCCGCCGGAGCGGGAAGCACTTTGACGTGCTTTCGAACTGCTAGGTTGCAGGAGCAGGGACCGAGCAATGGGAGCTCACCCCGTGATGGGGATTCGAACCACCGACCTTCTGATCGGCAAGTCCTAGGCTCTGTGGTTTAACCCACAGCGCCACCCGCGTCCCAAATGAAAGAATAGTCCCACTCTATTCTGCCTTGGTCAGACCACACTTGGAATACTGTGTCCAATTCTGGGCATCACAATTTGAGATGTTGACAAGCTGGAATGTGTGCAGAGAAGGGCAACCAAGATGATCAAGGGTCTGGAAACAAAGCCTCATGAGGAGCGGTTGAAGGAGCTGGGTATGTTCAGCCTGGAAAAGAGGAGACTGACAGGAGATATGAGAGCCATCTTCAAATATCTCAAGGACTGTCCCACAGAGGATGGAGCATGCTTGTTTTCTCCTTGAAACAATGGCTTCAAGTTGCAAGAAAGGAGATCCTGACTAAACTTTCGGAAAAACCTTCTGATTGTAAGAGCTGTTTGGCAGTGGAACGGACTCCCTTGGGAGGTGATGGACTCTCCTTCCTTGGAGGTTTTTAAACAGAGGTTGGATGGCCATCTGTCTTGGATGCTTTAGTTGAGGGTCCTATATTGCAGGGGGTTGTATTATATGACCCTCGGGGTACCTTCCTACTCTAAGATTCTATGATTCTATATTTATTATTATTTCATGCAGGACTTCAACAAAACTTAGGACAGGGGCCACCAACCATTTTAGGCTCATGGGCAAATCTGGGTGCCAGGGGTGCCAGCCTCTCTCGTTATGGAGGGGATTTTGAGAGGTGGGGGGCTGCACCCACCTGTCAATCATGTGACATCACAACAGTGTTGTGTGAGGACATGTGGGTGGCCCCATCCACCTGTCAAATTGGGCCTGCAAGGTTGTCTTCGATGGATGAAAGGACATATGATTTTTGACATGACTGAGAATCGCATAGCCAGGGACGGAGAACTTTAAAGTGTTAAGATCAGAAGGCGGAAAATATGAAAACAATGAGAAGAGGCAGGAATGAAGATTTGGAGACAGCTTCAGAGGTCCAGACTATGCGGAGCCCGGAAAAATTAATAATTACAATTTGGACATTTTTTTATTTTAGTTTATTGTTTTTAATTGGATTATGATGCAGATATGTTGACTGGCTGTTTTTATTGGAAAATCAATAAAAATGATTTTAAAAAAATAGGCCTGCAAGGTTGATCCTGGAGGGGGAAAGGTTCCTCCCCCCCCAACTACACTGAAGTCACTACGGTCTCCTTGTTATTACTACAAGGGTGAAAAACGCAACCCGAAACACCGTCCCCCAGCAAACTCGCCTTCTCTGACAGATTTCTTTGAACCAGGGCAGAACCCCCGTCATCGCCACCAACCCCCACCAGACCCAAGAACTGACTTACACTTAAGAGGGGAGGACGTGCTGAGGTTTCGGCAGGCATAACCTGAGACAAAGAGAGATTTCAGGAGTTACTTTGGACCAGCAAATAAATCAGAACATTTCCCATCCCTGCTGGTGCCTTCAGGCAAAGTCTCTTTCTGAGTGATGAGGCTCAGTTGAAAGCAGGGTGGATTTGATTTAAATCAAATCAATGTACATCACTAGTCAGTAAGAATCGATTTAAATCACTGGTCAGTAAGACTTGATTTAAATAATTTTTTTACAGAAAGACTCATTCTTGCTGGTATCATCTTAATATTTACAACCAGATGAAGGTTTCATTTCTGGAATAATAAATTTTCAGAGTAGCTTTTACAGTTATATCAGAAATTACTGATTTGATTATGCTATTAGAAATATATCGACAGATAATTATGAAATTATTGTTTATATCTGGACAACTTTTCTGCTGTACTTTATTGGAAGGAGAAAAATAATAATTTCCTTAGTAACAATTTAAACAATTTCTTTAACTAAAACAATAACATTATAGCATATATATCCATGTTTGTTAACTGATGCTGTTAAAGGTTTTATTGTTTTTTTAAAAAAAAACTTAGACTGAGTTTTGGCACACATGAAAAACTTAAAACAAATCCTTATTTCCTGATGAATAGCCTTTGGACTATAATGCAACTTAAACAGAAAACTCTATTTTCCTCCAAAAGCATTTAATTTTTTAAAAATCTGGTGTGTTTTTTAAAAATCCATTTTAAATCAAAAAAACCCAATGGATTTTTATCCACCCTGGTTTAAAGGACTTGAAAACTCAACATCGCCTTGCACATGTTTACACAAGCCATCATGGCACGTTTGGCGTTTCGGAGTGTTTGCTATGTGCCTTTTCCACGCATGGTTTCCCAACATACACCTGGAAGTCTGAGCATTGCTAATTATTAAGTGAAACTCTGAAACTTGATCTGATCTATCCATTGTGTTAACAAGACACGGCAGCCTGTTCCAGAGGGTCCCAAGTCCATCTGAGGGGAGGGGGAGCCACCATATCAGAGGCCAAATATGCTGCGTTGCGCAAGCTGGTCACGTGACCCAGCCCCAAAGCTGGAGGTGCGCCATGTCCTTTGCTCCACATTTCCAGAGTGGAAAGGGAAGGACCTTTCACCTACATCCTGCCGTGCCCATAAATGCCGGCACTTTGTAGGTTGGACACAGCACCTGATGAAATTGCCAGGGAGTCTCTTCGGGGGGGACTGGAGGGCTCCTGCTATCTTGAGAGCAGAGCCAGCTCAGAAAGATGCCAGAGCTATCTGCCAGAGTTATGTTTCACATATTCTGTGCAGATGAAAATGCACTGCTCACAAATGCTTATTGGGATGTGAAGGACCTGCCCCTTTCTTGCCCAGGCGCTCGAGCTAACATCACAAAAACCAAGCTGCTTCACTGCAAAGGCCTCATCCACACTTTTGCTCGACCCAAATTTCGATAATATTTAATCATATTTTCTGTACAGATTAATTCCCCCGGGGTCCAAAAACTTTCGTCTTTGTTGTGTCCCTGGACAGTCTTGCCCACTGAAGTGGATCTTCTCAGATACACAGAAAATCCAAAGATAGATTTTGTTTAACAGATCTTCAATTCAGCAAGCAATTTCGGATTTCCGTAAGGCAGAGCTGGGCAACATTGAGAAAAGCTGTCGGACCCTGGGGAACTTTTCGGGACACAATATGGTCAAAATACAGGTCAAGCAACAGTGGGGGCGAGCCTTTAGGCAGGCCCAATAGTGGTAAGTGCCCCCCCCGCCACCTTGAAAGCAAATATTTTAAAATCAGACCTTCTCTGTGACACAATACAGAAGTGTCAAGATGGTGCCTTTTTGCTACAAAGAAGCCTTACACTGTTTTTAGGGTTCCTAATGCTTACTGCTTCTCTGGCTGCTTATACACAAGCGAGGTAGCAGGAAAGAGGATCAGTCATCTCATACGAACAAATGCCATTCAGCTCAAGCCCAGAGCAGCTTCTGAGCTTGCCACAACCTGACAATGAACGAAGAGGCTCCAGACTGCAGGCCATTTCATGGCAATCGCCAAATGTTATGTTGCAACACAGCGTTCGGTATGACTACATCAACCCTTCTCCCCATCTTGTTTTCCAGAAACTTCCCTCTCCCAGAAACACAAACCCTGGAGATCAAGGGCCTTCCCCATGCAGGACCAAATATTTCTTGTACAGTGGTACCTTGGAAGTTGAACAGAATCCATTCCGGAAGTTCGTTCAACTTCCAAAACAGTTCGGAAACCAAGGTGTGGCTTCTGATTGGCTGAAGGAACCTCCTGCAGCCAATCGGAAGCCGTGACGGAGGTTCGGGTTCGAAAGAACATTTGCAAACCGGAACAATCACTTCCGGATTTGCGGCATTCGGCAGCCGAAACGTTCGTCTTGCAAGTCGTTCGAGATGCAAAGTACGACTGTACTGCCATTTAGAAGAAACTCTGCGGAAGGTTGGGGGTTTTGTGTGTTTTTTAAGTTGCACTTTAGGAGGAGATGGCTTTAAATCCAACTACAACAGAAAAAATACAGGCCTGGGTACAGAGGAAACCTGGGAGACTGCACACATTTAACAGGATTAGAAAGTGTCCTTCGATTTGCAGTTAACGAAGGCCTGGAAGATGCCCAGCATGTTCAGATAACAAAAGGATGAAATTTAGAAAGGAAGCAACCTGACTCTGCCCATACAACCAAGGCCACTTTTGAAGGACACATGGAGGTGTCTCTCCCCAGGAAGCCTAGACAGGTACCCACTATGCTGTTTTTCTGATGCAAGGCAAATACTGTCTATTTCATTTTCCCAGAATAAGCCATCCTAAGACATGCACTTTTGGGGATCAAGCCAAAAGCTCCCTCTGGTCCAGGCACACAATGCACCCCCCTGAAGCGCCATGGGGGGTGTTCACAAGCAGGGTGCGAAGGAAACAGTTCACCCCCGTGTCACCCCCCCAAAAAATCCTCATAACTTGATACACAAAAGAACACACAAGTCTACACTAGTCCTCAACGTCTTTCCTTGCGAACTTTGTGTTTTTGAGCAGAGAGCTGTGAGGAATATCTCAGGGAAGCACTCTGCTGTAACTGAATTTAATCTTTTTTGTCGAGAGAAACTGCAGTTCCAAGTATCGGCTACTCGACTGGCAGAAAAGGAAGTTGTTGTCTACATGCTTTTCTCCAGTAGAATCTGGCTGATCACAGCTGGGTAGGGAAAGCTGGATTATATACCTGCTTTGTCTGATGATTCCTTACTGCCTACATGATTCCTACATGATTCCTTATTGCCGGTCCCAGAATAGTAGAGTTTCTTGAATGGCTTTAAAAGGGGATTACATAAATCCATTGGTAAAAGACCTACCAACAGCTATTAGTAAAAGACCTACCAACGGCTATTAGCTGTGACAGCTAAGCAGAAACACCAGGTAAACCTTTCGAATTATGGGGATATTCAGCCAGGAAGGTCTGCAGCCTTCAAACCCTGCTTGTGGGCTTCCCAAAAGTATCTGGCTGGCTGTTATTAGAAAGAGGATGCTGGACCAGAATGCACTCAAGTCTGATACAACAGTGAGGCACTTCCACATGTCCCATAATCCTGCAGCGCTAGCATGAATTCAGGGTCTCCCAGTTCCCTCTAAGTCCCCAAATTCTTTAGAATGGGAGAAGCTAAGGATTTTGACCCACAGGACATACTTAAAACCAGATGGGCGGGGTATAAATAATAATTATTACTACTACTTAAGGGTTGGCCAATCCTCCAATGGCCAAATGTCACTCTCATGCACATATGCAAGGTCTGGCAAAGTCAGTCACCACATCACGGTGCTGAGCTGAGAGGTTTCAATCTCTCAGCTCAGCACCATATTAGGGTGCCCAGTTTTGCCCACAGCTGACAGGCTCACCACCTCTGCTTTTGGAACAGTCAATCTTAGGAGGCACCAGCCAAGGAAGAACACTGTAGGAAAGCACTTTCTACTGATCAGTTTAAACACTGAGGCTTTTCTGGAGGACTCCAGTGGGGGACATTTGATAACCACTGACTTGGGACCAGTTTACCTACAATATCACTTTAACTCACACGTGCCCACTCAACCACTTCAATCAGCAGAATTGGCATCACTACATGCACCAAATAATACCCATTCCACATCTGAAAGAACTTGATTGTTGAGTGTGGCAGCGCCTGCACTTTGGAACTCCCTGCCTACTGAGATCAAGCAGACACCCTCACTGTACTGTTTTTGGCAAGCCTATCCAGATGCTTAGAAAGTTCAAGAAATCATAATCTGTTTTAGTATTTTAGCTTTTCTATTTTTTTCTATTTTCCTTGATTTTACTGTTTTATCTTTTTGTAAACCACTCTGAGCTGTTTGTTTGTTTTTTTACAATCAAGCGGTGTATAACTTTTATAAAATAAAATAAAAAGAGGAGACTGAGATATAGGATAGCCATCTCCAAATATCTCAAGGGCTGTTCCATGGAAGATGGGAGCAAGCTTGCTTTCTCCTGCTCTGGAGGGTAGGACTCAAATTCCAGCTGCAAGAAAGGAGATTCCGACTAAACCTTAGGAAGAACCTTCTGACAGTCAGAGCTGTTTTGACATTGGAATGGTGTACCTTGAAAAGCGGAGGACTCTCTTTCCTTGGAGGTTTTAAAGCAGAGGTTGGGTGGCCATCTGCCACGGGGGCTTGAGCTGAGATTCCTGCATTCACAGAATTGCAGAGTTAGAAGGGCACCTCGAGGGTCATCTAGTCCAACCCCCTGCAAGGCAAGCATCCTGGTGGGCCAGAACCAGCAAATTTCTGGTTAGCAGCCAGGTGCACTGACCCATCATGGGGGGGGGGGTTGGACCAGATGACCTTTGAGGGGGGGGTCCCTTCCCACTCTACCGTTCAAGGATTCCATAGGGGGGAGTAAGCATGGACCAATGGTACCAAGTAGTATGGGAAACAGCCCTACTAGAAAAATTAACCAATAAACTGAAACTGACACGGGGACAAATAGAAGAAGACGCCTTCACCCCGGTATGTCTCCCCTTTATCACATACACAGCCCAACAAGACAACGACAAAAATCCACCAACAGCATACAAATCAATATGGCTAGCCTGATCCAAAACACCCACCCACCCCACTCACACACGAAAACAAAGATCACCACAGCCAATCACAAACAAACAACCACACCCTGGGCCAACCCCAACCTCTCTCACCACCAAAGGAACACAAGTGAACAGCAAAGAACCTGCACAAACAACACTGACACCAAACCCTACAATTAGTAAGTAAAATAGAAACATCGCCACCCACCCCCTCATCTCCCCCCCCTCTTTCCCCCTTTTCTTCCTAATGTCTCAACAAATGAAACTGATCTGTAAAAAATGTTACGGGGGGGGGGCGGGAGAGAGAGAGAGACATTGCACATACTTTCATAAATGAACAAAATATTTAATATATACCTATTTTTTAAAGGATTCCATTGGGGGAGGCACAAGGGGAAAAAGAGAAGGAAGGGGCAGCTAGAGAGACCTTTGGGCGGCCAGTGGTTGCGGAAGCGAGGAGCCCAGCCAGGGCCCGGGGGGGTGGGTGGAGGGAAGAGGGTGGAAGGCCTAGCTGTCAACTCTTCCCTTTTCTTGTGAGGAATCCTATTTGGAATAAGGGCATTTCCCTTAAAAAAAGGGGGAAAGTTGGCAGCTATGCCCTGGGATAGCATCATAAGATTCTAGAGTGGGGATAGACCCCAATGTGGGGGTGTTCAGGGTGGCAGGAGAGGATATATTCTTTATTAATATCTTTCCTAACTTGCGCTAGTAAGTTCCTTTTCTTAGCAGAGTCTACATTCCCCTTTTTACATGCACAGCAGATAGCTGGTTGCAGGCTCTCACTATTACACAATTCAGTCTGCCTCAGGTTGAATTGTATAGTTCCTGGTAAGTTCCCTTGAATCCCTCTTAAAAGAATAAAGAGGCCACAATCATAGCTGTTAAATTTCCATTTTCTTGCGAGGAATCCTATTCGGAATAAGGGAATTGCCCTTAGAAAGGGGGGAAAGTTGGCAGCTATGCCCTGGGATAGCATCATAAGATTCTAGAGTGGGGACAGACCCCAATGTGGGGGTGTTCAGGGTGGCAGGAGAGGACATATTCTTTATTAATATCCTTCCTAACTTGCGCTAGTAAGTTCCTTTTCTTAGCAGAGTCTACATTCCCCTTTTTACATGCACAGCAGATAGCTGGCTGCAGGCTCGTGTGAGCCTCTCACTATTACACAATTCAGTCTGTATAGTTCCTGGTAAGTTCTCTTGAATTCCTCTTAAAAGGAATAAAGACGCCACAATCATAGCTGTCAACTTTTCCCTTTTCTTGCGAGGAATCCTATTCAGAATAAGGGCATTTCCCTTAAAAAAGGGGGAGAGTTGGCAGCTATGCCCTGGGATAGCATCATAAGATTCTAGAGTGGGGACAGACCCCAATGTGGGGGTGTTCAGGGTGGCAGGAGAGGACATATTCTTTATCAATATCCTTCCTAACTTGCGCTAGTAAGTTCCTTTTCTTAGCAGCGTCTACATTCCCCTTTTTACATGCACAGCAGATAGCTGGCTGCAGGCTCGTGTGAGCCTCTCACTATTACACAATTCAGTCTGTATAGTTCCTGGTAAGTTCTCTTGAATTCCTCTTAAAAGAATAAAGAGGCCACAATCATAGCTGTCAACTTTTCCCTTTTCTTGCGAGGAATCCTATTCGGAATAAGGGCATTTCCCTTAAAAAAGGGGGGAAAGTTGGCAGCTATGCCCTGGGATAGCATCATAAGATTCTAGAGTGGGGACAGACCCCAATGTGGGGGTGTTCAGGGTGGCAGGAGAGGACATATTCTTTATTAATATCTTTCCTATTGGGAATAAGGGCATTTCCCTTAAAAGGGGGTGGGGGAGTTGGCAGCTATGGCCCTGGAAGGGAAGAGGAGGGGGGAGGGCTGGGGAGGTGCCGATGACCTTCAGGGACCCCCTGCCTCTCAGCAGCAGCAGGGGCCGAGAACGGGGTCCGGAGGGTCCGGGGGGAGCGGGGCCCGGGGGGGTCCCCTTCCCCTCCCCCCCCGGGAAACGAGGCCCGGGCGCCCCCTTCTCCCCTGCCCCCCCCGCCTCACCTGAGCGGCAGCCCCGGGCCCGGCAGTACTTGAGGGCGGGCGTGAAGCGCGTGAGGCTCCCGATGGCCCGGACAGCAGCCGCCATCTTGGCCGAGCGCGGAGGTCGAGCGAGAGCGAGCGAGAGGACTGAGGGCGGGAGGCGGCCCTGGCCCAGGGGGCGGGGTGGGGCCTCCCGCGTCGCCCCGGCGCTTCTTGACTACGACAAGGGGTGTCCTCGGCGATGCCTGATGGAAAACTGCCCCCTCGCGGCCGCCCCCGGCCCTCCTCCTCACGTGGATATTTGCCCCCCGCGAAGGTGCGCTTCGCCCTTTCCCCGCGGGTTTTTCTCCTCCTCAGAATGGGCCGGGGGAAGCGTCACACGGCGTCAGGCGGAGCGAGGGCAGCCCCAGGGGCGACGGCGGAGGCCGGAAGGGGCTTTCCTGGCCGGGGCGCGCTCGGAGGGGGCGTGGCGACGCCTGAGGGAGAGAGTCGGAGGGGCGAAGGAGGCTGCCGGGCGCGTCAGGTGAGGAGGAGGAGAAGGGCCGCCGGTTGTCGCCCTCTCTCTCCGAGCAACGTGGGGCGCCGGGTTCGAGTCCTGACTGGGGTTGGAGGGCGGTGGGTGGGGCGGTGGCTGTGTGACCCAGTGGTTAGAGCGGTGGATTGAGGGCCTTGGTGGGATGGAGGGGGGGACGGGGACCAGGCCTCGAGGCCGCTCTCTGGGGGGGGGGGTGACATTGACTCGCCCTCTGCTTCTCTTAGTTTAAGCCCCATGCATTGCACCGCAGGGGGTTGGACTAGATGACCCTTGGGTGCCCCTTCCGACTCTACAGCTCCAGGATACCTCACAGGGCTGTTGTGGGGGAGGGGAGAGAGAGAGAGAGCCGTGTTCGGACCCTGGAGCTCCTTTGGGATGAAAGGCGGGATGAGATCAAGGGGATCGGGGAGGATTTATGGCTCCCCAGGGATTACCAGGGGCGACAGTCACATGACTGACGCAACCACACACACACACACACACACACCCCCTGTGTTGTTGGGCTGAAGGAAGTGGGGTGGGGGGTTTTGTATGGAAGGGAAGTGAGCTCAGTCAGAGCAGCACGAAAACTCCTGGCTTCAGAATTGAGGCCCTAAGAAGAGACCCTGCAGCTGGATCAGGCCAAACCCGGGGGCCCATCCAGGCCAGGTTCCCTCATGGCAAGCCCACAAGCAGGGCCTGGGGGCAGTAGCCCTCTGCTGACCGGGGATACCAGAGGCTTGCCTTGATAGCCTTTGAGTTCCATTTTTTTTAGTACAGTGATACCTCGGGTTACAGACGCTTCAGGTTACAGACTCCGCTAACCCAGAATTAGTGCTTCAGGTTAAGAACTTTGCTTCAGGATGAGAACAGAAATTGTGCTCTGGCGGCGCGGCAGCAGCAGGAGGCCCCATTAGCTAAAGTGGTACTTCAGGTTAAGAACAGTTTCAGGTTAAGAACAGACCTCTGGAACGAATTAAGTATGTAACCAGAGGTACCACTGTATTTATATTCTGGTTGACAAAGCCCTGCCCTGGTTCCTTAAAAGCTTCCACTACACCAGTCCTGAAAGACCTG